ATTTTAATCCCCCTATCTAGATATATAGGTCGAGAGTTTATATAGGAAAAAAACCATTTTAATATTAAAATGCGCGGATCTAGGATGTTAGGGTGATTCGTGGCGATTATTATTAAATCGGTATAATCGCGTGTAAGTGAGGGTGTCGATAAGTAAGAAAATGTGGGGTGCACGTGAAGGTCGCATAACGGGTCGTAATAGTTAGGCATACTTATTCTTTTACTACAATCTTTATATTTTAATTTTTTATATATTTTTCTTATAATTTATAGAGTATATCTATATACCTATTTTAACCCCTCTATTAGGATATATAGGGCTAGAGTTTATATAGGAAAAAACCTATTTGAATAATAAAATGCGCGGATCTAGTATGTTAGACGTAACGAAAAATTGATATATATGAAACAATATTGAACACCACGTCGACGCCCTTCCCTAATTATCCACATACGGCGGCCGATTCGCACCAACCCAAGGGCCTGCTGGGCCAACCATACTGGGTTTAAGATCCTTGATCGTGTTGGCACCGACATTACGCATCGTGTTGGTTATTTCTTCTTGCAGTACTATGGTTGTATATTAGTACATGATGCAATGTTTTCTGTTCGGTAGCTGAGCACCTATTGGTGTAGTCAATGTCAATATGAAATCGGGGTAGGTACATACTTTCAAGTGCTCTAGAAACACCTTCCTCGCCATGCGTGCCGTTCGCATACATAAAAGGACGTCCAAGTCCCACCGCCTTCGCACCGAGGGCCAGTGCCTTCACCACGTCGGCACCAGAGCGAATGCCACCATCGACCATGACGTCTATTTGGCTGAATAGATGGGGCTGGTGGACACGTAGCTCATAGAGTATATCAATCGGTGCGGGCGCATAGTCGGCCTGTCGGCCTCCGTGGTTTGACTAGGAAAGTATTAGACATCTCTTTCCGTATCGATATTTCAGGCTATAACGTACCAAGATCACACCCTCTACGCCATGGTTGACGCAGAGCTGAACATCTTCGACGGACTGAACCCCCTTAACTATTATGGGAAGTTTGGTGATGCCCTTCAGATCGGTCAGAGCTGCATTTCGACTTACGACGAGCGGTTTCTAGTGTTGAATGTGTCGCTTACCCTGATAAAGTCAATATCTCCCCAGGTCAGGTTCCAGTCCTGGTATCCGGAGATGCTCTCGGAGACGCTCTTCTGTTTTGGCCCGTCGTCATTTTTCTTAGGGGGTGAGGCTTCTAGTTTGGCTCGAACGTCCATCGTTCGCTTCGTCTGCCTCATGACGTCGACAGTAAAGACGATAGCCTTGGCGCCGAGGCGTTCAGCCTTTTGGATGACCTGTTCGGACTGTTTCCTGTCTTTGTTCAAGTAAACCTTGAAGGCTCAGATAGGTCAGAAGAGAGCCTACCCAGTCGCTGTTGGATGTCTTGTTTTGGTTCTCACCTGGTAGAACAAGGGCTGGTGGTCATCTGTTCTAGACTCGAAGATCTCTTCCAGACTACAGCTGGCATTTGCAGAGATCTACCACATTCGATGTTATTGTTTGTTGACCTGATTGTTCACCCGAATCTCCTAAAGACTTACAATTTGAACAACACCCGCTGTTCCGGCCGCCCTAGTCAGATTGACCTCGCCCAACGGATGGCCGAGCTTCGCCATGGCAGCCGGCGAGATAACGACAGGCATTGACACTGGAATCCCAACAATAGACGTCTCCATATCTCCGTGTGACATGTCGCGCAGGATGCGTGGCCGAAAGAAGTATCTCTTATACGCATTCGCGTTCTCGTGAAATGCTAAGAGAAATGTGTTTTAGCCGCTGCACACCTTGGAGTACATTGAATGCTACGACTTACTGGCTTCTTGATCCGATGCGCTCCGGTAGTACGCCCATGCCGCTTTTCCCAGAGTTCGCTCGGCCCAGAACTCAAAGTCGCTGAGTAAGAGCATCGCATCAGCTGTTGGCATTTCGTCTCGAGCGTCTATCCGCGCAGCATCCTCTTCAGACAGATCCTCTTCCTCGGCCGGAAGGGTCGTCATGTCAACAGGCCCTACGCAGTACTCTTCCGGAAGTGAGCTCAGGGCATCTGGCGCGTGGAGCATGGAGAATAAACGACTGCGTGCGGTCACAACTTTTGGTTAGTCTTCAATAAAAGAAAGAAATAAAAAAGCCAACATCCAATCAATATACGAACCTGACGTCTTTCCCGGCCTCTGCTAATATGGCATTAGCTCCCCCGGGATGACGTGCGAGGAAATCCGTCATGTCGTAGACCATTCCCTTTCTTATTCATTAGAAACTGTCCTCCTTCTGTTCATTCGTTGTTTATAAGGCTAGGAATCGGGGAGAGGGGGGGGGGGGGATTTTAGGCTCACATCAATAACTACCCAGCAGTCGTCCGCATCTTTATGCTTCTGAACTTCGTCAAAGGGAATCGTCCTGTTCTCGGCCTTTGTGTCGGGAGTACTCGCGACATTGTGGAAAGCTGTTGGAGTCGCCCATAATCCTGACGCGGTTGCCGTACCCTGTAGTTGCAATTGTTAAATTACCGTCGTATCATTCGGCATGAGTCATTGCCCAATTCGACGTACCAGTAGTAGTGCGGCTGCAACTGCCAATACCACGTCGTTACCTTGTATCCGTGGTCTGTCGCGGTTTTCTCGTATATGTGAAGAGCCTGTCCTCGTCGATCGGTGAGTGCTGAGACTCTGCCTTCCAATCCCAACCGGGCGTGTTGATTTCGATTGCCGTAGCAGCATCGAAGGGAGAGGCAGTCGGCCGAAGATTCTGCGCACGGGGGACATTGTTGGGCTTTTAGCAGTTCGTCACAGCGCTCGCTCTGGTATGCAGAGTAAATGGAGGGAAAGAAGTTGTGATTGCGGGATTGCCTCTTATTTCAAATACTCATCGGATGAACACTGGCCGAGGCCACATGGAGGTTGATCCATAAAGAGCTATCATTCGGCGACCATTACCACTTTCAGCCCCGGGATCCACTACAGGCCACCCCGGATCAGCAACTGGGCTCAATCTACGAGTAGCTCTAGATGGGGCCGCCGCAGCTGCATACATGTGTCCGGTAGGTTTTGCCGTCGGTAGGCATGCAGTTGAGATACCATGACATTAGAGGGCAAAAAGACTCAGCTTATAATGAGGCGAATGCTAAGGGGACCCTTTGACCATACTTGCGATCCTTGGCGGTAATCGTTGTCAGTTGGAAGAAATAACACAGAGCGGCCGATTCGCTTGATCGTTGCCTGTCTCTATCTTCTCCCAAGACCCGACTGATACTGTCTATCGTCCATCCTTTCATACCGTAAAGCTTGCCGATGAATTCTACAAGCATCCGTATTGTGATAGAGGGGGGGGGGATCTTGAGAGACCTCAATTAGTAGCAGCCTCAGCCAACCATGTTGTGCAGATCTTGTTAGTAATATTGACAAGGAAAATATGTCAGCAGTATTGGCCTGGCTTGACTGGTACTGTGTACATGGTATTCTCCTGATGTGTCTGACTAGTGGATATTTTCTACGTGTATATTCTTCTGGCATACCCCAAAGTGACCTACTAGTCAACCCTTTAAACGTGAGCCGTATACCTGTTTGAATCAAGATGGCATACTGGGAAAGTCTTGAATAAGCGGCTGTCTACTGGGATATTGAAAACGTAGCCACCTAGTAATAGGTCTTATATCCCGTAGCTACTACACTATGGACCTGGTTCAGGCAAACATTATCTAGCTTTTCTTAATACGAGAGTCGAGATGAAGTCAAGTACGGGTGACGGTGGTATGGTCGGCCGATACAAAATGAGTTGAAGCGTTGGACGAAGTTATGTACGGAGTACTCACTCGTGTCTGTAATATTACCCCAATGTCCCCCTATTTGTTGATATGCCGAGGATATGTGGACTGGCAATACAGGCTTTGGGGGCATTGCGTACTTTTGTCCGGGTTCTGGAACAAACATTGTCCGAAAAATCGATGCTTCAGGGGACGGTGACATTCCATTTTGCTCCCTACACTTATTTGTGTAGAGGAAATCATAGTCCCATTCTTTTACTCCACCCAATACAACAATGTCTTTAAAAACAGCCCGTGTCGACCCTAAGATGTGGCTTGCGGGCGGTTTTAGCGTGATGATGCCGGTAGCGCGATGTGATGATACTGCCTATATCGAATATCCTAACGACACTTGCCATGTGGCAAGATGGGTTTTTCCTACGGCGCCCTCTACCTAGAAATTGCGGCGAGGCAATCCCACTTCGGCTCGGTGCTTGAGAAGTTGAGATGCGAGGTCGCTACATCTATATGGATGAACTGCATTGCCCGGATATACCCTAATATTTCAGTCTAACATAAACAGAGGATTTTACATTTAGCGAAAACGGTGAGACTAAGACATCTATATCATGTAGGTGGAGAGATATGATCCTGAGACTCATGCATACATCGAGCCTATCTTTGTGTCATGTTTGCAGTCACGATGCTATCCTGGGTCGTCGTGGTTCCTACTTGGTAAATGTTGTGTCGGCAGCAAGACCAAATGTGCTGGAAAGTGGACTGTAGCCACCGCCATGGACATGTCTACCTGGACCGGCGGTGGTCATTGTTACTGATACTAGTATCACAAAATCCATAACGAAGATCTCGAGGTGCACATTACCATTTGCAGTTTGGCAGGTAAACGGGGGTTTGATGTGTGAGTTATGCTCTATCTTTATACCTTTGAGATTTATTTCGTTACTCGCTATTGCTATCCAATTGAGATCGTGATTCCGCATCGTCTTCGCTCCATTCGGGATCAAATGCGCTGTACCTATGACGGTGAAAATTGAGGATATGTTAGCAGGCTGATCTCGCCATTGAGAATTCGAAACAGGACTAACCAGTAAAGCATCGTCAATCCCATAATGGCAGCTACACTGCTGAAAAACATGGCAATGTACCCCTTGGGAGTAAAACCGGCCGGAAGGGGCTTCGGAGGCTTGTTTTGTCCGCTCATGTCAAAGACATCCTTCGTGTTACCTGCCGCGTTTCCGACCGTAGGTACCCCGGCGGCGTGGCAAATATCAAAGTGAGCTTTCGGTATATCCAGTTTCTGTAGCATCTCGGGAGCTTCCACGAAAGTGGCAACCAGACCTTGGTCCATGTGCCACTCGATATGACAATGGAACAGCCAGATTCCGGGATTGTCGGACCGAAAGCGTAGGACGATGTTGCCGTTCGGTTCAACGTATACCGTGTCTCGGCGAACTGGAGCCCGGGAAATGGAAACGATGTCACCTTTGAAAGCACCAGCATCTGGTTCCGACCGATGCACTAGCTGGAAGTTGTGACCGTGCAGGTGGAAAGGGTGTTTCCCATCATCTTCATTATTGAGGACAATCTCAATGACTTGGCCGTGTTCAAGAATGTGGGGGATGGTATACAATCCATACGGGCGCGGATCCGAGGCATTCTCGGTACCGACACTTAATGCAGTATACAGCGATGGGACCTTGGGCGCGACGTATGTGACGTCGCTGAAGAAGGCACTATAGAGAGGTCAGAAGTATCCAGTCTCATCGTGATTGTTCACGTACTAATTTGCTCCATCACCTAGGTTTTCCATGGTAACGTCGAGTTGTATCGTGTGGTCAACGTGGTCAAGAATCTCCAATCCATCGTAGGGGACCAGGTCAAAATCATCAAAGGAGTCGAGCTCGTCAGGGAATGACGCCGGAGAGAGCGGCTCTGCGTCGTCATATACTAGCCAACCGGTGACGTTTGGGTTGAAGTCTTCGGGGATAATGTCAAACAGTTCCTGGTCCATAGCGGAAATAATGGGGAAATTTTCCGAGTCGCTGTTTTTGGTCGTCAAGAGAACGCTGTACCGTTGGGCTGGTGTGATATAAAGCCTGTCGGCATATGCCTCCTCCGTCCAGACACCATCAACCTCGACGATACGCATCTGATGTCCCTCAAACCAGAGATAATGCGCAGCAAATGCCCCCATGTTGACAATCCGGACCAAGTATGTTTTGCCAGGCAGAACTTTGACTTGAAGTCCTTGAGTGTCATTCATGAGTGCGGCTTGCGGTACAGGCTCCGCACCAGTAGGGTTCTCAACATTTATGAAGTCCTTGATGAGATCCTTCATGGGCCTGTGATACCAGTCGGACAAGGTGAGGATGATCTCGTCGTCATAGCTATCCTCATAGGGACCATCTGGGTCTTGGATGACAATCGGGCCTCGAAGGCCGTCCGGATATTGACCATCGTTGTGCGCGTGGTACCAGTATGTCCCGGGTCGTTGGAGCTTCCCAAAAAAAAGTTCAGCATTTTAACGCCACGCGATATATTGGTACAACTACGAACCTGAATCTCGTATGTGAATACTTCCCCAGGTGGCACGGCACACTGTGTCACTCCCACTGCGCCATCCATGTGAGTAGTCCCATTTTGAGGAAATCCGTGAAAATGCAAGCTCGTGCTGGCGTCACCAAGATCATTGCGTAGAGTCAGCGACAGGTGATCGCCAACAGCACCTGTGATGAGCGGTGGTGGCCATTGTCCATTGACGCCAATCGTAGGTCGATCAAAGGCTCCGTCAGGATTGGCTGTAACCCAACCGACCGTGAAGTTGTGGACAATCGTCTTCGAGTTAACTGGGGCCGCTGGAAATAAACCCCCTAGCAACAAGGCTGGGGTGATGGATTTAAGTGAGAACCTGGCCATTTCCGGTCAGAATGGTTGCCGTCGTCGCAGTCGACTGGAGTGAGGCGCACAACCACTTCGGTGTTGAGATGAATGGCACCTAAAACCCTCACAGCGACGAGGCTCGTTGACCTCGTGATTGTGGAATTATCGTCGTCTCCGGTTGCGGATTGCGGAGTAATTATGTGAGAACTTCTTCAAAGCAGGGCAGGGCGCGACGATTTAATTCGCTGATATCACCTGAATATTTGCGATGGCCCCTCTTTTACTTTCTTATCTGATCTGCTGCCAAGTCTCACTTTTTGGCCGAGCCGCGTTTCGGATATCCGGCCCATTTGAATCCAACCCTCCTCACGCTGGCCGTTTCGGTACCTGAACCGATATTCCCTCAAAGAAAAAAAAACACTCCAAACCCGGAACGAATTCCCAGCGGCCTAACATACGCATCTATTCATATACCACACTGCCTTGCCACAAGGGGCTTACGAGCCAAGATGCACGACCTATTTTCAATGCCAGGTAACGCCACTCATTAGCCCTTGATTGAAGTCTTCCAAACCACTCATTCCGCTTCCAGTTTTCTTCATCAGCTTCCGTGAAGCTTTGGAAGCAGGCATCATCGTCTCGGTTCTCCTGGCAATGCTGGATAAATCAGATAGCCTCGGCAGCGATTCGAGATTGCGAAATGCGCTGACCCGTCAGGTTTGAAGCCATACCTGTCCGTGGATCACACTTCAACGTCTGACGGCGCATGTCTAGGTCTGGCTGGGTACCATATCAGGTGCCGCGCTTTGCTTTGGAGCAGGAGCCGTCATCGTCATCGGATTCCGCGGTCTTGTCGAAGAGACTATGGGCAGTGCCGAGGACATTTGGGAGGGTGTCTTCTCTCTCTTGGCCTCTCTCATCATCACCGTCATGGGTGCCGTCTTTCTCCGCGTCGGCAAGTTTGAAAAGGCATGGCGTTCGAAGTTATCCAGGGCCGTGGAGGCTGAGAGGACCACGGACACATCCGGTTCTCTCTTTGGGCAAATTTCTAACGCGGGAAACAAATACGCCCTGTTTATCCTACCTTTCATCACCATTCTCAGGGAGGGCTTCGAGGCCGTCATCTTCATCGCAGGCGTCATCGCCACCTCCCCAGCCTCATCTATTCCGCTGTCAGTAATAGCTGGCACGGTCGTTGGCATCTTCATTAGCTTCTTCATCTACAAGTATGTCCCATGTCCACCCCTTCTGCACATTGACGCCACGTGCTCACACCTTATACAGGGGGAGGAGTGTTACTTCTGTGCAGAATTTCTTACTACTGCCGACGTGCTTACTTTATCTGATTGCTGCCGGCCTCTTCTCAAAGGGAGTGTGGCACCTGGAAGCGCATCAATGGAACAAGATAGTGGGTGGTGATGCAGCAGAACTTGGGTCAGGACCTGGGTCGTACGACATCCGCAACAGCGTGTGGCATGTGAATGTAAGTTTGCCGATTGTCATCCACCATCAGACTCGCTTATTAATTCTGGCGATTCAGTGCTGCAACCCCGACCTTGAAGGCGGCGGATTTTGGGGAATTTTCAATGCGGTCCTAGGTTGGCAGAACTCGGCGACAGTAGGTTCCGTCGTATCTTACAACGTCTACTGGGTAGTCGTTGCCTCAGCCTTTTACTTGAAGATTCGTAGCGACCGCAGAAAGTCCAGGTTCACTGCGGCTCCAGGAAGCGTTCGTGAGCCTCTCCTGGTAAACAACGAGAGCAGTTGATTGCGGCACAATATCAACCTCGGCCGCTGTCCAGGAGAGTTATCGGTATCACAAACAAATCATAAAGTATGCCACGGCTACTTTCTGCCATGTGTTAAACTTATCATCACGATACGAGGTCACGAACGCTCGATGCATGTCGTTTCTTCCCTCTTTATGCGCAGTCTTCATGGGGCCAGACATGATCGGAACCAACACTCGACCGTCGGTTAGGGCTACCCAGAAATCGCCCGACAGTACAATGAACAAGTCTCATCATGATTGAGGGTGCAAGTAGAGATACTCTCTTTATTACCTTGTTAGGCATAGATAACACACCACCTCCTCCCCATCCTATTCTATTCTCAACGGCAGAGTCTTTCAAGATAATGCCAGTGCATACTTACGTATCCTCTGAGGGGATCAGTATGATAGACTGTCTAGCGGCCAACCGTTATCGACATTATAATGATCTAGAGGCGTTGTCCCCTGAAGATCGGGGTAATGAACCCGGGTACCACACTGATTCTCGCCCGCGTAGACCTCAACGCATTCGTTCTTCAGAAGTCCAGACACCTGCATGCCAGCTTCGCGGCCTTCAAACCAAGCTCCGTGCAAAAAGCCAAAATATCCAGCGCTGGTAGCCTCTCCAGCAAACCACAGTCTGTCAACGTTGGCTCGCAGGTTGGCGTGCATCTCGAGGGTGGTACCTATAGGCCAGTTGGCGTAGCTTCCGTGAGCCCATGGCGTCTTGGTCCAGCGCGGGTAGTTGAATGCCGTCGGTTGCGGGATTTCCTTGTCGGGGAACATCTTGCGTAGCGCCTCCAGCCCCTCCTCCATAGCCTCTTCGTCTGACATCTGTTCCAGTCTGTAGGATTCATCATTGAAGACGGTAGCAAAAATTATGTTGGACCCCGGCATGAATCCCTGCGGCGTAAGCGGCTGCCAGAGAGACCAGTGACCACGCTTCTCGGGCGAGGCATATAGGAGATACTGAGTCTCTTCGGGCCAGAATGTCTCGTTGAACTGGTAGAAGACCTTGGTGTAGGTGCCCATGTCGAACCCGTAGATGGACTCCTCTTTCCACTTCGGTAGCTCCGGCTCAAAGGAGACGTCCTTGTTCTGGAGAACGCCAAGTGAGAATGTGCAGATGGCATATGCGGCAGTCACGCAGCCCCCCTCGTCATCGAAGATGGTCACCCCATCGCTTGAGTACTTAATGTTATTAATCTTGGTGTTGAGCAGGAGCCTCTCATCGTCCTTCTTGAGAAAGGTGCCCGCTTCGCCCTCAATAATAGCACTGTATCCCCGCGGATCAATGACGAGGTTGTTGGCGTCGCTGAACTGGCTGAAGGTGAGGTTGTCGTTTGCCGTGCCGAAAATCATGGACGATTCGTCGGGCGGATAGGCCGACTCAAAGTCTACCAACCGTCAGTCGATTGGAACCAAACGCATCATCAGGCCTTACTCACCCCAGTTCCATAGCTCGGCCGCTTGGGCTTCCATGTCAGAATGCTCAGGGTTCCATCCCGCCATGGCAAGCCCAGAGCGCGCGCTGCGGTCTTGGATATTCTCAGTGAGCATGTGGCCCGCCTCGAGTGTCATCTCTTGGATAGCCTCGTAGCATTCGTCTACAAGATGACTGTAGTCGGCATATCCAGAGGCATTGTAGGTCAGGATTGAATCATAATCCGAATACACAGTCTTCAGGTCGTATTTCTTGGCCTAAAATCCTGTCAGCGCTTGGTTTCATAGCACCACAAAGGAGAATCTTCCGCTAACAAATGTCCAGACGGGATTTTCTGCGCCATCGGGGGTACCCAACCCTTGCACCTTGGAAACGTTAGCTGACGGTCAAAAGAATAGCGAATGGTGAAATAAGCCTACCCAATTGGCCCCTAGTTCTATTATATATGGCGAACCGTCCTCTCGTTGTCCGAATTCAGTGCTCTTGACACGGCCTCCAACGCGATCCTGGTATTCGAGTATTAGGAAATCCGAGATGGATGCATTGTGCAGTGCTTGCTGGATCTGGTGTTAGCCCTCGCTTTCTGTCTAAGGTTGAAAAACATTGAATGGAACTCACTGCCGCTGAGATACCGGCCATGCCACCTCCTCTAAAACCTAGTCAATTACACGCCGTCATAGCACATTTCCTTTTCGGGTAACTTACAGTATAGCGACGGTCGTCTTTTTGCAGGTTCCCTCATCCCTCTGCTGACGTGCCACACCTGCGATAACGCCATCACAGAACGCTGCGATGGCAGCCGCCTTGAACATTGAAAAGGTGCGCATTTCGGATTGTGCGTGGTGCCCAGGTGCCCAGGTTACCGAGAAAGCTGAAGTCTTCCGGGACCAAAGCAGCTTCTCATGCGATCCTTTTACATCTCGATTGGAACCACTATAGGAGTGGGGAAGCGGCTGTCTTGATTCCAACCTCTTATCTGATTCACTCACTCTCTTGTACGAGGATCTGCCAGGAAGATGCAAGGGAGGGTTTCTTACTGCATTCGGCATGGTGCCTTAAAGAAGGCCGGCCGGATATCCCGTACAGGTTCCTAAATTCGACCTTTTATTGACGCGTATGACACACTGTCTCACAGAGCAGCTTTCCGCTGGTCAAATAGCACATTGAATCTTGAGCTTGGAGGTACAATTGACTCAGTGCAGCGCCTGATCATTTGAATCACATCCCCTATAGGAATATCGCATACATCAACTGGCAATGCATTCACAGAGTCAGAGCCTTTGGGATAAAGAGGGACAAGTGCCGGCACTTTTGGGACTTGTCTGCATGCAGGTGTCAAAAGATAAAGCCAGAATAGATACCGGTGGAGACGGTGTGGGGACAGATTCAATGGTACGATTACTCCGTACGCGTCGTTTGATAAACAATGGCATGCATGTAATGATCCTCAAAGCCACGAAATGCCGGAGGATGCATGCTGCCTCCTCATCCTCATTTGGCCATTATCGACCTTCGGACTCCCAGCTGTATTCTAGGGACGTGAGAGTATAGCATCCAGTGGCACTAGCAAATACTGTACATCATCCAACATGTAGCATAAACAGAAATCCGCGAAAGAAAGGAAAAGGTACTACCCCCGCGCCTTTCCGGGGCCTGCTTCAACTTTGAAAGGCACCCAGTGGGCTAGGCCAGCGCAATATTATGTCTTGTTCTAGGTAGATTTACCTTGCTGTATTGATGTGGTGATAATTTCCCATGCAAACCTGCGTTATATGCATGGTCATGAGGAAGACTCCGTTGCTCAGAGCCATGCGGTAGATGCAGTCATCCATACATAATTCTTCCTGCAGACTGCACCGCATTATACAGTATTGGTTTTCTTGCAATTGTCTGTGTCTCATAGCCTTTGTTAATGGAAAAATCCACTCAGCAAGAACCGGGAAATGGCGGTAGATACATAACTTAGGCGCATTGAATAGTTATTCTCTTCTAGCCCAATGTCCTTCATAGTCGTGAATAATGCTCGCTTCAATTCATAACTCTCTATGGGTATATTCTCCGTCTACGTTTCAGTGTATCTAAACCAGAAACTCGTGATTTCACCAAGTATGACGTTGCAGGCGTCGGCCAAGCCTTAGATTTGCATCGCCTATTGTTCCTTGTAAGCCTCCACAGAAACACCCGGGCTTCCCGTTGTACCAGGACCCTTGTAGTTCTTCCGCGCACCGAAGAACCACCACAGAGCAAAAAGGATTGTGAAAGCACCCCAGATCAGTGACGAGTAGTTCATCGACTGGGCGTCTGTAGGCAGGGAGTACGGGAAGCAGTAGATTACGAACCACACCACCATGTACACACAAGCAATGGAGTTGACAACGACGCCAACCCAGCCACGCATGCGGAATGGGCCGTACTCAATGTTCTTGCGGCCGGTAAGAAGATTCGGCAAGATTGCAGCCAGATATGAGCTTGTCGATGTAAGCACGTAACTGCCAACAAGGGCATTAAAGGCTGTTGCGCTTCCCACATAGATGACTCCGAGGATGGTAGCAAGCACGCCAGACACGACCGTGGACCAGAGCGGCATATGCAGCCTATCATCCACGCGACCCAGGACTTTCGGGAAAGGCGTAGCACCGTCACGAGCCAATGCCCAAAGTGCACGGCCAGTACAAGTATATTCTCCAATGACACTGAAGGCCATGCAGATCATGACGAGGGACAGTAGGCCTGTCGCGCCAGCAGCGGACCCCGTTGCCTGGCGATAGATGTCTGCGATGGGGTACGAAGACTCGAAAAGCCCGTCGTAGTCGCTGATGGCATACATGATGGCGATGAGGTAGGAGAATCCGGTGACGAAGCCGATCCCATACTGCATGAGCATGGCGAGCGGGATGTTGCGTTGAGGGTTGGGAATCTCCTCGGCAAGGTGTGTTACAACGTCGGTGGCGCCCACGCCAAATGCGCCGTTGAGCATGCCCGTCACGAACACGAAGCCGTCTGGGTACCCGATGTCGGCAGTCCAGTCGGACCAGACGAATGCCGACGAGGCATGGGGCGCACGGCCACCGCGACCGGGCATGACGGCGACAACGACGATGCTGATGAAGAAGCCTGAAATAATGGCAATCAACCCGGCATTGTTCAAGAGCGGAACGATACGGTTGCCGAAGCAAACAACCGCGCAGGCCGTCCAAGTCGACAAGGCATATGCAACAAAGACATGCCAATTCTCGACAACGAAGCTGGGGTGGTTGATGGCATACATCTGCACCACGGTATTTGCAAAGATGGACGTCATGCTAGACAGTCCGGTCACGAAGGCCAGGTAGTTCCACCAGCCGGCAAAGAAGCCGATCGTGCGGCCCTTTTCCACACCAGGGGTGACCGAGGCCCAGTGATAGACTCCTGCCGCGGAGGGGATGGCGCTGGCAAGCTCGGCTATGCTCGCAGCAACATTCCAGTAGAAGAAGGAGACGACGAGGAACTCGTACAGAACGCCAGGGGGTCCTCCATTGAAGATGGCGACAAGGATAGACCCGCCAATGGCCGGCCAGACATTTCCAGTTGTAAGGCCCAGTCCAGCAAGGGACACGAGGCCAAAATTTCGCTCGAGTTCCTGGACGTGGCCCGACGCATTGACGTGGGCGGCGTCTGTCGTTCCATGGTGGATATCAGGAGCCGCGCCGATGACACGGGGCTTGCCCCCCGATTCCGATGCCACCTTTTCGATATCGGTTCTTTTCATGGTTTCATTTGTCTCTGTGCAACCGGACTTTCTGGCTAGCCTGTCTTCGAGGGGGACGATGTTATTTATATGGTCTTTTAGACGAAGCTAGGACGCGGGGAAGCCATCTGCATCCAGGGTGCCCGTTTGGGAAGCTGACTCCGCTTTCGGCTCCCCTGGGGCTCTCGAAAATTACCTGGAAACCCCCGTTATCAGACCAATTGGGAAGCATTTGATCGAGTAATGACATGCGCAGATCTATTAGACATGGAGTGAGGGTGGAGTTGTTGGAGATAGTGAGATAGTGGAAGGTCCACTTGCTGCCGCCGGCCAATACCTGGGCTCACAGACCATGCCACTATCATCATTCAAGTAATGCGATGAAGTAGCAACCGTGGTGCAGTCCGGTTACCTATCATGCGATATAAGGCGAACAAGTAATGTATCTTAGGAATTGCAATCCGGATCTCGATACGGAGAATTGGAATACTCGTATGATTTGCATGTGAGAAAAAAACGGCACAAGGCACTTTTCAGAGGTATGGGGGAGTGCCTACAAGGAGAGTGTAGATGTATCATGCCCTGAGCAGATAATGTGATAATCGTAACCCTGAAAATTACCGGTCAGGGCGATGGCGATGCGAGAGTTTCCACCCCGAATAAGTAACAACGTCGGCAAGCGGCAATCAACGGTTAGTATTCCGTCTGACTGCCGAATGATCCAACACAACTCGTACGTCAGAGTCATGAAGCAATTACGTTTTGATAACTGGGGGAAGAAGCGCATTCTGTTGATCGCTATGACAGATAATAGAGCTACAACGTGTAGTAGTAGCGACAGAAAGGGATATAAAGTACAGATTACTGTGAAAAGGCACACATGTTCAACCATGACTATTGAACACGTGGTTTAGCTCAGACATTTATTCGGGTCTTTTAGTCTCCAAGACTTGAGCTGGTAGATCTGCGCTTACCCCTCCTTGGGCCTAGGCAGATGCTTAGAATGAAGATCAGTCAGAGTTCATAGCCCAATGCCTACAGGTATTATTACTCCGCAGATTTGATCACTTGCATGCACTGATCTCGAAGTCTTTTCTTCCCGCCGCGTATACTGGTTGATGTTTAGTCAACTGGTATGATGAATATTGTATATTATTACTTGTGTACCCCCTCCCCCCCCTTATAACCTTCCTCTTTGGGGTTCACATATACAGCCAAAATAGTAATTATAGTAATGCAATATTGAGATCTTGGTCTCACTGAAACTACACATGTTGAAGAAAAAGCATTGGAGGGAAGATGCCTGGTTGCCTGTAATGCTCAACGCCTGCGGTGCACATACACAAGGTCGGACCTCGTATAAGAAAGAGACCGCGCATAATCAGCGGCCAATTGCGAATGAGTGCTTGTGGCTTGGCCTTCGTATAAGTACGCCAAAGTCTGACTCTGCATGCGAGCTCAAGGGTGTGGTACAAATTTATACACTGCAGCGAATTACCAATATTTCGTCTGTACTTTAGGCTATCAATACTTCCCTCTTATTCCCTATTAGATTTTAGATTTGCAGGCCATCAATAAAAATGCGAGCCTGATCTGTTCGCTTTGTTGTCCGCTTTGTTTATATATACCGCTATGAGAACTGCGGACGAAACAGTGGTTCTGGGGCTGTCTATCTATCTGCCTGAACCGCATCCGTATAATCTCGAAGTCAATGTTTCGAAATTTGAACCATCAAATCACGATGACATCTCGCATAGGTGCAATTTTGCTTGTTCTGGGTCTCGCGGCCGCCTGCGACATCCCGGGAACCCCACTAGGGGACAACATCACCGAAGGTTTCGGCATCCTGGTCCAGAGTCCCGACTATGAAGTCGTCAACAACCGATTTTTGAACCTCTGGTCCGCTGGTGGCGGGGACCAGCATCTGTATCTCAGCCCTGCAGGTGACTCTGTTTTTGACCTTGTTCTGAACCAAGGTTTCTTGCAGACAGGCGCTCTGACTGCCGTTATAAATGGAGAAGTGCGGATATACCTTGAATCTTTCCCGAGATCTGATGAATTATCGTGTTCTAATCCCTTCTCGTTTTGATCAACGCTTGAGATTACAGTATGAGTTGGCTGATAACACGACGAAAATGTTCATGACAAGCCGGGGCGACCCCCGCGCCGTCTTCAAACCTACGTACCGCTGCGACCCGGATACTGACGATCTCCAAGTCATGCTGGCGTTTTCGATGCGACAAGAAAGCCCTGCTGGAGGACATATATGCGTCCGATCAGCGTCCGACAACAGATATGAGTTCCGTTATTCGCCCCCAAACAACCCGGGTAGGTGCTGATCTTGGACATGTCGGATGAGATTTGTTTCTGACAAAGGCTCAAAGCCTTCACGCCTGACAGGCCATGCATGCCGGTCACCATGATTGTCGACCGGTCTGGCGCAGGCTCCTCTCCAACTGGCAGCGCAACGAGAACGTCAACCACGGTCAGCGCCACTGCAACGGCTACATCGGTACCGGATGCCTTCACCGACCTCACGGAAGAAGGGTTTGCCTTTATAGGGTGTGCCCCGGAAGAGAGGAGAGTCGAGGACGGCCTGGGACGGACGTTGACTGATGCAGTCTTGTACAATGATACAATGACCAATGAGATCTGTGTCAAGTATTGCGCGTCGCAGAGTCTGAAATATGCCGGGACAGAGTACAGCCGAGAGTGCTGGTGCGGCAACTCCTATCCGCCGACGCGTGAGCCCGAGACAACTGTCGAGAGTCTGTCTTCATGCAATTTTCAATGCGGAGGGGACGCGAGCGAGATATGCGGCGGTGACAGCTGGCTCAGCCTCTATGAGTCTTGTGGTGATGCTTCTTCTTGCACCAATGCTAAGTTTATATAGGAAATGGTCCTCAGACCCTAGCTCCATGAAAAACCTCACATATATTTTCTTACAGAATTGCTTGATATCACAGAGGACGAGAATGGGTTTCTCTCTTTAGTCAATGGTTCTGTTCAGTAGCTCAGCTCGTTTGATCACCTACGAATATACCAATACAATATGTTAATAGCCTGGAGCCACATGATCACGCGGTTCAGCCAGCCCTTTGCTTTCTCACATCTCAAATTGTGCAGTAGCTAGCTAGTCAGCAGAATCATCATCACCTTCATTCCTTCAGCTTGTTGTGCCTTCCTTCCCATGCCCCAGCACAACAAATGCGAAGTGTGATGGCAGCAGTCTTGAGCAGTTGTTTTGGATGTGTATTATTTTCTTATATGGATGGGGCGCAAAGTATCTGCTGCCTCAGACACTGAAGCCCTTATAGCCTCCATCATCGCGTACATTGCAGTCCCATCTGAGTGCTTTCAACCTCGAATCACTGCCTATTCACCAACATAGCACATATACGCATCCTATCTGGGTACGACTATGAGGCCCAGCACGACGGCACAGAACATCTCGCCGTTGATAGCATTCGGTGGCGCCGCCTTCCACGTGGAACGAGGAAATGAGGTCAACGATCAATACATCATCATCCCCCATTGCGCCTTTGTATCTGGTACTTCGCCACAACTACGCCGTCGCCTAACAGATCTCGTCACTTACTTCACTACTACCCTCCCAAGCAGACTCGTTGTCTGACACGTACATTGTCATGGATCGAATCCAGGGCCGGGAGCTGCCGACTGTGTTCAGGACGGTATCTCCAGAAGTCCTCGATGGTATTTTCTCAGCTGAAAAGTATGATCCACAAGTTACGAGCCTTTGGTCCTTCCAGGAACAGCTGTAGAGAGCTGCGTTGGCAGGTTACTGCACAACTCGCGCATACACCGAGGGGGGCCTCGTTTCGACCCCTCCAAGACGATCCGAGATTTTTTATTTCTGGCTCAGAAACGACTTCACGCCCCAGCGCCTGCAGGGATCAAGATTCAGACGATCTCCAAGACATGATGCGTCACCACGATGGGCTCTAGCCTCCTCCAACTTTGACTAATTTCGAGGCAGATAATGTGATACAGCTTTAGCGCTTATGGACGCATGTTTCGCCTTCCTAACCAAGCGCGCGATCGGGGCTAGTTGAAGCCGGAGTTGAAGCCGGGGTAGAATATAATCACTTGATCACTCGTCGATAATATGTAGCTGTTCATTTCAGCGTTGGAATCCCGGCTGCAATGAACCTTGGTGGCTGTCACGCCGTTGCGTTAAAGTGCATGAGGCCACCTTGTTAGACAAGTTGTTGCTGAGTGGCTAGAGGATTCTAGATAGGATTCAGCCAATTTACTCTCAGCCACGTTTACATACGTCAACATCCCCGAGGATATCATTAGAATGCCAGTGACAGCTGGATCAGATTCTGCGAGTTGTGGGGATACTGCTTCTTGCGTCAATGCCAAGTTTATATAGAAAGGGTCCTCGCGCAACCACCGTTTTGTCGTATACATTGAACAAAGCCAGCATGTGGATTTCGAGAAAACAGTTTTTATTCTTTATGAGAACAATCAATTTTTTCCACTCATAAAGTATTACTCAAATAACCTCTAGAAAGAGTCGGTTCAGTACCATCTTTTGGCAGACTTCTCGTCTCATCAACAGCCTCGGCTATAGCAGCCTTCAGCTTATCGATCGACTCATTGGTGATTTGGTGATGCAGGGCGATACGCTGACCCTCCAGTTTAACACCGTGCTTTTTGCACTTCTCCAGTAAAACTGGCATATTGATTGCCGATTTCTCGGCATCGATGAAGAAGAAGTTTGTATCGACCGGGAGCTGGGGCACCACACCCAATTTGGCCAAATCGGACTCCAGCCTTTTAGCCTTCTGATGCGTCTCCTTCATAGTCGGCCAAACCTGTTCCAACGCAACACGTGCGGCAGCCGTCAATACCCCAGCCTGCCTGATTCCGCCTCCCTGCTGCTTCCTCAGCCATCTAGCCTGTCTTATACCACTCTTTGTGCTGGCGAGCACACCTCCCACCGGTGCGCCGAGGCCCTTTGACACACACATAGACACGCTGTCAAAGTACTGGCAGTAGTCGCTGAGTGAGTGGCCGCTCGCAGCCGAGGCGTTCCAGAGCCGTGCGCCGTCGCAGTGGATCTTGATGCCGTTGGCCCTAGCGAATTTCGCAATAGCCTCTATCTCCTCGAGCGGGGTGAGGACACCTCCGATCGTCAGCTCCAGACAGATGACCTTTGTCGGGGCGATGTGAATGTCGTCTCCCAGGATGGCGGATCTCTCAACGTCCTCGGCGGTAAGATATAGCCCGTTCTTCGGGTGGACTGGCATCACCATGGCCTGGGACAGGACAGCTAGTCCAGACCCTTCCGAGGCGTAGACATGGGCTCTGTGGTCGCACAGGATCGAGTGCGGGGGCTGGGCGAGATGGATGCGTACGCCGATCTGGTTGCCCATGGTGCCTGATAGCATAAACAGGGCGTCTTCCATGCCCGTCAGCCGGGAAATATCATCCTGGAAGCCGTTGGTCGTCTCGTCTTCACCGAATACGTCGTCGCCAAAGGTAGCGTTGGCCATGGCCTCCAGCATGGCCGGTGTCGGCGTCGTGAAGGTGTCGCTGCGGAAGTCATTTGCAGCTCGGGACTGGGTGGATTCTGGCATTTTCATTTGTGCTTTCGATATGAGGTCTATATCATGAGGTATCAGGAGCACTTGCTTCCAGTGTAGGTAGTATACACTCAAATTATGACGTGGTTTTGATCATGTCAGTTGTAATAACTGTGTAATAATGGTTGTGTTGTGTTGGACTTATGACCTTGACACTCGTCCCGTACCTCTCCATAAAAAATACCTGTGCCAAGATTACCCCTCTTCGCGAGTCCTCGACAGCAACTCCCACATAGGGTTCAATAACAATTTGACATGCGTCCTATCGCTTATACATGCCCTGATCCGTTGCACACGCCATTGCAAAAGGCATGTTAAGTTACAAGTCCGTTGTCAATAGCCTGTTTCCATTGCGGTGACCCATATTGTCAACCTGGACTATTAATCTAACAATCGCGGTAAGTATACCAGATAATCATGAACAAAACAAAGAACCTTATGCGAACACCGATGCCAGTCTATAAATATCATCATATCATACACAGGTACAACACAAGGTTGTTGCCTAATAATCGTCACCGTCGAGACCATACTCCTCGTCCATATCTGGGTTATCATCATCCTCGTATCCACCTTCAAACTCGCCACCTCCGCTGCCGAACTCTTCTCCATAATCTTCGTTTTCATCGTATTCGTTATAAGGCTCCTCCTCTTCTTCCTCTTCTACGGCAGCGTCATCGCCAGCAACACTCTCCTCGGGGGGATCATCCTCCTGCACGCCAAGGGTACTCCCCGCCAGACTGGTCTTGCGACTCGTGGTCTCAGAACCCAGGCCGTCGGCATTGGGGGCGTCGAAGATATTGCGAATGGCGTCGTAGTTGATGCGCTTGGACCAGGCACGATCCTTAGCTACATTGATGGCGGCCTCGGCGGCTGAGCTGGCGGGACTGGTCTGGCCCTCACCCATGCGGGCGCGCTTGCGTCTCCGGCGGATCTGCTTGGGCCGCTCGGCCTCGACTTTTCGTCGAAAGACTTTTTCTTGGTGCTGTCGGAGCCACTCCTTATTCTGGTTGACCCAGATGGTCTCCTTGATGCGGGCCTCGTCGGGAGATAGGAGACAGTTGGCCACCTCGGGATCATCGGCGAATTCATCCTCGTCAATGTCCACCGACATGGAAACTTCCTTTTGTGGCCGCTGGAGGAGGGCCCACTGGGAATGGATACGCGCTCGTTGCTCTGCGTTGGAGTAGGCCAGGGCATGCTCATAGGTCAGAGGATCGTTGAAGATTTCTTCAATCTGACCTTCAAGCTCCTGCTCATCCTCCTCCCATTCTTCATTGATAGGGAGTTGCGGTTTCGGACGACCTTTTCCACCCCGGCCGGCCCGGGTTGTCTCGGACTGCCCATCTCCATCTCGCTCCATTTCGTCTCCGAACTCTTCGGCAAGACGCTCTAAGCCCTCCTCACTGACATCATTGTCGCCGCCTGCTTGAGTGGTAGTGTCATTTTCTCGGGGAATTTGTGAAGGCAATGGCGGAATGATGAAGCCATCTGCATCTCGGCTGTAGCTGACGGAAGGCGCCTTAGATGTGTCGGCTCCGAGAATAGCTGAGGCTCTCCTTTGAGCTCTTGGCGCAGACCCAGCATCGTTGTTTTGCTCGTCTTCTTCCCTGTTATCTTCTTCGTCCTCGGTGGCACCCTCACTGCGCTTCCGCTTCCGTGTGTTTCCATCAGTTGTCTTCCTGTCTTCTATGCTTTTGTAGAATGAGGGAGGATCGTGTGAACTCTCGAGAAAGTCCTGCTTGAGGAAATCCTCAACCGTCATTTCACTCGACTCAGTAAACTTGAATTCAGCCAGACGGTTCTGAATAGTGTGGTTGGTGACTTTGACAATGTAGACAACTTCACGGACGGTGCGGCGAAAATTGTGCATGCGGGCAGCCATGAGCAGGCAGGCACCGCAGATACCTGAGGGACGACGACCCATGACCATCCAGTCACGGCTCATGCGCTTGACTAGGCGCACGGCATCCTCGGCCACGCGGGCAGTGTCCTGGTGGAACTCCATCTTGGTGGCGAACCTCCAAATCAGGTCCTCGGGATACACAGGAATGAGGCCGTCATTTCCGATGGGAACCACCTCGTTCAGCTTCTTAAAGATGCGACCCAGCTTGAAGACGTTGAGCTGTACCAGGTCTGCCAGGTCGATGAGCATGACCTTGCAGGGGGGTTCGGCACGGCAAGCGGCGTAGAGGCAGACTGCGGCCACGCTGGCAAGAGTGCGGCCCTGAATGAAATTGGCACTGGATGCCAGCTTGAAGACCTGTGATCCGGCCGTGACGAAGCTATCACTGACATTAAGCTGCTGTGCGTATCCCTGCATCAGACTCTTGGCCTCACGGATGCTCTTCTCCCGATCCTCAGTGCCGCCGACGCGCCTGAAAGCCGGGCCCATACTGCGGACACCAGCCTGGTCAGCACCAATAAAGGAACCCTGGACCATGGCAGCACCAGAAGATGTCTCGCCAAATTGCACCTCGGCGACGATGTTACTGTCGTCGGCGATGCGGCCACAGGTCTGGCACGTGCCGTCGACGACATTGGGCTTGGGACAGGCCTTGTTCGGACACTGCTGGCGCGCTGGGACAGCCAGGCCGGGTATGTTTGTGCGAGCCCCATGGGTGGTGACGCGTGAGCTCTCGTGGACGGAAGCCGTGCTCGCCTGGCGACGCTCTTCGCGTTCGCGCATAGCCCGTACCGGATTCGGCCTTGCAAAGCGAGGCTTGGCAGGCCCGCTACCAGCCTTTTTGGCTGGCGTGAGAAAGGATGACATGGTTGGAGATGTGTCTGTGTATGTATTTGTGTGTGTTTGTTTTTTCGGGTGGGTTGGGCGTAGACGACGAATGATATCATCCGTGTCCCAAGCCGCGGTAAAGAAGGTTAAAGAAGAAATTTGAAATCTCGACGCAGTTGATTGCTTCGTTGAATTTAATGAAGCGGCTTTCTTGGTGGGTGGGTGCCCCTCTGATGTAACTCGTCTTCAGCGGGGTAGCAATATGGGGCAAGCCGCAGGTGTCTAGACAAGTCACCCTGACTTGAAATACAGGAGTCCCAGGCGAAGAGTCACGATATTCATGTAAATATGTTGTAAGACGCGGTTTGTCAACGAGTATAAGGCTGACGGCGGTTGTAGGCTCTCAGTTGCTAGCGACCTGTTAGATACTGGCAGAGAAAATTGTGCACAGGTCTCGGTGGGCATGCGCATTTCTTGGCTTGCGATGGTCAAGTGGATCAGCGAGAGAGAAATTTCGGTTAGTCACGATTCAAGTCAGAACAGCTGACAGCCTAAGGTTCGAATACCGGACATAGCCATTAATTTTGGTCTTCTTTTTAATTCCTATTTGTTCTCTTTTATTGCAGTTATATTTTAATACAATGTATATGTTTAAATTTCCTATATTGACATTCACACTAGACTTCGCTATTGAAAGACAATCAATTCGTTGCCACGCCAGCGTCAGAAGCACATGACTTCCATACACTAGACAATTTCGACGCCGCGGCCACGAGGGGTCTGGTGGTACATAGTAACATAAGGTCGTTTCCGCACATAACGTTCATTAGGTAATAATCACTTATTTCGATGACCAGTTCTCTGAATAATCTCGGTTTAATAATAAGAAGGCATAGAGAAGCTTATACGCTTAGTATACGTATATAGTGCTAATTCGATGCTATTATCTATAGAAAATCTCTTCTAGGATTACAGTCATACTTGTACTATGTATTCCTCCATAGCTTAGGTAAGCAAGACTCGATTGTAACAACGTCAGATCCATCCCTCTTAGCATAGACAACCAACCAACATACACACCGGCAGACTACAAGAGCATGAGAAACGACATCACCTATATCTACCCTGTAGCTTGGAGTTGACCTAAGCCACAGGGCATTAGAGGCGGCCGCGGGAAATATTACAGTTTCGAATCATAGCGGTGACTTTTAAACCTAGGCTTTCTTCAAGAAATAACATAGCTTCCTATACGCATAATTCTACGTTGTTTTCGTTATTTCAAGCTATGTTGGTTGATATACGTCGTGATAGGGATGATGTACAAGTCTGCTTGCAATCGTGACCAGCACCGCCTTGGGTGGTGCAAGGTTAGCCGAGTGACCAATAAAGTGGGGCGGCTACGAGTATTACATGTCCGACGCCCGAGACAAGAAATGATGCTTACTCATTGTAGTAACAGTATATTCGAGACCTATTATGAAGACGGACTCGTAGGGGTATAGAACTCGCGAACACCACCGGCAGGCGTCTCAACTCCCTTACCCTTTTCGTCGGCCTGGGCCACCGGGGCGGGGGCCTGGACCTGGGGAGCAGGGATGAAGAATTGGCCCTGCGACTGCGTAATCTGTTGCTGGTGAGGTTGAACCTGCTGGATCTGCTGAGGCTGCTGGATCTGCTGAGGCTGCTGGATCTGCTGAGGCTGCTGAAGCTGTTGCTCCTCCATGTGGTAGGAAGCCGGGGGGACCTGCTGCCAGCCATTGTTGGGGTGACCCCAGTAGGCAGTGGGGTTGACGAGCATGATGGGCCTGTTGCGGGCGCGGTTGAGGCGAGAGGTGTCGATGCAGGCGCGAACGAACAGGCCGAAGTAGATGAGGGTGGCGATGCACGTGAGGACGGCAATAGCGATCCATATGCCCAATTTGCTATCATATGCGTCCCGGCAGTTTTTGTCTTCGTAGTAGCCCTTCTCGGAGTTGTATTCGTAGTCGCAGCTCTCCATGCCAGAGTACCGGATGAAGACGGACTGGAGTGATCCCACGATGGCGCCGGCCAGCCAGATGATGAGCGTGGCGGCGACCATGCCTCCCGGTGGCACACCCTTTCTGAACTTGTACACGGCCCGGATTATGAGTTCGAGGCCGCTCCACAGGATGACCATTGCGGGCTATTTTTTTCGATTCCACATTAGCCACATATCAACGAAAGTGTATATTATAAAAAGAGCCGACTCACCATTGGACAGGCAATGGCAGCAACGTAGGGGTTCTCCCCGGACACGAATGACAATCCCATGCCTAGAACACATATGCTCAGGACCAGGGAAGCGACATGCATTCCTAGCTTGCCATACACCCACATCTTGTTCTCCTCCACAAGCCCCGAGGGCTGGGGGATAACGTGGGGTTTCTGTAAGACGGCTGGGTTGTAATAATACTGGTTATCGTTGTTGTAGGCGCCTCCATACTGCTGGTAGCTCAGGTAAGGCAGTGGGGCGGCGGTAGGAGCCGGAGCTGGCTGGGGCGTTTGAGCTGTCTGCTGTTGCTGCTGGGGAGAATCGGTGGAGGAGGGTTCCTCTGTTGAGCGCGGAGCTTCTGCCCTAGTGTTCTCAGTAGCCATGTTGTTGATATGCGTTGATGAATCAGAGTGGCCACACAGGCTGGGTATATAAACGAGCGATTGGGATGGGATGAAAAAAAGAAGAAACAAAATTGATAAAACTCCACGTATTAACGAATGACTTTTGAGCGAATGCCCTTTTTTTTCTTTCCCCTAGCAGTCCATGTTAGGTCTTATATATGGAATGAGAAAAAAATTAAAAGAGTGACTGGCCTCGGTGTGGCGTTGTCTCCTATTTTCGTCTTCATGCTTCATATGCATGTAAGACGGGGCCAAGGGGGAGAGACAGGCCAGGACAAGAAGAGACCTACCAAGGACCAATGCTAGAGAGGGAGAAGAAGGCCTAGGCTTCTTAGCGCAGGGGTAAATAAGCGAGATGGGGTTAATGGACTCAGATGGGAACGAAACTGTGAGGTGCCAACGGCATTTACGGCCTAGACCCGGGCAAGGCGGCCGCTCATCATTGGTAGCCGTAAAGACAGTGGTCATCTAGCGATTCGATAGTATCCGGCCATTTCCCTTTGTAGTACAAACCGCTTTGCCTTTGGTGGGGCTACAAAACACGCGGATAGGGCTGCGCGCCGAGGTTCCAATGAAACTGTCCAAGCTTTTCCTAGCTTTTCCCAGCTTTTTCCCAGCTTTTTTCCCCTGCAAGCTCTATCCAGATTCTAGACATTTTTTTTAAGCGAGCTTAGCCACCGGGCCCCTTTAACAATTTGCAGCTCCTGTAGCTGTTCGTGCATTCAGGCCGGCTGTCGATGCGGGCGCTTCCGGTTGTATCGTGTATCGATATCGTACTGTCTCGTGTATATCGTATACCCTTTTACTGATGGCACCCACTACAACGCGTAGTGGTAGCTACATAATACTGCTACGTAGGGTTAGTGCTTGGTACATGTAGTAGCATTATTCCAGTCACGCTATTACGACGCAAGACTGGCCACAACAGGTAGATAGGAAGCTGTCCCTTGTTCACCTGATGATACAAGTCCGACAACCATTCACATCAGCCAAGTGATATTTTATTGGTGATATTTGCTTTGCTTATTTTATCGACTAATTCTGAACCAACAATATCCATGAAGTCTTCACGATTCACAGCTACTCCCTCTGCATCATGGCAAATAGACCCATGACCCCCAGCATCACCGTCTTCAACCATGGATGCTCCGACAGCAGAATTGTCACGTAGCCGACGAATGGCACAAATCCAATCACTGACCCGATAATGTCCTTACGTACCAGGTAGTCTTGTCCGCGCGCGTATAGATCAGTGTCGTCAGCCACGTTATTGTCGCCCTTGGTGAGCAGCTTGGCCTCCTCTCTGTCAGTATGGATTGGTTAGCTTGGCCTTCTCTTGTAATGCGTCTTGCGCGACAAGTCCTTTTGAATAACCTCAACCCCCCCCTCCACCCCCGTCTTTTCGCCACCGCACGCATTTACGTACCCTGTTCCAAACTTGCGGACGACACGGTGGACAATGGGAATTTCCTTGTCCTTAATATTGTAGACGACGACCTCGCCCACCCCAGTCTCTTGCACCAGGTTGCGGTTCCACAGGAACAAGAGGTCTCCTCGCTGAAAGGCCGGCTCCATGGACCCCGACAGCACCACGACAATAGGCGACGGCGAGTCTGTAACGACTGAGAGACCCTTCCACATCTGCATCCCACGCGTTAGCTATCGGCACTTCACCAAACTAGGCATCGGATTGTCGCAAGGGTGAGGGCGAGGGTGTGGGTGCTCGCCCCAAGAGACACGCACCATAAAGGCCGTGGAGAGAACCAGGGCAAAGTTGAGAAGCTGCCCGGCCGCCTGGCGTGGGTTCCGTAGGCCCGAAAGCATGTTGGGCGATTGAACTGGGGTGTATAACGAATGGAGAGGGATCGGTCGGGCGTCGATAGTGTCGGTAGGAACAAGGACGAAGAAATGGTGGGATTTGGGCCAGACAGAGGCCGGCCGTGATGATGCTGCGAGAACTGGCCGTTTGGGCGAAATGGACATGTGGCTCTCTCGCGCACGGACCAAGAACCCTTTGAACTTTCTAGGTATTAGGCACTATTGGTTGCACCTTCCCCCGCATAAGCTAAAAGCTCAGTGCTGCCGCCACCAGAGGAACAAAACTACATCATCTGCCGTTAAAAAATCATCTGTCGTTAAACAACCACCTATCTGCATCACGAAGTAATAAACTGATTTTAGTCATTCCTGCCGGTTTGTCGTCATTATACCGAGCTGGTTATCCTTATATGACAAACTCCTCCCACGACTACACAGCCAATTCTTGTCATGGCGCTGGTTACGTGTGGTCACCGCCAAGTACATGTAGATCCCTATGCGTTGCCAGCAGCTCATCAAAATCTCCATCCTTACAGTCGCTAACTATTATATTGTGTGACGCAAACTATGGATCATTATTGAAGATGCAAGATCGAATACAACACTGTCAAGGCGAAATGAGCAAGGGCAAGCCGATAACAGCGCTGATGAAATCCCGTAATACATCCTCACTCGACGGATACAGATGTCGTGCAACCTTGCAGACACCTAACGACCCAAAGTCTCCGGGCCATACATTGACTAATACTGGGCTCAATGTAGCCCTATATACTCTTGACGAGTAATACGAGTAATACCCGAAAATCCCGCCGCGGTGCTGTTTGGCCTTATGTCTATGGCCCGGTCAATGAGGCGGAGTGGAGGGCCGGGGTCGTTACAGATTGGCGCCAAGATAAGGCAGCCCAACCAGTGAGAAAAGCTGGTCGACTTGGTCAACTCCGCCACCAATGCAGCAACTTCACGGTTGGCGATACAAAAGGCTCGTATGCCCCAGCCAGCCGTGAACCGGCTCCTCTCCCCTCTCTCCTTCTTCATCCCCCGCCACACGCAAGCCACAAGGGTCGCAAAGCCAAACCACGAGGATATCCCATGCATATTGTATTCTAGCCTTCACTGTCGAGGATACATATATTGCCTGGTTTCCCGTCGCCCGGACCCTGTCAATCCTTTCTGTGCGTCTTTCATTCATTTTCCCACTCCCTCCGAGCAACCCCGCAGCTCGGTTTTCTCTCCTACGCTCTTTTCGTCACTCTTTCGGTCAAAATTTCGTCTTGCCACATTCTTTCAGTTGTGTCTAGGGTTCGCTTGAGCCTACCCCCACTTGCAGTCATGTTCAAGCGCTCGCATCGGTCGCGAGACCACTCGCAGAGCCGCGTCGACAAGACTGCCAGACTGAAGAAGCAAGGCTCCCAGCGGGATCCTACGAAAGTGTCGAGACTGCAGAGGTCTCTCCAAGACAAGGATGAGCTGTTGGCCGCCCAGGCCGGCAACATGCCCAACGCCGCGCCCTCGCCCATCGTGACACTCACTATTGGTCGCGAGGGTCGGCTCTTTGCAGCGCACGAAGACGTTCTGCGACAGTCGCCGTTTTTCGACATGGCTTGTCGCGACAACTTTTTCGATTCGCAGAGCAGGAGAATCTTTCTCCCTGACGAGGAACCCGAGATCTTCTCCGCCGTCCTCGAGTACCTATACAAAGGTGACTATTGCCCGCGCTTGGTCCCCTCCAAGCAGCAGCGCAACACCTGGGAGCTCGAGAACAACCCGACAACCCCCAGCGGACGGAGCCCTCGCCCGTCACCAAACCCCGCCAACCCCAGAGGCGGTCGCCCCGCAGGCGTCTCCCCCGATGCCGTCGTCTATTTGTCGAGCGTTGGGGCCGAGATCCTCCGCGACACTGTCGTCTACTGTGCCGCCGAGCGGTACGGTCTCGACGAGCTGAAGCGTCTGGCCCTGTACAAGCAGGGGCTGCAGGCCGGCATCGATGTCGGAACCATCCTGCGGTCCGCCCAGTACGCCTACGCCCACACGCCCGACTCGGACAGTCGCCTGCGTGCCCATTACCTCGCCTTGATCATCCGCTGCCGCAAGACGTTTAAGCGCAGCGGAACCATGCAGGCCGAGATGGAGGCTGGAGGAAGCAAGCTCTTTTTTGACCTGTTTGTTGCCATGTGCAATCACCTTGACGACGTCATTGACGTTAGCAACGCACGATCTCCAAAGGCGGTTTGAATCGTCTTGGTATCAAGGTTGTCTTGGCACATGCAGTGTCTCTATACCTGGACTCGATCTTCCTTTTGCTGAGAGAATGAATCAATGAGAAGAAACAGATGAAGTAAATTTTATGAAGAAAAGGTCTTCCGGGAAGAAAACTCTCTTAAAAACACAAAAAAAAAGACAGCATGGCGGTTGATTTCTTTTCGTGCTTGGAACAAGGTTTCGATATTCCCAACGGCGTTGTTCGCTTTCTACGCTTGCCCCCTCTATCAGATTGGCGCCTTGAACGCGGTACTGTTTTCCACCTTGTCGCTCAACTCTTCACAGAGATTGTTCGCTGGCCGCATTTCTGTCGAGGAGAATAAGCTGAGAGTCTAGCACGCTGTACACGGAATCGTGTTGCCTCTTTGCTCCTTTTACTGAAAACACTCTGCTTGCTTTTTCTTTTCCTTTGAGAGTTTTTGTTTGATTCCCGCGTCTTCATGTCGCTTCTACTGAGAATTTCGCAAGCGTTGTTTCGTTTTTTTGATCAGCGATTTGATTTTCGAGTCATTTCAAGGGTGGAAGAGCTATGAAAGCCGTTCAGTCTTCCACGAGGGCAACATCAGATTGTCGCCGCACACATGCAATGCGCGGGCCCTCACGATATCTCGGCAATATTCTTTGATTGGATGTGCGGAGAGCCTCCTCCTGAGGAGGGGAACCCTGCATATCTCATCATCGAGGCCCGCAGATGAGACCAGAGTCATGGCTATCTACAGGATGGACTGGCCACGACTTATAACACTACCCACTCATCTGCTGGCATCTTTTATCCTTGACAAACTCGTGTCTCGTGACAAATTGGAAAAACCATAAACCCAACTGGTCTCGTGTTGTACTTTTTGTTTTCTCTACTCCATTTTTTTGTCATGCTTTACTTCATGACCAGACAGTTGGGCATATGTATGGAGACTACGAGGAGGAAAGGACTGCGTGGTGGATCAATAAAAGACGTCAAGCTCAAGAGTTTTCTTGTTTCAAGCAGTCTTGATGATTGCTTGGCTAGACAGAACAAACCAGGGTCGCTAGTCGACCCTCCCTGAGACGTCCCGGTCGTCAGGGTGGAGGTAATGACAAAACGAACCGCCTCAACTTGTGTGTCCAGGTTATATATGTGATGCAATGCGTAGATGTGCCCATCTTGGTTGGAGTGAAAGGCACTTTACTTACTGTTGTAACTCAACGTTGAGAGAGTGAAAAGTAGCCTCCAACTCTCCCTTAACGTCCTTGTTGGGTCTAGCCACCACGGCACCAACCTCGACTTCCCAGCCCTCACCACCGCTATCGCCATACACCCAGGCAATCTCCCTGAGAGGCACCCTTCTGCCCTCGTCGTCAATATAATACACCCAGACTGTCTCCCCATTCCTCTGGAGTCGGACAGTGACAGCCTTCTCCCCCAGCTTGACAGCCCCGCTCACCCTACCGTCCAGGGGTGCAACACTCCAATCAGACCAGTTATCGCAGCACACGATGGACAGTCGCGGCTGATCATCGAAGAACTCAACGCCCGCCTTGATCCATTTTCTGGCCCCCGTTACCGGGTTGGTAATTGTCAGGACCAGACCCGCCTGGTCGAATTGCGTGGTGTACACTGTGCTGAAGGTCACGGTGGCCGAGAGGAGGCTCGTGAGAGGGGCTTTGGTGTGCGTCTTTATCGGAGCTGTGTAGATCTTAGTTTTGGTACGGAGGAGCGTGAGGGTGGGACGAAGTACCATTCTTGTCATCGGTTGATGGGGGCTTCCTCCATAGATCGGTACCGGGGAAGGCGGAAACAATGAAGGGGAACGTTATGTCGGGCATGTTCACAGTATCACGAGTGAAGCGGTGTTTATAGAAGTAGGAACGATTGGGGTGTCAGGAGAGACAGAGAGATACTATTCATATAAAGGCCTTGACGGTATATCTGGTCCGGGTAAATCATGTATATATCGATGTAATCGTATAGAACAGGAGTCTGACGATCTGAGAGATTGAGACAGAGCTCATGTATGCTCCATGATGGGGAGGGCTGTGTCATTATGGAGGCGGGGTGATCTGACTCTGGAATGCCCTGTGGGGAGCCTTAGAGTAGCAGCGTAGGATGGAGTAGACTCCACACACCAGTTGTTCTATGTTATGCTCTCATATCATGACTTTTCCTATACTTGGAGCGTGGAAGAGTCAAGAAGAGAAATGGCATTGTAAGAAGTCTCCTTCTCTGTGTTTTGAAATAGCCTGTAATATTTACTTTTGGTATATTAGTGCATTTGGTATGATGATGAGGCTGTTACTAATCTATATTGAAGGAATAAGTCAGCCCCCTCATCAATCAATCACCGCACCTTGCGATCGTTTATTTCAGAGACCCCGAGCAAGGAAAAGGGACCAAGATGGCAAAGAACCAAGAAGGAAACACCCAGAACCCCCAAAAAGGAGGATTTCAAGTATGAACAGGGAATGAGTAAAGAGCTAAAAGGTAAAACACAAGAAACCCACAAGGAGGATCCCCAAGACTACGAGTTAGAGAACAACCCTACAAGTCCGAGTTAGCGGAACTAGTGTATAAGTTCTTCGCAAACAAGGAACGGGGCTAATGAGCGTTATTAAAATTAGACAAGATATGTAAGGAGGAAGGGGAAGAAGGAAGAAGGGGGATAGTGTCACAAAAAGGGGGATGTCCGTCTCTTTTGGTATGTCTTGTGGTCCGCCGGCTGATGTGTGTGCATTAGTTGTTGTCTATTCTAGAAGAGACGGATCCGACGTTATTATATGTCGGGTCCTACTTACCTAAGCTATAGATGAAAATACAGTAAAACTGACAACAAGACGCACCAAAATGAGACGAGTATCCTTCTTTTTTTGTGACACATCTAGTAAGATCCCTCTAATACGTAAATGAGGCTTGTTAAATCTTGATGGGAAGAGAATTATAGAGGAATTAGTAGCCGTAAATCACCAAAAATTATAGAAAAGAAATATCACGATATAATTAATGGAAGGTTGGAAGGGGGGTAGTAGGGTGGACCCCGTGATCTGCGGAATTCAGCGGAACAATTTGTTGGGGGTAGAATCTAAACCCAAAACAAAGCCCAAAACCCCTAATGTGGAAAATCAAGAAATCTCACCCTTCCGTTCAAGGTCATCGTAATATCACATCGCTAGGTGTATGTTACAAGGTGACCTATCTAGGAAGGACAGCCCGAAGTGCATTACGACCTGATGATGCATATGTTAGTGTTTGTATGAACACCCTCAAATTCCGCATAATGGTGGTTACTCCGGTCTGGGGCCTGAGTCTCAGGGTTTCTAGCAAACCTCTTCCTCATACATATCTACAGCCTCATGATCAGATAGGTAGATAGAACAAGCAAGATCATTACAACCGCTGCGGCCCTTCCTTTGTAGGGGCTAAAGCATCTGTATGATCACCAACCATCTGCGTGCGCTACAAGAACGTACCAGCAGTCAATGCACTCGATCTATTACTCCTTTTGTATAATGCGACCGTGGCCCAGACAAAAACACGCCATCAGATAGTATATCTGAACCAAAAATCAAGAAAGAAACCGTCCAACGGACCTAGATGAGGGTATTCGCCATTAGACCAAGCACACAACAACCCCCTTTCCCCATTTTCAACCCGTAGAAAACCAAAAGGGTGAACCAGAAACCAGAACAAGCGATAAAACGACAAAACGCAGGGATAAAAAGGAGAGTGGGAACACAGTAGTCTGTCTACTCATCGTCGTACTCCCATTTCTTATTGCCCAGCCTCCTCGCCTTCTTCGGGCTCCCATTACTAGCAGCACTAGCATTCCTCAGCCCGCTGGGCGCATTGGCACCAGTGCCTCCACTGACGTGCATCCTCTCGAGTTTACGTCCGAGGTTAGCCACCGCACCATTATTGTCGTTCTTTGACTGCGACGTCTTTGACGGCGAAGTTTGCTGCTGCTGCGGCGATGACGATGCCGAAGACCTGGACATGAAGGAGTAGTCTTCCCTCTCCTCGAGGGGTCTGCGCTTGCTGGGGCTGCGACCGGCAAGTTCGCGTCTGAGCACGCTATTCTCGCGCCTCAGCCTCTCAACCTCCTCCTCAAGACTCTCGACCAGGACGTTCTCCTTATCGCCGTCTTCATGGGGCTCAAGACCGCGCTCGAGAACATCGACCTTCATGTTCCAGTACTCTTCGCTGCGCTCCTGCTCCACCGCAAGCGAGGCCTTGAAGCGGGCCAGCTCTATGGCGAGGCGCTGCTCGAATTCAGAGGCGCAGTCGTCGCGGATGGCTGCCTCGAGGTCGAGCATACGGTCCTCCATGGACAGCAGGTGCGCCTCGGCTGTCATGCGAGCCTCCATCTGTTGTTCCACCTCGCTGCGCAGGTGATCTATATCGTCACTCAGACGGGCAATCTCCAGTGCGGCCAGCTCCATGGTCACGCGCTCGTCGGGCGTCACGTTATGGTACGATCCGTTGCTGCCGGGCGGCATGAATGGCCGGGGGTGGTAGGTTGGCTGAATAGGGCTCGGCGGCTGGGCGGGGCTGGCTGGGGGAGCGTTGGCCAAGATGGTGGCCGTGATGGACGGGATACGTGGGACTGTCACCTCCCGCGCCAGGGCCGAGTAGCGGAGGATCTGGGACGTCGCGTTGAAGTCGCCTAACGGGTCGGCTGTGACTATCATGACACCGCGTTGCGGGTTGCGGCGGGGCACGTGGGAGTGCCCTGCCGCTGAAGGGGAGGGGAAGGAGTTGGAGAACAGGAGCTCTGTCAGCTTGCACTGTCGGTAGGGCACAATGTTGGGCTAGACAATTGGGTCAGGTTACACATATTTCTCCCGTAAAATACCACCGCAAGATTAGGAAGAGGAGGAAAATACCTTGGATGATGTACCAGCCTCACTCTGCGTCTGGAGGCACTGGCCAAGGTACATGAGACTCTCGTTGATCTTGCCGGCCTCAGCCAGCGTCGCACCGGCCGTCTTGGCATCGCGCGCGCGCTCGCTACCAGCAAGATCGACAATGGTGAGTCGATTGCCACCCCAGGAACCAGAACCGCGGCTGTGGGTACGCTTCATGACCTCGAAGGAGAAGAAGCCGTGGCTGCGGCTGGAAGTGCTATTGCTCCCCGTACCCGAGACCCTCCTCTCCTGGAGACCAGCCTCAAGCACCATGATGGCTTCCTTGAAGGTCGTGCAGACCACCTTTCTCAGGCCGGCGACGACTTTGCGATCAGGCGACAGCTCGGTCGACTTGAATAGGAGGGGGCGGCGGCGGACGTCCTTGGATGTGGCTGACTTGAATGGCGGGGTGAGGAGGTCATAAATGCGGTCATTGTGCACCTCGTACATGGATAGGACGACGGCGTACTCGGCCAACGGATCACACAAGAGCTGGATGCTGCTGACGTCGGGGGTCTGCGGTAGAGTTGAGGGCCTCTGCATGTTTCGTCGGGTCGGCGCAGGGGACATGCGTCCGATGGATTCGCCCTTGAAAGCTTGTTTAGCACTATGAACTGTTCTCTTCTTGTCTCGGGTAGAAGCTGTGAGGATCATGTAATGCCTTAGCTGGCGACAACAAGCCCGCTTGGGCTGGGTAGGAGATGGTGTCTTTTCTAGGCGCTTCTAGCGCAGAGGCGAAAACATCTCATCTTGTTGATCTCCGGCAAGCCCTACACTTTTCGGGCTCGAGAGTACAGAGTCTGGGAACGAACAGGGTATAATTGGAGTGGTCTGTCGTACAATCATAGGGGTGGGCGCGCGAGACCGAGACCCATGCAGCGAGTCTGCGCATGCTGCCTCAAGGAAGTGTACGGCGGGGACGAGCGATGCCTCGGAGGGGTCGCAGGACTGGAGCGATTCTGTTGAGGCGGCAACGTCGTAACTATCCAGCATGTTGGGGCCGATGGATTGGAAGAGGACGTCGAGGGACATTTGAGCCAGACCGCGCTGAGTCTTGGAGCCCAAAATGGTGTGTGTCTGCGTGAAGAAAACGGAGAGGTCAGCTCATGTGGTCTCAGTTTATCTCGTCTTGTCCCGCTTTGCCACTCCTATCCTCCCAGGCATTCATTCGTATTACCTTTCCTGAGCCAGTAACGCCCAGAGTGGCAACCACTGCATCTGTGCCCTCGCCACCATGAGGCGCCAAAACGCCCTGGATGAACGACGGAATCTGGGTGCTGTTGAACACATCGAGCTGCGTCGACTGCTCCTCAAAGACGCGTGTGAAGCCGAACCTCTCGATGGCACGGCGACGGTCGCTAGGCGGGTTCAGTGTGACGTGCGAGGCACCACCGATCTCGCTCTCCTTCCTATCCTCGTCGGCTGCCTCGGGAGGCTCCACGTTGAGAATGCGCTCTGCACCACCGGCCGATACTGGGGGCGGCCTGAGACGCAAGAAAACCTCGAAGAGGTTGTGTGACGATTTGTTGGACGCTTCCATTGTTGTCGGGTCGATTACAGTCGACGTTTTGTTATCCTTGGCCGATGATGCGATGGGTTTGTGTTTGTGAAGAGTGTTGCACGCCTGCGCTCTATAAGTGCATCTGTTTGAAATAATCAGTGGCACGAGTACTACGAAGACACACAAGGCCTTTTGAACGGTAGTCTGTGTTCTGGTGCGAGCAGTACTAATCTGTACTGTATTGCAAATGGTATTACAACCCGGAGTACAAATTATGCGAATGCTTAACCTGTATTTACAATGTGCCACTAGGGTCGCGTTGCCGTTGCTGGGACAACTATGGGTCTGTCCCACTTTTCGACTACAAACGCTATGGTTAGACGTCAAGCCTCGACTCTGGTTAATGACAGAGGAAAATATGATGCATTACTGTCATTGGCATTTTTGTGAGTTTTTTTTCACTTCCTAGAACAATTGATTTCGAACATCCAATCAATCCAATCATAGCGTTGCTTTCATAGGAAAAGCACTAGATATTGGTAGTGCCACGGTTGCTCATTCCAATATGCTATTGACATATCAATGCCCCTCATGCCATTGTCGGTGGACCGTCACCCCACTATTTCAAGGCGTCTCTTCGGATCAACATCTGTTTTAAGAGTAGACGTTATTACCCTATATTACGACCTGCGTGGCGTGTACAATTTGCACTGCACTTACTAGTGGTGTGCTGTGTAGGTTAAACAATAGTATGATGTCCGTTAACAAGATATTTTTTATCCAATTTGCAACTTTTTTTTCTTCGTAACTACTTTAGATTATAACCGTCTGCATCCTGTGCAGGGCTGCTGTTGCCAATTACAAACTCGCTCCACGTCGACCTTTTGAGAGACAATCAACTCTAAAGCAACGCCTTAGCAAGAGCACATTTACTTACTCGACAGTGCAGTGACACCGGGTAGCTCCTTGCCCTCGAGAAGCTCGAGAGAGGCACCACCACCGGTAGATACGTGGCTTAGCTTGTCCTCGACGCCGTACTTGGCGGCGACGGTGGCAGTGTCACCACCACCAATGATGACAATCTTTCCGGCATTCTGGGCACCGTCGACGACGGCGTCGAGGGTAGCCTTGGTGCCGTGGGCAAACTTCTCAAACTCAAAGACACCAGCGGGGCCGTTCCAGAGGATGGTCTTGGCGTCGGCAATAGCCTCCTTGTAGAGCTTGATCGACTCCTCGCCACAGTCGAGACCCATCCAGCCCTCGGGGATACCCTCGGCGTCGGAGGCCTTTCCAGTGTTGGCATCCTTGTCGAACTTGTCGGCAGTGATGAAGTCAACGGGCAGGACGACCTTGACACCCTTGGCCTTGGCCTTCTCCATCAGGGAGGCGACCGTCTTAGAGCCGGCCTCGTCAAACAGCGAGGTACCGATGGGGATGTTGTAGAGAGTTTTCTTGAAGGTGAAGGCCATTCCACCGCAGATGATGAGAGTGTTGACCTTGTCCAGGAGATTGTCAATGAGCTGAATCTTGTCCGAGACCTTGGCACCACCCAGGATGGCGAGGAAGGGACGCTTAGGAGCCTCGAGGGCCTGAGCAAAGTAGTCGAGCTCCTTCTTCATGAGGAACCCGGCAGCCTTCTGGGGGAGGTCGACACCGACCATGGAAGAGTGGGCGCGGTGAGCAGTGCCAAAGGCATCGTCTGGGGGGAGTGTTAGCACATGGTATCATCCTCTCTCTATCTGTGTGAGGAATAATGGGAAAACATACTGATGTAGACATCGCCCAGGGCAGTGAGACCCTTGCGGAACTCCTCGACCTTGGCCTTGTCGGCCTTGACCTTCTTGCCCTCCTTGTCCTTGGAAGAGCCCTCTTCCTCGATGTGAAAGCGGAGGTTCTCGAGCAGAACGATACCGCCACCGGTAGTCTTGGAGACAATCTCCTCAACCTCAGGGCCGACACAGTCGGGGGCGAAGGTGACAGGCTTTCCGAGGAGCTTCTCGAGCTCGGGAACGACGGACTTGAGAGTGTACTTGGCGTTGGGGGCACCGTTGGGCCGGCCGAGGTGGGACATGAGGATCACCGTCTTGGCGCCATTCTCAAGGGCGTACTTTATGGTGGGGAGGGCACCGACAATACGCTGATTGTTGGTAATATTCTTGTTCTCGTCAAGGGGAACGTTGAAGTCGACCTATTCTTGTTGTGATTGCGATCAGCTTATACTGTCGTCTCAGGAGCATCTCGCGATAGAGGGGGGAGTAGCAGAAAAAAACATGACCCCGCCATGATGGAGGGGCAGGGGGGGGAAATAGTGACGTACACGGATCAGGACCCTCTTGTCCTGCACGTCAACGTCAGTTATAGACAGCTTGCTGGAGAGAGACATTTTGACGTTTGATTGAAATAAAAGTCCTGTATCTCTTGTATTTGGAGATGATGTGTATGTAGGAAAGAAGGAGGGAGGAGATGGATGGATGGAAAAAGAGCGCAGCAGAGGTAGTTGTAGCTGACGGTTTCTATGAGGTGGGTGTGTGGTAATATGATGCTGGTGGCCAGCGGCGGGGTCCGTAAAAGCTCCTTGTTTTGGGCTTGGCTTGACCAATGGCCACTAGAAATTTTGGCATTGCCTTTGCTGTGACGTGACTTTTTTTTTTTTCATACTATTGCTAACAGTAATGGCACCACTACTGCTACATATCGTATGGAGGAGTAATTACTACGAGTACTATGGGACCCTCGGCGTCTCTGCGGCGGAGTCCCCGGCTGAGGCAAAGCCGACAGCCAAACGCGCCCTCGCTTAAGAATAGAGATAGCAGGGGAGTGAGTGAGTTAATGTCGGCAGTCTAGATGCATAGAACATCATGGACGATGAAGATGCAGTTCTAGGTGGCAATTGGTAGTCGTGCCATCACCGTGGAAAGAAGTTTGTCCGGGATTTCACGGGAATGCCTATAATTTCAGGTGAGATTGGTTTTGTAGGGAAAGAGGACAAAAGGGAGGACGCAGGAAGCAGGAAGCAGCAATTTTTTTTTTCCGTTTTACCACACAGGTAAAGAGGGGTCGAGGAGGGGCCAAGGGTTGATGGGAGTCAAAAGGGGTTCATGGGCCTAAAAATAATTTGCTGATGCCATCACTATAAAACCCTGTTTGATTACGTCGTGGTCCCTGAAACTCTTCTCTGCTCTTACTAGGATCTTAATTATATGAAATACTATTCATCACCTAGAGCTTGGAGGCGGTAAGTATCAATATGTGCTTGTGTTAGGCACTCGGGACGGACAAGGGAGGGGAAGGAACCGATATTATATTGCTTGTAGAGTTTTACATAGCTGAGATGTGGGCGCCTTCCTTGTAAAGCAACACATCAGTGCACAACATCAGTGCTGCAGAGCATGCGACATGGCGGGGCTTTATCGTATGTAATAATATTCCGGGCCTCCAGAATAAAGCCTACATACATCAGGTATAGGCCGCGGTTCTACAGGCTACAACTGCTGCAGTGGTGATTGACCCAAATGGCGGTGACTGCATTAGGAAGTGGCCGTCCAGGCCCCCTTGATAGAGCTCCAGGGCTCATACGCAGAACATATATTATACGACGTACATTAGCATCATCGGTTGCTTCTTCCTATCGACCTCGTTCTGGAAGTCTACAGAGTGATGATATCTATTAGTCCATATAGTAATAATGATACCTATTATATGCTGGTAGTGTATATTAGCTCTTTCTAGCATACAAGATAAACATTGCTAGGCTTTAAAATGTTACTTATATGTACTCCGTACACCATCTGAGGACAGCGGGTCGCTCACGCTCCAGAGAGGAAAAAGGGCAGTAAAAATATAGAAAATATACTCGCAGAATCAATCTCATTGTGCTCCATATACTCACCTCATTGGCCTATTAGAGGTCCCCTCCTCCCCCCACCAAGTAATGGATAGGCCAGGCCCAGTAATAATTGGAGGCCCATGGCCAGACCCAATAGAGAGTCTCAGACTTTCAGAGTGTTAAAAAAAAAAAAGTATTCATCCTGTTTAGGCTCCTCTTTCCTCTTTTCTTCTTCTTTTCTTCAACACAACCCAACCTTTCAGACAACGAAGTCGCCATTCTCCAGCAACGGAAATCGAAATATATACATAATCCATTACAAACTTCGTTGAGTCAAGATGCCTCTGGCCGTCGCTGAGCTGTAAACCCCCACTGCGAGCCCCGGGAAAACCCCTGGGTTCGCAGTCGAGCCAGTTCACCGAGTTCACTCAATTTACGACCACATCGACGAAGTTTTACAAGCACATTTTACGGATCCCCGAGACGCCGACCTTTATGCTACTCAACTTGGGCAGCCTCTTTCTCTTTCAAGTCCGAAAAGCTTGTTTCTCCTAGAATATTATACGACACAACAACCGGCATCTACAGCAAAAACTGTCTTCTAGAGAGGCAGACCTACCTCGACTTACCTCGACTTTGAAATAAAGAATTTTCAACCACGAAGAAAAGAGAATATCTTTGAAACCAGAGTCACTCCCCTCACACAATTACCCTTGTCGGTTGATCGCTTAACAGATTAAGCCCAACTGCATCATCACCACAGTGCCGGATTTTTGCTACCCGTGCCCCACTCCACCCGGCAACAAACTTGGACCTCACCGCCCATTGCCCACCAAACGACTCTCGACACGACCCCCCGCAGATTTTCCAGCCGAGATGACGAACCGGAACGCTCGAAAAGCTGCCCCTGCAAGCGCCGCAAAAGGCACTGCTTCCAGGAAACGTCGCGTCTCCGTCAGCTCCACCTCCACCTTTGATCTCTCCTCCAACGACAACTACTCTGGTGTCGACGACATTAGCGATGACGAGGACGACAATGAAGACGACGTCTTTGCGGTCGAGGAGCAGGCTATCATGGGTGAAGCCAGCCCCGCCTCTACTCCTCGACCGCATACTTCCTTCAATGGATGGGTTCACAATGCCTCTGACCAGGATGACTCTTCTAACGACGATGACGATGGTGACGACGCCGACGACGACGATGACAATGAAGACGACGACGAGAACGGCTCCATAGCCGCACATGAACCCACAGACGAAGATGAAGATGACAACGCCAGCTGGCAAGGCATCAAGTCGGATAGTGCCGACCTCAACGCGGAAGAACTCTTCAACGTTGACGTCGAGATTCCTACCCAGAGGCGCGTCCGCTTCAACGTCCCCACTGATGAGTCGTCCGACGAGTCGACTGAAGACGATCATGCTAGCATGTTCCCCGACATTTTTGTTGACCAGTCAACCCTGGATCCTAGTTTCCGTCGGCAGATTGAGAATGAGTACGACGAGTCATCAGCTTCTGACTCCTTCTGGGATCACACTGCCCTATACAATGATGGGCTGGACGATGAGTCAGATACAGAGAAGGTGTATAGCGGGTTACATACGCCCTTCACCGAGGACCAGACGCCCGTAGTCTCGTCCACGACTCTGGACCCTACCTTTGGTGACATGGATAACATCGATCTCGATGGATACGAGAGTGAGTCACTGATGCCAAACATCAGCGTAGACTCTTACCTGTTAGTTGTGATGCTAACCTGAAGCCTTGCTTTTCTTAGCCGATGGGGAATCTACCGAGGACGAAGATGTTCCCCACCCTCCCATCTGCCGCAAAGTGTCCTACTCATCGTCTGTCTCAGACAATGAGGAGTCGGCGTCGGAGACGGAGGAATCCGTCCGGCACCGCACGGACCAACCGCGTGTCTCGCGCTTCAGTCTCGATAAACTAAAGAAGAAGCCTATGGCCGTATACAACACCAAGACGGGCAAGATGATGATATTCACCCCTGATCGCCAGCAGCGACTCGATCTCTCGCCAGAGCAGTTTCGCCTCGACTCGTTCAGCGGCCTGCAACCATGGCCCATGGACGAACAAATGTCCCCCATTGTCGGAAACAATACCAACCTGATGTTTGCTTCCTTTGCGCCCAGCATGATGTTAAATCCGAACATGGACATGGACGGGTTTGACGGCCTCTTTGGCGGTCTAGATACGGGAACGTCAGCAATAGACCACAGCTCGCCCAGTCTGGAGAATGAGTCAGCGAGGGAGTCGGATCGCGACCCTGAGGTCAGCCTCCGGGTGTCCGACTTTCTCGACCTGGACAATGGCTCTTCCTCGGAAGACGAGGTTGATGACAGTTCTCCCGTCAAGCCCACCAACCCTTCGTCGACACCCATGCGTCCCACCACGGCCTCAAGCGACGCCGCCGATGTACTGGGTCATCTCAACCCCGCCGTCGTCGGTGCCTTCCGCCGCAATCAGACCAACTCACAGCTTATTCGCAACGGAGCCACCCAGGATTCGCTCGACTTCAGCGGGCCCTTTAACAGCACCGCCATCAGAGGCATTCGCTCGGACCGCTTTGACACGGCTGCTGTACCCCTGACACCGGTGAGGAGACACAAGAAGCAGCTGAGCGATCTGGGTCGCAGTCCCCTTGACTCCTTGTCTGCCAAGCGTAAAGCTCCCAGCGATGCGGCCACGGCTGCTACGGGGCACAAGAAACAGAAGAGTATTTCTGATGTAGGAGCACTGCAACTATAACATCTCACACGAGGACTACCAAGACTTGTAGTACTACTCCTACTGGTACTACTTCCACCAACCATGTTTAATGGAGTGACTTAAAACCACGGCAGTTGGTTGAGCATTCACCAAACGCACCCCAAGCGGGGCACAAACATTTTGACATAACATGCAAATTACGTGCGAGGACGGCATAGCTACTACCCAGCCTGAACTAAACAGCGGCACGCGCTGCTATCCCTGGCCTCGACATACGTCATCTGAATGGATCTCTCTTTATGATCATCTTACCCTCTTTCGTTCCTCACGACGACATTTTTTTTTTCTTCTTTTGTTTTCTTTTGATTGTTTTTTTCGCTTCCTTGTCATTCTTGGAATGTCTCTTTCTTTCTCTGCCTCTTTTTACCGGCCTCTACTCCAGGCCATGATAGGCGTTGTGGAGAGATCAGGGTGTATGTGATTTCACATAATATAAGAAAAGACATAGACTAGCTTTGTCGTTTAAGTTTGCGACGGAAAAAAAATATTGATACATAAGTGTGCCGTGAATTGAACAAGTATGCTATGAATCTCATATCTACGTTATAGAGTGTTGTTGTCTTGGAAGGTGTACTCCTTGTACTCCTTCAATGATGGTCGGATATAGCACTGGTTTCAGTAATATGTTATCACGATGCAGACATAGCAGATGCACGTATGATGAGGATGTTGTAAGCTAGTGCAAAACAAAGTTGAATCTCGTTCTGTATTTTGATATATAAATTACTGTAAAGGACCAGCATAGTAATACTATAAGAGTCTCCATAATAACAATAGTGACTACATATTGCTAATAGTGAAGAATTCTATCGAAGGCAAGGCTTCTTCTCCCCATGACTGTACCTCTTGGTGCGTCAATCAAATCGGAATCCTCTTATACTAGAGTAATGGACGAGAAAGATATAATAGGTCTAGTGGCGCAATGGCAGCGTACCACTTTCCGGTGGTGGTGGTTCCAGGTTCGAGTCCTGGCTAGATCGGATTTTTTGCACTATCGCACCCCGAGTGTAGTAAGTAACTGCCCTTTTTTTTTCCCTCTGCTATCATACTGTACGATATTACTAGTATTTAGTAATGCACCACTATAGCGGGCGATGCACTCGTCATCGTGAGGGAGTATTACGACAGCCCCCGTCAGGGCATGGCATATACACATACGCAGATTCAGTCAGTTTATGCATTCGATGCACAGGTAATGGAATGTGAATGTGTAAACAATCATCACTACTTGTTAGAGACTTGATTGATTTTGAATCATGGTCCATTAGAACCTAGTATAGAAGAACCAAAATCCGCCGTGTAAGTAATATATGTATCAACTCGTGACTCCAAACACCCAAACGGCAAACAAATGAGACCCAGAGTAAGGTAAATAAAGGCAAGGCAGGTTGTGTAACGACATAGTAAAGTAGAGAGCGAGGGACGCAGAGTGAGAACAACATGGCGGGAGAGACAAGAGTCAAAAGGACTAAGCGAAAGAATAGACAATGTAGGAGATAACCATGGTTAGTACGGCCGGCGTGTCAACCTGGATGGCGCGATAGTGTTTTGAAGTTTTCGATATTTTGATGCCGCGAGACTAGGAAATATATATCCCTTTAATCGGACGAAGTGGCTAGGGACAGGTAGGCGGTCCATGCGATACCGATGGTGGAGACGAAGGGCTGCACACAGAGTCAGCGATAGTCACTGTGGAAAAAAAGAAAGGAAGGGAGTGAAATTTACCAGCTGCAGAGGAATAGGGATGAGACGAAAGTTGACAATCTGCACGGCGGGCCAGACAATATAGTTGGCCTTGAGAGTCGGGACATACATGTCGCGCAACTTGTTTGCCACAGCCCTGCGGCCGCCGCCTTCGGCGACGGTCATGACAGTGAAGAAGAAGGCGAGACTGCAGGGGGCAAAGATGAACTGGTCAAAGGTGACACGCTTGATGGCGGGACCGAGGGCGCTCGTCTTTGTGATGGGGAAGATGCGCTCGAGGAAGCCGAACCACTTGAACTGGATAGGAGCCATGCAGAAGCCGTAGGTCATGAAGCGGGTGAGGCGCTCAAAGTCAAAGGGAGGCGGGCGGTTGAGGTAGGAGCTTAGGTATTCGCTCGTGGCGGTCTTGCGATCGAGGTCGGCGATTTCGATGGAGATGTCGTCACCGCGCTTGGCCAGGCTGCCGTCCTTGAGGGATGAGGTGCGCACGCGGAAGGCCGAGATGGTCTGGGCCACCGTGTCGGCTATGCCTCCCAGGAGAGCGTTGGTAACCATCATGGTCATGATGGGACGTTCGTCGTAGTAGGCGTTGAACTTGGTCGACAAACGGGCGGCGAGGGCCATCTCGATGAATAGTACTATGGCGTGCAGGAGGGGCTTGACGACGACACTGTCAGTACTGTTGATCAAGAACATGTTTTCCATCATCACTCGAATGGGAGGCGGTCAGATAAAGATCGAGAGAACGTACAATACGACCAAAGATGAAGCGCTCGTTGATGTTGCGCATCATACGACGCCTTGTCAACTCCCACGTCATAATGTAGATGGCTGGATTTCCGACTTTAGAGGGCGGAGAACAGATTATGATGGAAAGGGGTAGAAGACGAAGGGTGACGTCCTTTTTTTTTTTTCCGAGATGGATGACGACAGGGCTCCCAGGTGGCTGTGGCGGGGGTGTCGATTGTGTGCGTGTGTCGTGCGACCGGAAGATCAGAGTCGACGGGGGCTGATCAGATACAACTAACTGGAGTTGTTGAAGAAATGGATGAAAGAAGAAGTGGATGGAAAGTAAAGGCTATGGGGGCGTTGGAAAAGAAGAGAGAGAGAATAAAAGAAGAGGAGAGAGGGGAAGGAGAGGAGGTCGTGAGAGAGTAAAACTGCCACTACTTTGGCATAGTGCATCATCTCTCGAAGAGTTGCATCTCACCCAAAGACTCCGACTGTCCGACGCTTTTTTCTGTCCCTTTCTTCTCCGTCTGTCTGGCTCGCTCTCCCTTTGAAATGGCGTATTTCTTTCCCTGTGTCTGAGAGCAAAGACCTCTTCCCTTTTGGCCCCACATCCTCTTACTCGTAAACGTGCAATAGCGGAACTTTCGGCTTCTCTAGACTCTGGTAGTCAAGATCCCACGGGCGGCTAGCAAATGCCTAGCAATCACTGATCAGTCTACCTGATATATCTAGAGTCTAGACAGACTTTTTCTATCCCCTGCAAGGGACTTTGGCGAGCTAGCAAAAATACTCTCTTTCTATCTCTTTTTCTGTCTCTGGTCTCTGTTGTCTTTTCTTGGGAGTTAAGCGCCCAAGGTACGGGGCAGAAGGGGCTTTCTTGGCCTTTCTATTCTTTTCTATCCTTTCAGCTCTCCACAAGCTTCAAGTTGTTCGGATTTCATGACTGATCGCACTTTTCATTACTCTTGTTCATACGTATATACCGATGATCTATGCGTTGAGGTTTCAAGATGTGGTAGCTTGTTAATAATAGCGTTGGTCACCACACCCTACAGCATGGAACATCACAACATCATTCAGTATCAACGAGAAGAACATCGTCCCTCTGCTTGACAGATGATACATGCAATACCTGCCTCATCATTCGGTGCCGAATTGTTGTAGTCGTAAAAGCATATCATTCAACGGCGCCGCCAACCATCTCCTACCCGATGATACTGCTTATGCCCTTATTCCTGTGCCATATCTTGCTTTCCCTCTCTATTCCCCCCACTATGCACCGTCACCTCTTCTTTGCCGCCTCGACCTTCTGGAGCTCCTCCCTGTAGTGATATTCTATTAGTCCCGCAATCGCATTGGTCCGTTCTATAACGACGGTTCGTATGAAGAGCATTTGAAAGAGTGTCTGTACCTGAGTTGATTGGAAAAGTCGTCATTGGTGTCATCATCATCCCAGCTTTCGTCCCAGAGGTGCTTGCTCTCGTCGCCGTCTTGCTGTGCGGCCGCCTCGGTCTGGTCCTCTGGCCAGTCTGTGGGGTGTTGATAGTTAGCAACTGTTCTTTCTACTATACCCTCTCCCGATCTTCTTCTCTCTTTTGAGAAATCTGGACAGATCAGCAGGAAAGGCACACACCATCAACGGGAAAGTCTTCAAACTCGTCGTCTTCCCCCAGGGCAGGCTTGGTAGGTTCCTGCTGCTTCTGCTCGACAGCCTCGGTGGGCTTAGTGTCCTCGGAGGCCATTGTTGGGGTATTTTCTTTTAGGTCCGACGTATATTCGTTCAATTATTAATCTGTTTGTACTCGATTGGTTCGTGTCTGTACGTTGTCGTCGTTGTTGATGCGGTGTCTTTCCGTGGAGCTTGGTACCGTCACTCTAGGCACCTGGACAGCTTTGTCATGGACAGTTGTGACGGAAATCCCAAGCGGAATAATGCTATACCGGTGGGGGGAGGGGGTCCCGGGCCTACGTAATTTATTCTTCATTTATTTGCTGATTTTCGCCATGTTTTCTGACCTAACCTACAGCCCTTTTCCTGTGGCACCCAAATTGGATGACTAAGCAGTCAAGGGCTGCTACTATACACACACAAATGTACGGAGTAAGTAGCCTTATAGATAGATATCCTTCCTTTCCTTTTTGTTGAGTAATTAGATACTCACATATCGACCTAGCACGTAATATATATAGGCAGAGATCACTACATCAGCGCTTATGGGTCATTGTGTGTTGTCGCCCACCAGGAGAATATTTTGACCCATCTTTGCATCGATATTGACGACAATTCATCAATTACCCAAGATTCCTTCCAATCATCATTACCATGCGCCTCGCAATCTTGTAATTGTATATCTAGACATCTAGACACGTAGCTATCATATGCACAGCATAATAAAACACTGCTATCCCAGCTTAACCCCAACCTCCATAAGCGGATCACACTTGTCGGGGCTTAATATAGACCATACCCATCGAATTGATAGACCGGTAGCGAAAACGAGCATGTACCTTCGCTAACCCTGCAGGAATAAACACTACTACTATTAACCGTACTCTTACCTACATGTAGTAGTGGTAGTAAGATTACTAAACTGCGCCTCATTTTTCATTTTTCCTATGGCTCATGTCCGTTGTATCCATTCTTCATAGCCAGTCAGCGACTCAGCGCAATGTCGGTGATTTTACTCGTACATCATCTACCCCAGAAACCCCGAGATCTTCTCCACCTACTCCTCCCTGTCTTCTTTCTCTTCTCTTTCTTCTATTCCTTTCCTTCCATCCCCCCTAATACATACATGTTATATATGTGCGTGTGTGGGATTGAAAGATCCGCTCGCTTGGCCCGCCTGCCCCTTCGCCTTTATCCATCTCTTCTTCCTATGGGACAACGCTCCCTTTCTATCCCGGCAACAGCAAATGATAGAAGTGACGTCCTACAGTCTCCACTTTCCCTTTTCTTCCTTTAACAGCCACCCCTCCCCTCAAAACTGCTAGATCTACCGCCCCAGAACGGCAACTTCGGATAGAACGGCCGGGAAACGTGAACCTGAGGCAATTCTTCTCTTGAAATTCATATAAACCGGGAGATCCGCTGGTGCTTTCGCACAGGCAACACGATCAGATTGTTTCTCGCCGCTGGTGTGCGGAAAAGGCAAAATTGACAAGAGCCACCAGCCCACCTATAAGATATCACCAACACCACCAGCAGCACCACTGTCACAATGAGCCGATTAGGTGGCTGGCTCCGCGCCAATGTCAAGAACGACTCCAAGGGCGATGCGGCAATCGCAACAGCCGAGAAGGAGCGCCGCCAATGCGTCGAGGCCATGTCCCAAGCCCAACTCATCATGAACGATGATGTTGATGGCGCCTACGAGGCCCTGAAGCAGGGCGACTCCTCCTTCCACCGTCTGGGAACGTCAGTCTCGTATTTTATGCGCTCCGTCCTGGGGATGGAGAGACAAGTCATGGACGAGGCTATGGCACTTCTCAATGATTGCGAGGCACGTGCCTGGGATGACGTGAAGGCCGCCGAGAAGAGAGGGCCCCGCGGGAACTCGATCTACCCGGCTGGCACAGAGTATGACCTCATTCGTGCCGAGTCGCAGCTTATGGGAGCTGTTGTGGGCGTGCTACACGAGAGCCTGGTCGAAGCCATGAAGAGCTTTTACAAGCTGCGCAAGGCCTTCATCACGCTTGATACCATCATCGCCATTGAGGCGCGCGTGCTGGGAGAGGCGTCTACAGCTGAGACGCCCGTCGCCAACGGGACTGCGGCCAATGGCACTTCCGGCGGTGAAAGCAACGGCACTTCCATCAAGACTACGGACGGCGACGCCGCTTCCGAGGTGGTGGTCGACTATGCGTCCTCTGGAATTCAGACTCCGTCTGAGAAGAAGACACTCAATGGGACAGTGACAACCACGGAGAGGGCAGACAAGAAGAACCCGACCCTGACCGACCCGGTAGACGTCTTCATTCACTCGGGCGCCAACATGTGCTTTGGCATCCTGATGCTGATCCTGACACTGGTACCGCCCTCCTTCGCCCGTGTACTATCTGTGGTGGGCTATCGTGGCGACCGGGACCGCGGCGTGCGGCTTCTATGGAGGTCCTCGAAAAACGACAACATAAAGGGCGCGATAGCAGGAATGGCCCTTCTGGGTTTTTACAATGGTGTCCTCGGCACAGCGGACATCCTCCCCCACGAGCGCGACTATGATGAGACGGCCGAGACGGTGGGACCGCCACACCAGAAATGCGAAGAGCTCCTGGCTACGATGCGTGAACGGTACCCTGCCTCCCAACTGTGGCAGATTGAAGAATCGCGCCGACTGTCGAGCAACCACAACCTCGAGGGGGCGATTGAGATTCTGCGCAGCAGCGGACCAGCAGCCAAGATGAAGCAGATTTCCTCCCTGGCAGACTTTGAGCTGGCTCTCGACGCCATGTTCGTGCAGGACTGGGCCCTCATGCGTGACACCTTCCTCCGCTGTGCTGATACGAACGATTGGAGCCCGGCACTGTACCACTTCATGGCGGGGTGCGCGACTTTGGAACTGTACCGGGACGCCGTGCAGGCCGGTGACGACGACGAGGCGCGCAGGCAGAAGCGCACGGCCGAGGGCTACCTTCGCAAGGCGCCCACCATGGCTGGAAAGAAGCGGTTCATGGCCGGCAAACTCCCCTTTGACGTGTTCCTCGAGCGCAAGATCCAACGCTGGGAGGCCCGTGCCTCAGAGCTGGGCGTTGATCTTGCCGATGCCGTCGGCGTCAGCCCCTCAATGGAGGTGTGCTACATATGGAACGGGACCAAGCGTATGGCTGACACGCACCTCGACAAAGCGGTGGGCACAATGTCCTGGGAGAGGTTGACATGCCGTGACGATGTGGTGACCGTCATCAAGGCTGAGCAGGATGAGATGGGTCTCTGGGCCGTATGCATGTCTGCTACCTTGAGGAGGAGGCGCAAACTGCAAGAAGCCAGGCGTGTCTTGCAGGACCATGTCCTGGCGTACGATAGGTATCTCCAGCCCCCACCCCATACCCCAAATCCATTTATTTCTTGTTGGACTGTTCTTCTTCTTCTTTACTATTGTTATCGTTAGCATATACTGACCGTCCCAGAACCATTTTCAAGGGACACAACAAGAACGACCACGTTCCCCCCTCGGCGACATACGAGCTAGCAGCCATCGCATGGGATGAGTGTTGCCAGCCCCCCCTTGATGATGAAGGTAACGACGACGTGGCCTACCGGAAACGAAAGCTGCAGGAGGTAGAAGAGCACTTGGAAAAGGTCAAGAATTGGGAGTCATACACACTCGACATGCGGGTGGGCCTCAAAGTGCAGAGCGCACTCGAGACGGCAAAATGGTTCAGGGGAAAGATGGGCTGGACCGTATAAATGCATTCATATCGGGATATGTGCATGATGAATATACACGGTGGCGCTTGGATATAGAAATGTTTTTTTTTCTTTTTTTTGCTTTTGCTTTTCTTTTGTTTTTGGCACATAAACGGAGAACATATAAGAGATATGGAGGTCATGGCAAAGGCAAAAGATGAACGGGCATGAAAGAGGACATAGAAATATGAGGAGTAAGTAAGGGATTAGTGACGAAAAGGCTATTTTCTCGACGCATTCCTGTTGCTCCTCTTGAGTGCACCATCCCTGAGGGCGTCGAGTCCCTGTGAAACATCAGACGCACCGCGGTCCACCTTTGCGGCAGACTTTTCTTTGACATTATGCTTATCTGCCTCATCCTTGGCATCAGAGACGACATCCCCCCCGCGACTGGTCCCATGTGCCCAGTCGAGAACACCCCACGGGCCAAAGTTCCCGGCACCGCGACCGGCATAGTGGGCTGCCGTGCGGCGTGCCATGCCGCCCAGCATGATGCCTGGAACAACAGAGTAACCTGACGTGACGAGGGTTCCCTCCAGCGTCCACAGGGCGGTAAGCAGGATGTAAGTGAGTAGGTGGGGACGGAGGAGCAGGCACGGCAGCAAGGTAGGGACGAGGTGGTAAACGAGCAGAGGAAGCGGGTGGTCGTCGTATAGCTGGAGGGGCCAGGTGGTGCGACCTTCATGTGCGTAGGCGAGGTGCAGACGAGACAGGGGGCCAGATATAGAAGAAGAGGACTGGTCATGTAGGATGAAACGGTGGATATAGTAGGTCAGAATCTCACGTGCAGCGGCGACGAGAGCCATGTGTCGCACCATTTGCCACGGGAGGGGAAGCGTCGTTGCGGTACGGAAGAGCGGGTTGCCGAAGAGGTGGTAGAAGGTAAAGCTGATGATCGATTCAGTGGCCGTGACAAGGAGCATGTTTCCCGCAGGCAGGGAGAGACGCTGCAAGGTGAGACGCGGGGGGCATGGCGATGCGGCACTGGGGAGCTTGATATTGGAGGCCAGGCTGGGGAGGAGGGTATCGAAGGCTGTGAAGATGAGTGATGGGACTAGCCATAGGGCTATGCGGAGGACGAGGAGGGATGCCGAGTGGATGGACGGTGCTCTCTGGGTGAGGACTAGGGTCGACCATGTTGTGTAGAAGAAGAGGATGTTGAGCGACGTCTGCCACGATGGGGTGGCTAGGGTTGACAGGAGGGGTATGGAGAGGATGAGGTCCATGTTGAGGTGAGTTGTAGAAGGGAGAATCTGTGGACAGGAAGACTGTAGACTAGAAACGTCGGGGGAATAGAGATAATAAACAAGACCGATTGTGCCATACAGGTTGTGGTGGTGTTCGGTCTTGATGTGTGGCGTATCAATGACGTCAATATATGATCCGGATCTTGCACGAGGTCGTGGTTGTGCTTTCCTATCGGTATGCACACCGTGTACGAGCATAATTGGTGTATATGTAGTAGCTCATGTACGTCTGTGACAACTCTTTCATATAAATCTAGAAAAGAAAAGGTTGTATTGATACTGAAGTTGTGTAAACTGATAACTGAGAGAGTGAGTTGTGCGGAAATGATGCATCTACAGGTTACAGCGCACATGCATATATCAAGCCCTGTAAGAAGGATCCTTGAAACAATTGCATCACGACCATCCCAGCTAGCCTGCAATACATAAGGCTACAGAGATCTCGAGAATCTTATTAAACATGAACGCTGCAACTGCCAACTACGGAGCAACAGGTCGGCCAGATACGTATATCCCGTGTCCCATGTCCCGTAGCCTTACGGAAGTCGCAAAGACCAGTGGGAAGAAGGCGAGAAACCTGTCTCGGGCAGTGCTCCAATGGCGTGCGTCGCTGACAGCCTTTCCCCTTTTTTCCTCAGTCAAAAGGCACGCCAAAGAGGAGCCAACGACTGCGGCTAAACGGGGCGAGAAACCCCATAATTGGTGCCAATACACGCAAGACCCCTGTCGCTCTAATGTAGCTCACATATTATCCTAGACTGTATTATTATTATTACGTCGTAGTCGTAATATTGATCACACGAGACTCCGGGAGTACGTATACTTACACAGACTAGGACTCCGTAATAGTAATACCACTAAACATCCTACAAGTACTAGTAACAGCATGTATGTGCGAGCATGTATGTACTCCATATACTGCTAGGCTATGCTGCGTGCTACAGGTACTTGCATACTGCGTGCATGCTCGCTAATAATGCTCATGTAATCTGTACAATGTAACAACATCTTGCCCCTGAGTATCGCGCTCCAGGGACCAGCAGTTTTCTTGCCTAACGGCTTGTATCAGTTATCCGCAACTGTGTCATAAATGTCTCCTAACAGTTTCCCCCCCATCGGCCTTCCCATTTCTCCTGTCGTAGACTCCTGAGCCACGGCAACTACCAATACCCATCAAGACAACAGCTTAACAACTCCGTAGTCATGAACTAGACTCATAGTCTATAATCCGACTTAGAGCTCATCTTTCCCACCCCGCTAATAAAACTCGCAGACCCGCTCTAGAGTTTCCCCCCAAGAGATCTTCTTCCAACCCGTTGGTTTGCGTCCGAGGACGCGATAGTGGGTGAATTGTCCAATTTGGCCTCGCCCGCTGGACCCCCCTGCCCGGGATCCTTTCTTTCCCATCCCTCCCCCCCTCCCCCCTTCCCACTTTCCTCTTCTGCCAGGTGACAAGCAAAAAGACAATCTCATCCCGGGTGGAGGGAAAAAAAAACGAACTGTTTCTCTCTCTCTCTCTCTCTCTCTCTCTCTCTCTTCATCTCTTCTCTCGTTCCCTCCTTCACCTGTACATCAACCTTCATCTCCGATTCTCGACAAGCAGCCGTTCCCAAGTTACCGCCCCTATTCACCACCTGTGTCCCTGTTCGCGCCGTATGTCCTGATTTGCGGCCCATACGGGTGCGCCTCCTCTTGTGCCTGACCCAGTGTGGTGGCACCACTGAGCCAACGGAGCAACGAGAGGAATAGGAACAATATTTTCCACCTGCACATGCCTCAGGCGCAAGAAGTCCTTTTGCTCGATGCAGACGCAGACTCCTGGCTGCTGCTGCATGTAGAGGGGGCACCCCCCAAGCGGAAATAATACCACCATCCCGACAGGGGATAGATCGGACCACCACGCGCGTCCCGCCTGCGTTCCTGCAGCACTTGCTGCCGTCAGTGCACCATGGCCTTCTATCATCGCCGCCCACATCAGCAGCAGCAGCCCAATGCTTCTTCCCCTGCTGCCGGTCCGTCATCCTCGGCTGTCTCGTCCTCCAACGCCACCGCTGTTGCAGCTCCTCCTATACCTCCTCTCCCGACCGAAGTGCCGCCACCCATCCCGACACGAACCCGCTTTAACTCGACCGCCGGACCCCCTCCCTCGTCGCGCCATCACCGCCATCGCTCGTCCGCCGTCGGTGGTTCCAGAGGAACCAACGGCCTTCCCCCCGCGAGTCCCGAGGTAATATCCAATCTAATCACAAGTCTAAGCGGCATCTCCAAACCCGCCGACGATTATTTCGAGGGAAAGCAGACTTCGAACTCGGCCTCGTCGTCGCGACTAGCTGCACCGCCTGTCGTCATCCCCACGTCCAGGTCCAACCCAAACCCTGCTGCCAGCTTGAACCCCTCGCCTAGCGGCAGCTTCGGCGTCGACTACGGTGCTTACTCCAGACCCTCGCCAAACGGGAGCCCTCCCGAGTCGCTCGACGACATCGCCGCCTCGGCCCCCGTCGTCCGTACATCCAAACCCACGAGCGGATACTCGCCCCTGAGCCCGCCCAAGACACCCCGGAGCCGGAGCAGGTCCAGCCGCGACGTCTCGGCGGGTCTGCGCTCGCTGTTACGGAGCAGCAGCAGCGCCCCGGCCTCGCGCCCCTGCTCCTCGACCAACTCGGCACGAGATGACGATGCCCACAGCATAGGGAACCTCTCGATAGAACGCCGGTCTACCGCCGCCTCGGCCTCGGCCGCTGTCACTCCCGACCAGCCCCTCAGGGGCCGCCGCTCCCAGGACAGCTGGGGCAGAAGGACCAGCAGTCGCAGCTACAAGGGCCTGATGTACATGACGTCCAGGGAACGCCTGCGCGACAACGAGGAGCGCAAAGTCACCAGCAGCTCTGCCAGCCTCGGCGCCGCCAGCGTCCACAGCGGCTGCGGCAAGGCCGACCCTTTCCTCGCCGAGTCAGCCATCAGCGAGGAACCCAGTGCCAGCGACGCACCCTCCATGGCTGCTAAGGAGGCTGCGGTCAGTCCCCGGCCCATTCCCAACCGCGAATCCAGCCTCTCCAAGTCAGCGCAGAACAGCGGAAAGCGTTCCAGCGGCCGCCGCTCATATACCAGGGAAAGAGATGGCACGACCGAGCAGCCGACCGAGTCTGAAGGTCGGAAGCCCCGTGCCGCCAAGAAGGTCCCCGCAAGACTGGACCTCGACAACCCGACCAAGGGAAAGGGCGGCGAAAATGGCGCCCAGCTTAACACGCCGAATACGCAACGTTTCCTCGAGACCATCCGTGACGATTACCTCGCTTTCGATGCCCACACCCCCGAAGCCGAGAACGAAGCCGACGAAGGCGCCCCCTTCCCCGCCGTGTCCCAAAACCGCCGAAGATCGACCCAAAGTGTCGATCGCAACGGCCGTCAGCGATCCGCCGCCGCGACGCCCCAGGACGAAAATGTCTGGCCTATGCGCAGTAGCTCCCGCATCAAGCGACTCTCCCAACCCGGCAGCCCGACAGCGGCAAACGATGGGCCCGCATCCCATATCTCGCAGGACCTCGGCGCCAGGGAACCCGAGAATTTTGTGGGCGGTGCCCCCCTGGAGCGCCTCGACTCAGCTGACTCGATTGATGATGCCGTGGATGCGTACCTGTCGGCGCCGCGCCTGTCGCACAAGATCCGCCATCCCCAGACGGGCAGGATTATCTGCTTCTCCGAGGTGGGCGATCCCGATGGGTCAGCCGTCTTTTGCTGCGTCGGCATGGGCCTGACGCGCTACATCACAGCCTTCTACGATGAGCTGGCTTTGACTCTCAAGCTGCGTCTCATCACGCCCGACCGTCCTGGAGTGGGTGACAGTGAACCCTACCCGGACGGGACCACAACGCCGCTCAACTGGCCTGGTATGTGTCATACTAAGATGGTGATCAACGGTTGCGGCTGCGATTGCTAATTTGCTCCCCCTTAGATGACGTGTATGCTATCTGCCAGGCTCTCAAGGTAACAAAATTCTCTATCCTCGCCCACTCGGCCGGCGCCATTTACGCATTAGCCACGGCTCTACGTATGCCCCAGCACATCCGGGGCAGGATACACTTGCTCGCGCCGTGGATCCCTCCCTCACAGATGAGCGTTTTCGGCGGGGCGCACGACTCAGCACCCGCGCACAGCATCCCGACCTCTCAGCGGATCCTGCGTGCCCTGCCGACGCCTGTCCTCAAGGTGGCCAACAGCAGCTTCATGTCGGCGACAAGCACGTCTATCACGACGTCGCTACCGAAGAACTCGAGGCGTTCCAAGAGGAAATCAGCACAGAGCAAGGAAGCAAGCGCCAGGAACATCACACCTGCCGTGTTGGATAAGGAGAACATTGGTCAGACGGGAGATCAAAAGAAGGCTGCCTCGGCTACCACAGGCCACAGCGGAGGCGCGGGCCTGGGAAACCAGGGTTCGTCACATAACAACATCTCCAACGGCAACGCCTGGACGACAACGACCATCACGGGTGGCAATGCCGCTAATGGCCCGATAGATAACATACTGGATGCCGTGGCCGAGGCCGAGGCGGAGCAGGAGAGGCAGATGACGTACGACATGCGGCTGACGCACGCCATATGGGACCTTGCGACGACTGGGGCCAATCCGGCCGTGGACCTGCTCATTTGCCTAGAGAGGCGGCACACGATTGGCTTCCGATACGTCGACATCAACCGGGCCGTCATTATCCACCACGGCAGCCGGGATACGCGAGTCCCCGTCGATAATGTGCGGTGGCTAGGCAAGACTATGCGCCGGTGCGAGGTGCGCGTGCTGGAGGGCGAGGGACACGGGCTCATGGCCAGCGCAAGCGTCATGGGCAACGTCCTCATGGAGATTAGCAAGGAGTGGGAGGACTGGATGAGGGCCACGGGGGCTGATGGCCGTGGCAAGGAGAGGGAGTCGAGGTCCAGGAGGGGCACGATTCACCGGTGAGGCCGACATAGCAAGTGTCTGATTATTGTTGTTCTCGGACAACCGGCGTTCGCTTTTTTTATTTGTCCCTTTCTTTCACTATACAATGCTTTTGGTACATCTCTTATATAGCCATAGGAACAACAGTCCTCGACATGCCATAATGTAATGTCTTATTCATCTGTATGAATCTCATATATATCATGAGTTTGTGTATATAGTCGGCGAGCGCAGCGAGGATACCCGGCAGGGCCCCCAAAGGGATGATAACTAGGAAGGAAAAAGACTGATTTAATCTTGTGAAAGAACTGATATATAGAAAAATGCTAGGTGAAATCAGAGTGGTCTGGTGTTTCGTAGTGACAAGGTCCAACAGGATTAGTGTGGAGAATCGACATTGACTTGGTGTTTGTTTACTTTATTTTCAAATATTTTTTTAGCCCCTTCCAGAGAGCTCTGACCTGACGTAATAATTCTTCTCTCCACAACACCATCATCAACGAAAAAAATGGACGGCCTCGACGAGTTTGAAAAGTCGCTAGCGGCCGCAAAGGCCCAACGGTCCAAGGACGAGGGCCATCGCGAGCACAAGCACAGACATGGACACCACCGCCGCGACGATGACAAGCACGCCGATGGCCATCACCACCACCGACACCACCGCGAGCACAGAGACGACAAGGATGATGAGCGACGCCATAGACGGCGTCATAGGGATGATGAGCATCATGATGGACGGATGCATAAACGATCGCGGCAGGACGACAATGATGACGATGGTGAAGACAAGTCGAGACGGCACCGTCGCGACAATAAGAAGCGAAGTCACGATCGGTCACGCGATCCAAAAGAGGAGTTGCCAGTTCCGGACGACGAGAAGCCCTCCACAGGAGAGAAGACTGCCATCCTGGAGCGTGACTCGTGGATGACGGCCCCGTCAGCACTGGAAGTGGACTACATTCACCGAGCGCGGCCCAAGACACCGCCCAGGTCGCCGCCGCGGCCGCAGCGCGTGATTCACGATCGCGAGCTCAACCGGGGCGTCGACTCTGGGGCAGCCGGACAACTAACAGACGCTGCACCATCGGTCAATCAGCGCACGGTGGAGTACACATTCGGCGACGCCGGATCCTCCTGGCGCATGACCAAGCTGCGCACCGTGTTCCGCGAAGCCGACGAGTCAGGCCGAACAGTCGAGGACGTGGCGCTAGAGCGGTTCGGCAACCTTAAGGACTTTGACGACGCGCGCGAAGAGAAAGAAGAGATGGAGAGACGGAGGGTGTACGGGGCACACTACGACAACAAGGAGAAGCCGACGGGCGAGCTGTACCAGGAGCGCGTGCGGGCCGTGCGCAAGGTTGAGCCACAGCCAGCAGCAGAGCCGCCGACGCAGGGAACGGTGACACTCAAGCAGCCCGCGGCAATGGATCAGACCGCCCTGAACCGGCTGCGTGCACAGATGATGAAGGCTAAAATGCGCAGGGCGCCCAACGCATCGCAACTCGAGGAGGAATACAACCGCGCGGCAGCCAACTTCTCCCCCGCAGTCACAGCATCGGAACCGGGGACTGCCGTCATCGGCGCCATGGAGAGCCGCCAGCTAGCCGGGACGCGAGGCGAAGTCAAGGTGGTGGAGACGCGGCGCGGGCGTGAGCGTGGTAATGTGGTTGAGAATGACGACATGACCATTGACGATATGGTGCGCGAGGAGCGACGCACCAAGGGGTCGGGTGAGGGCATGCGGCAGGCCGAGCGCATTGCCCGCGACGCCAAGTACACCGACGACCTGGACTACATGGACGACAACGCGGCCAAACTGGCACGCCGCGTGCACAAGAGCGAGGCCAACCTAAAAAACATGGCCGTGAGCGAGTACCAGAAGCTCAACCGGGCGCTGGACCGATGCCCTCTGTGCCACGACGACTCCACGGGCCGCCAGCCCGTCGCCCCCGTCGTCTCCCTCGCCACGCGGACGTTCCTAACCCTTCCAACCGAGCCCGAGGTCAGCCCCGGCGGCGCCGTGATCGTCCCGTCTACCCACCGCGCCAATCTCATCGAGTGCGACGACGACGAGTGGGAGGAGCTGCGAAACTTCATGAAGAGCCTGACGAGGATGTACCACGCCCAGGGACGCGACGTCGTCTTCTACGAGAACGCCGCCAACCCGGGTCACCACCGCCACGCCGCCATGGTGGCCGTCCCCGTCCCCTACGACGAAGGCGCCATGGCGCCCGCTCACTTCCGCGAGGCCTTCCTTTCCTCCGACGCCGAGTGGTCCCAGCACCGTCCCGTCATCGACACGGCAAAGGCTGCGGCTGACGGCATGGGTCGTGCTGCTTTCCGCCGCTCAATGCCCAAGGAAATGCCCTACTTTCACGCTTGGTTCTCCCTTGACGGTGGACTGGGTCACATCGTCGAGGATGGGAACCGCTGGCCCAAGGGGGACTTGTTCGCCCGTGAGGTCGTCGGCGGCATCGTCGGCGCTGACCCTCACATTGTCAAGAAGCAGGGCAGGTGGTCTAGGGGGGATAGAGACTCTGGACGTGTGCAGGCTTGGAAGAAGGAATGGCGCAAGTTTGACTGGACAAGAGTGTTGGAGGAGGCTTAGTTGGTGTTTGTTTTGTCTACCCTACCCTGCCCTGTGCTGCCTAAAATACATTTCCTGAAAGTCATACACAACTTGTATCGTTTATTCCATGTTTTGTCATGATGCAATTTATAAAACCATCAATATACTACTACTAGCAAAGGCATAACGTAAATAGATTACTCTGCGTCTTCCTCCTCTTCTACTCGCTTACTCCACTGATGAACAAGCACCTCGCCACCAACCTTACGCTTCACCTCGTCGTACAGTCGTTGCGTGAGGTACTTGTACAGATACAGAGAGTCGCCATTATAGCTGATCGAGTGCGTGCTGTCGGTAAAGGCAAACATGCGCATCTTGGACGGGGTTACACCCTCGCCCAAGAGGAAGTCAACTAGGGCCGCGGCGTGCTGGTAGTGGACATTGTCGTCTCCCGTGCCGTGGAGCAGCGAGAAGCCGCCATCAATGTTCTTGAAACCCGTTGCGTTGTGGACGGCCGTGTCGCGGTAACCCTGCTCATTATCCTGCAACTTTTTCATGTAACGTTCAGTGTATACCGAGTCGTAGAAGCGCCAGTCGGTGACGGGGGCAGTGATGAGACCAAGCGTAAAGACACCAGAGTCGAGCTCTACCGTCTTAGCTGTCAGGTAGCCACCAAACGACCATCCCCACATGCCGACGCGGTGAGGGTCGATGAAGCGATGCTTCTTGATTAGCTGCTGGGCTGCCCAGACTTGGTCCAGGGGCTCCAGCTTGCCGAGGTGGCCCGTCACGGCGGAGCGGTAGGCGCGTCCGCGGTGTCCCGTCCCGCGGTTGTCTACCGTGTAGGTGATGTACTGCAGCTCGGGTTCCGATGCGATGTAGGCAGCCCAGCCGAGCGACGACCACGACTTGAGTACCTGCTGCGAGTTGGGCCCTCCGTATGGCGTGAATAGGATCGGGTACTTCTTGGACGGATCAAAGTCTGGCGGTAGAGACTGTTTAACGCTGAGAGAATATCCGTCCGGATGCTCGAGATCAAAGAAGCTGACCTTGGGCAGCTTGTAGTCGGCTACGGTAGCGACGAAATCGGCATTGTCTTCGAGGGTACGTAGGGGCTCAGATGAGGTGCCGGTGGTCGAGTAGACCTCCTGGTACGGCACATCAGGACCAGAGTAGCTGAGAATGTAGAAGCCCGACTCGGACGAGAAAGATGCCGACCAGTAGGCAGAGATGGTGTCATCAACAAGAGGCGTAACTTCGCCCGAGAGCCACGAGACCTTGTAGATATGGCGCTCGGTGGTGTGGTGCGTTGATGCAGAGTAGTATATGAGGCTACGGGCCTTGTCGATGCTGAGGATAGAGCTCACCTCCCACTCGCCCTCGGTGAGCTGAATGGGGTCCTTGTCGCCCTGGACGGGAAATAGGTAGATGTGCATCCAGCCCGACTCATCTGACAGGTCAACGTAGTATGTGTCCTCGTCACTCTTGTTTCCGCCCAGAGAGCCGACATAGCTGATGGAGAGCGTCTGCTCAAGCCAGCCATCGGACCCGTCGCGCTGGCGGACAGTCTTGGAGTCGAGGGTGGCGGGGTCAACAACGACGTGGGCATCGTGGTCCTGAACGCGGTTGTAGGCGCGGTAGATGAAGGACTCGCTGGTGTTGGTGACCCAAGCGACCTCACCAATGATGAGTTCGTCTGAGGGGAACACGTCAACAGGCACTTCCTGGGCTCCACCGGTGGCCACGTCGACGACGCTCAGGTGGACGGTGGGGTTCGTGGAGCCGACCTTGGGGTAACGCAGGTCAAGCTCGTGCGGGTAGACGGGGGCAGTCTTCTTGTTGTCCATGTAGTAGGGAATGGTGAAGGTACCCACTCCCGTCTCGTTGAAGCTGAGGAAAGCGACAAAGTGGGCGTCTGGGGAGAACCAGAGAGTAGAGCGGGCGCCGAAGACCTCCTCCTCGTAGACCCAGTCGGGCACGCCGTGGAACATGTCGGGACCACCGTCATGTGTGACCTGGGTGACGTTTCCAGAGTCGCGATCCAGCAGAAAGAGGTTATTGCCCCTGACAAAGGCGATGGCACCACCCGAGGGAGCCATCTCGGCATACTGGATGTCGCCAGCCTGGTCGTCGACGAGGGGCTTCGATTCGCCCGACTCGACATTGAGAACGTAGTAGTCAGCCAGATATGAGTGCCGGTACTGGCTCGTGGCGTTGGCCGAGGCAAGGACGTGCTTGGAGTCGGTGCTGATCCAGTACTCCCGCAGACCCTTGGGCAGCTGGTCGGCGGGGACAAACGTCTCCGAGTCGCCCGTGACGATGTCCTCGAGCACCAAGGCGCCATCGGAATCGGTACGAATGAACTGGCCATCAACGCCGGCAGAAGACCAGGACACGCTGACCGACTTGGGTGAAAACGACGGACGGGGTGTCGTCTCGTTGAAAGAGAGCAGACGATCACCACCGCCAATGGTTGGAGCGAGCCGGGGCTTGACCGGGGCAGCGGATGCGACGACGGATGACGCGACCGACAGCAGCAGCAATGCCGCCGCCTCGAGTCGTCGAGAGGCCATGACAGCTATAACGATACCAATGATGATGATGATGATGATGATGGCGACGATGATGACGGGGACAAGAAAAAGAAACAAGTCATCCAAGTTTGGTGAGAGGAGGGAGAGGGAAAGGTTGGAAGTGCGGAGGGAGGAGCGGACCGCAGGGATGAAGTGGGTTGCGCCTTCCCTTTATCTGGTCCCCATGTTTCCCATACATATATGTACTCCAGCTAATTGTCTGGGTTCACACAATGATATTAATATAAGCTCGTCTAACGTCGCATTCAGTCGGAAAAGTCTATAATTCACTTTTCTATATTCAATTGTATACAATTGACCGTATTCCTCTTGGCTGAAAGCTGTCACCGACCAAGAGGCACCTTTGTTCCATTTATTACGTCGAGATGCTAGAGCCCCACTATTGATTCACAACTCATTTACCTTGCCGAATGATGCAAGCGGCCCGGAAAGTCCACAGGTCCCGTCTGTATCCGAACTTGACAAGGATTGATGGTGTGCTCGTATTGGAGTAGGTAGGTAGAGTTGTAAAGGTTGAGGAGGGTTATCATCCTTCTGGGCGTGGTTATCGCCTGTTGTTGCTGTTCTTTGATTGTCAATTTCTATCAATTCTACGTGTATCAACCGCACGTCTGTATCACCGAGTCAAACAATTTCATAGCAGTATTACTCGTAAGTGCTATTCGTACCGATATGCAATGCATAGCTCTATTCTATTGAAAATGCTCATGGAGAAAACATGTTCTTCCGTTCAATTTCCTGTAATCCTAAGCACGCCCGGCCTCAGCCCCCTGACCAAAGTACTTGTCAATCTCAGCCTCGAGAGCAGAACCTTCAATATGCTCCATCTCCCTTGCCCTCTTGACAGGACTGATCTTGAGAGCATCGGCACTGGCAAAGATGATGTCTAGCTCCTCGAGGCTGCGACCCTTGGGCTCGGGGAAATAGAGCCACACACAGGGTAGGATAGCCGCGTTGAAGACTGCAAACATGATGTATGTCCGGTATCCGAGGTTGGAGAAGGCGGGTGGTGTGATCATGACGATGAGGAAGTTTGACAGCCAGTTGGAACACGTCGACAGGGCGTTGGCCTGGATGCGGATGCGAAGGTTGGTGATTTCGGCAGGGTAGAGCCACGTCATCCCGAGCCAGCCTGAGGTAAGTCTTAGCCGCCAGTTTCGCCGATGATCAACGTGCATAGGAAGGAGAGAGACATACCGATGGCAAAGAAGGTGTTGAATCCAAAGAGGAATACGGTGCACACGACACCGTAAAGGGTACTCAGCACGGGTGCACCCTGCTCGTTGACGACGCCGGTCGAAGCCGAGCCGGCCAGGATGGCCATGGAGGCCATCATGCCAAAGGCACCAAAGAGCATCAGAGGGCGACGGCCAAACCTCTCAATGAGGGGCAAGGCAACGAGCGAGGCGAGGAAGTACTCTGTACCGTTGAGCGAGGCCAGGAGTCGCGACATCTCGGGTCCGAAACCCAGCGAGTTCTCAAACACGAACGTGGCGTAGTAAGTAATGAGGTTGATACCGCAGATCTGCTGGAAGAACTGGGCAGCGATGCCGAGAATGGTACGACGTAGGTTCTGCGAGGGACCGTTGGTGAGGAGCTCCCTGTACCTGAAAGTGCCGTCACGGCTCTGAAGCTCGAGGGCGTCGGTGATGGTCTGGATCTCGGCGTTCACCTGGGGATCATCGATCTCCTTTCCTAGAAGGCGGGATGTGACCTCCCGAGCATCTTCCATGCGGCCCCTCATGGCCAGCCAGCGGGGGGACTCGGGAAGGTACAGCAGACCCCACATGACGATGACGGTGAAGAAGGACTGGAAGGCAATGGGGAAGCGCCAACGCACATCGCCCTCGAGGAAGTAGAAGCCGTAGTCGATCCAGTAGGCGATCATGATACCACCCGAGATGAGGGCACCCGAGAGGGTGATCAGGAAGCCACGCTGGTGAGGGCGAGCGCACTCAGACTGCCAGGTTGGAATAGCTGTTTCTCTGTCAGAGTACTTTTTTCTTTTTCGATACCAAAGAAAAAGATATACGGGTTTGAAGACAGGGACTGACTGGATGTGACCATGCCGTTGCCGACACCGCCAACGATGCGACCGGCAGTAAAGAGACCATACTCGAAGGCGCTGGCCTGCATGATCGTGCCGATAATCATGATGAGACTGCCCCAAAAGGTGGAAGACTTGCGTCCGAACGCTTCTCCGTAGTACAAGATAACGACGGCACCAAGGAAGCATCCGATCTGGTAGATGGCCACCGCAGCAGCCTGCGTGTTGGGATCGCCAGTACACATGTCCATGTTGCGCACCGTGTGCGCATCGTCGAGCCAGCAGAGGGGGTTCGCCTTTGTGAGGGGCGTCATGAGCGGGATGGACTTTTGGAAGCTATCGAGTGTGAGCAGGGCACTCAGCACGCCCTGGTCGTAGCCGAACATGAGAAAGCCACATGAAGCGATGCAGCCGATGGACCAGTTGAGGGCCGTGCCTGACAGGCGCTTCCCCCGGACGGACCATTCGGGCAGATTTCCGAGGCGGGAGAAGAAGCCCAGGATGCCGGTAGGCGGAGGGATGGGCTCTGCAGGGATGACGCTGGCCTTTCTCGTCCGCTTCTCGGTGTATGTGACTTCGGGAACATGACTGGTTCCCGATGACGAGTCGGGATGGGACTCAGCCATCAGGGGACTGCCGGGTTGTTCTTTCTCTGCCATGACTGTGGATCTGATCAGGTTGTATGATGTTCGGTGACGAGGGAAGAGGGATAGAGAGAAAAAGTAGCACTCGACATATGCGACGGACAACGACAAGTCTGTGGAGGAAAAGAGGCAAAGTCGGGATTATATAGATCTTGAGAAGAACAATGAAGAGGCAAAGACATGGGGCGTGCTAATAAAGTATCGGATGCAAAGATACTCAACTGCACTATCTTCTCACCAGCCTTGGAGAATGTAGTGTCGTGCCCTATTAGCAGTGGTGATGTACGTATAGGACATGTGTGGAGAGGAGGAGGAGGAGGAGGACATCAGCCGAGAAACCGATGTTGGCCGCAACCAGGGTGAGAGAGACAGAAACACGGCCAAGATAGTATCATCACAATAAGCTGTGAGACTACGGAAGCACCAGGATTCTAGGCAGGCGTCATAGGATACATCCCCCCCTCCCCTCCTGTATCCCGGACGGGTCCCGGAGGTCAGGACTACGGCTTCATCAAGACAAGCCGTGAAAATATATGACGAGCTCAAAATGCTCTGTACACCACCAGGAAAATGTCCTCTGCCACTTACATTAGGTTCGCCTATGATGAAGAAAGATGATTATGGGTTCCATCATGCTAAGCCACGCATACAAACGAGGGTCTTGATTGCTTCGAGAACCCACCAATTGATCGCTGACGACAGCGGCAATGGCATATGCTTTCAAGAAGTATGCCGGTATAAGTGGATGAGAGCTTGGCCAGAGTCAGGTGCCAAGAGTGGCTCGAGGCTTGACCGGCCTTCCACATACGGCAAACCGAGTGAGAAAGCAGATGAGATCTTTTTTTTTTTTTGACAACTTGGCAAGAGAATATCCACAATTTCCCCCTCTCTTGTCCTTCCCTAGGCTACGGCCGTAAATTGTTTCCGGATCCATGGCAGAAGGACGCAATGTCTTGGAGGGGAGGTCAACCAGATAACCTGAGACATGTAAGTGGTGGCTGTGTCGGTGCTGATGGTGTGTAGGGGGGAGGAGAATGAGGACAGACAGGTGTCCGTCCCCGGCCGGAAAGAGAGAAGGAGACGTATCATTACTCGTACTCTGAATAGCCAAAGACGTTGTTGGATTTATGCCAAAAAATAAGCATAAGCCATCCTGGCCCTGTCCAATGACTTATTTTCTACATGCCAATGCCGCGTTATTTCTTCCTTTGCCTTCTTTTTCCTTTCCGCCTCATTGAGGTGACTACTCGTATATCAGCGATTGACCACATCAGTATGGATAATTATCATTACTGCATAGAGGGGAAGAGCGTAGTCTCATCCTCCACGCGAGAAGGAAAAGAGGCCTGGACCTAGGGTCTTCCAACCGAGAAACACGACCACGAGAGACCCCTGTTTACGGCGAGCCAATCCGACGGATCCCCCTTCTACTCTCATATCCTCTGCGAAGACAGATTTATGGGGATCAGTACAAGGCATGTTGTCGTTTGTTGACACCAACAACTCGACCCATATTGTCTTGCCAATCTGCGCAGTAGCTTTCACCGATGTACAGATTAATCTGTACAAGCCTAGGGCACACCCCGGCCGCGTGTCGTAGCGATGGACGCCTGGGCCATCCCCCCCATCACCAAGGTATTGGAGTTGTCCGGCCGGGTTTTCTCGTTATGCTAGTGATCGTCTAATAGCTGGCCGGCGGCGACTTGGCTGAGGGATTGAGAAACACGAGCCTCCCGGATCTTGCTCTCACCCTTTTCTTTTTCTCTTCATTCCCCGCCGCTCTCTTTTTCTAGCTTGCAGTTTCGTTTCTTGAGATGTACACGCTCTAAAACGTCCTTGCTCTACTTGAGGCGATAGATAGTCTGCCATCTGGAGGTGAATTGACATCTGCGCCGTATGAATCCTGAGAATCTCGCCCCTTCTGTACAGATTACAGATTAGTAGTGCTGATGGTCCAGGCGAGCCTACAGATCCGCCACTCTGCAGACACTCTCTGCAACCGGCTCCGCCTATCCCGGTCTTTTTTCTTTTTCCGGCTGACCCGTTTTTTGCTACCCGGATGTTTCTCTGCCCACAATCCAGAGAGTCTGTCTCTTTGAGGAAAGAGAAGTGAATTCTGCGTTTTTGCTGAATAATAATATGTAGTATATGCGCTTACTGGATTCTCCTAAGAGCCTGCCTTACTCTTCATCTGAGCCAACTCATCCCCAAGAACCATGTCATTTTCTTCTTCTTCTTCTTCTTCTTCTTCTTGTGCTATCCCCCTGCGCCAGGGTTCCGGGAAGATTGAAATCATCGTGCGCATCAACTGCAATGCTCTATGGCGCAAAAAGTACAACAGCAGCTGACGTGAAAATGAACGCACTTATGACTGGGTACCAACCGCGAATATCGTATCAGCGCGCAGTCATTGTTGACTCAGGCGATTCTCAAGGTGTTTTTCCAACGCATACGCACGCCTATATCTCGGTCGGTGTGCAATATCGCAGATAGGGTGACAAGATACCCCAAACACTTCAACACCAAAAGGTGCCAGCATAGTGCACCGATATTTGTCACCCTCTGTATTGAAACGCTAGCCCCGAAATGAAGCGTCCTTTATTAAATACTGTCCGAAAATGGAAGTCGCGACCGCGTCTCTTTCCCCCTTGTCCAATTTCCAATTTTGCCTCCCCAATTCTCATCATCTTTCTTGTCGTTGTGTCTGCGTCTCTAGGAGAGGGAGAAGGGCAATGTGACTTGTACAACGACCGCTACTCGACCGTCAGAAGAAGAGATGACAAGAATGAGTCAACGCGCCCTATCACGATGGCTGCCACTGTCGGCATTGTTAGCGCAAGGGGCGACAGCCACACCGGCACCAGCACCGGCGGCCGCCACCAGAGACACGTCCAAGACAATCTGGGCGACCCCCCACGACAGCTACTCGTCCTCAATCGGCGTGCTGGGGTGCAAGATCGATACGGACCGGGTGGCATACTGGCCGTCTAGCATATCCTGTGACTCCATCTGCGTCGAGGTCACGCACTCGGAATCCGGTCGCAAGGTCAAGCTGCTCCGCATCGACCAGTCCCAGGGCGCCCACGACATGAGCTACGACGCGTGGAATTACCTGGTGACGGGCAAGTCGGCCACCGAGGATCCCACAGCTGGCGGCACCGTCGAGATGACCACCAAGGACCTCGACGCATCCGAATGCGCCAGCCTGATACACACCAGCGGTCACAAGGTGCCCCTCAGCGCCGCCAACAGCATGAACTTCCTCGCCAACTGTCTCGACAATGACCCGGACAGCTATGTCGCAAAGAATTACGTGCTTTATAACATTGCCGACGCCATATGCTCGTATGGCCTCGATGAGGAGTGCGATCTCGACTGGCCGACTGCCAACCAGGCTACGTGCCCGCATACAATGGGTGATCAGTCGCCCCTCGACGACAAGACGCCCGTCTACAATATTCGCTACCCAACCGGTGAAAAGGTCAAGGCCGCGTCCAGCCAGGTGGTGGTTACACCAGGTACAGGTGACGTTGATGACACAGGCACAAGCGACGATGATGACATGGGTGTTGCGGTGCGGCCGCAAAATCTGGCCTTGGGAGTTGCTTTTCTGGCAGCGGCATTTTGGCCTTGGTGATGTTAGGACTGTTCGGTGTGACGGGATTGTTCACCTTTCTTTTTTCTGCTTCGAAATGATACCCCCCGACCTTTATTTAATTCTTCAAGTATATGTTCGACTTCATCCCTGTCCCTGCAGTGGATTGTATATACTCTTTATTGCCTCCATACAGTAGATTGCCTGGCCTCTAGTACACGTATCGGAATGTAATGGCGCGATCTCCCTGCGAGGCAAGCTCCTGCGATGTGTAGTTCAGTGCCTCGCCGTTGGCCAGCCTGCGCGCGCGGCTCTTGTTTGTTCGCATGTACCACGAGACCAGGACAACGGCCGCCAGGAGACCGACCATGACGAAGCCAAGCTCGAGGCCATGACCGAGAAAGTACCGCGGGGCATTTGACCCACGGTAAAAGTTGGCTGCCATGGCCTGCGATGGAGTCAGTCAGAAGAACCAGGGGGGGGGGGATTAGGAAGGAAACGTACGCCAGCAAGATTACCAACACCAATCTGGAGGGCCATGCCAGCACTCCGCTTATAGCTTCCAGACAGGTTGTTGGACATCCACGAGATGACACCGGGAAAGGCGGGATAGATACCGAGGGTGGCAACAAAGATCCCGCCGTAGACGACGCGAGGATTCGAAGAGCCAATGCACCTGAACCATATCAGCGTTGACTGTAGGAGAGGGGACAGGTCAAGAAAGAAGGGACGGACATTGCGTATCCCAGGAGCATAACGACATGGGCGACAATGATGAACGGACTCCTTATGCCCACACGATCCGAGAGCCAAGAAAAGAAGATGGCCGTTATGGCGGCAACAATGTAAATGGGAATGGTGAGGAGCTGGGCCGTGCTGGAATGGTATCCAAGACCCTTGATGATGGTGGGTAGAAAGAGGCTGACACCGTAGAGCGGGCAGACGATCTGGAGCTGTGTTAGTGGAAGAGGAGTTAGATGGCCATCATGTCAACTTACACCCCAGTAAACGAGGATGTTGATGTAAATCTGCCCATCGCAAAAGGCCTGTCGCACATATTCCCACTTGAACTCATCGGCCTCGGCGACCTCGACAACGGGAACATCATTGTCGTCATTCTTTCCACTCCTGGATCCCTGATATTTGAGGCGGTGAATGACAAACTCCCTTTCCTCCCGGGTCAGGAAACTAGCTGTCTCGGGGAAATCGTAGAGGGCGAAAAAGGCAAAGAGGGCGACGATGACTGTGGCTATCCCCTCGAGGATGAAGATCCAGCGCCAGCCCTCAAGACCGGCGATCCCATCCATCTTGGCAATGGCAAATGCAAGCAGCCCACTAAATGCCCCGGCAATGGATGCAGCCGAGAAGAAGAGGGCTTGTCGAAACTGGATCTCACTGCGACAGTACCACATAGTCAGGTAGTACTAAGCGTTGCTCGGTCGGTCAGCATTACAGGAGGGGGGCAAGGAGAGTGGTGGTACGATACGTACAGCAACTCCAGGAAAGAGGCCGGCCTCGGTGACACCGAGGAAGATGCGAGCAATGAGAAGTCCATGATAGCTCTGGACGATTCCCATGAGAGTCATGACGATTCCCCAGGCCACCATGATGGATGGGAGCCAACGACTGGGACGCAGCTTCTTGAGGACAAGGTTGCTGGGGACTTCGAAGGCAGCGTAGGTGAAGAAGAAGACGGTGAGACACCAGTTGTACTGGTCGTCGGACATGTTGAGGTCTTCTTGGAGGCCTTCGATCTTGGCATTTCCTATATTTCCACCTTTTTACCATTTTTTAGTTTCGTCGTATGATGCCAATAATACGTGGAAGCGAAATGGGCGAACCTTACGATCGAGAAACGACAAGAGGTAAAGGAGGGCGAGGACGGGAATGACCCGAATATCCATCTGAGCATGTCCATGTTAGTGTTTAGTATCTAGTATTTACCACCTCATTTTGCTCAATTGTGCGCTCAAATACCAGAACAGCATCGTACCTTGCGAAGTATCTTTTTCTCATCCAAGTGAGCAAACGACGGTCGTGTAGAGCCATTGGCGAGATTGTCGATCGACTCGTCCTTACCAGGGATTTTTCCGGAATCATTCTCTATTTCGGAAAAGTCATTCTTTACCGACACAACGTGAGGGCTAGCTAGATCCATGACGGCGGCAAAGACGGCGATTGGTATTTAAGAAGGATGCACTAGGCAGGACAGACAAGAGGGATGTATGGTTGGACAAGAGGGAGGAACAGGAAAAGCAAACTCGCCCGGTTGTTCTCCAGGATATATATGAGACCGTTGCCCCTTACGTTGAAAGGACAGGACCCTGCCCCACGTTGGTCTTGGGGAAACAAAGACAAGTCAAGCCGCTTCGCAAGAAGATACGAAAGAGGGGGTAACATATTTTCTTGGTCAGTTTCCCTCTTCTTAACCTCCTCTCGGCAGAGGTGACACAGTTCCCCACCATGGATACAACCCATTGGCGGTAAATCATGGGAAAGTAGTGGGAGATCTCTCCCCGCTCTTTCTACCATCCCCGCAAAGAGAAAAGTAAGTGGCCAGACCAATGCAAAAGCGTCAAAGCCAGATGGGAAGAAGAAGAAGAAGCGGAAATAGTGTGGGATGAGATGGTGGATGGTGGACCCAAGATGGCGGGGACATGGAGGGGGGGGGGGAGCGGTTTCTCCACTATGAATTGAACTCTGCCATCTAGTAGATGTTGGGGTAATATTACGGAGAAGGAGCGCGGGAAACCACCTCGGCATCGCACTTGCCGATTCTCAGTTACTATCTACCATCTAAGCTTGAGCGGTCAAGATATTGTATATCCGGAACCCGGAGTTATAATTTTCCAGGACCCGACACGCGCTACTCGCATTATCACTATCAAGGGAAGTTGTGACAGTTTGGGAAGGGCAGCTCCAAGAAAGTTTATTTCGTAGCAAAGAAAAGGAAAGAGGAAAGTAAAAATAGTGGTATAAGAAAAACCTAGTATTATTAGTGTAGTTGTGAGGCGGGGCCGCTACTGCCCCACCACGGGAGCGCCACTCATTAGCAACATATCAATATACTTATTCTAACATTGAACTACTAGTAGTAGAAGTTAGGCTCCGACATTATAAGGCATACAGTCCCTTTCTGATAGTAAAATAATCACGTTACTGCCAGATGCCACGAAGCCTTTGATAGCATGTGGGGTTTTAGTACTAACATGAATCTCGAAATCTCCAATGAGGAAACCTGCCACAACGCATTTCGCGACGACCTTTGCGTCGATATATCACCATACTACAGGAACGCCGCGGTTTCCAAGAGAGGACAAGGACAGTTTATTACAACCTGTCCAACGGTATTATTCATCAAGGCCATTCGTGTCTCGGTCACTCCCGCATCAGATACTCTGACACAGCAAGAAATAAGGCCCCTCCTCCACGATTATCATTCACCACCGTCGGAACGCTGGTATAATACTATTTGATTGTGAACGTCAGCTCTTCCGTCCTACAGCCTTTATCCCTCTTGGATAGAATGACTCACCTCATATGTAGCATTGCTCTTGAGAGAGCCGACCTCGACCGTTTGGATGAAATTCAACGTGCCATCATCATTCGCCGTGATGAATTTATCAGTCAAGTACTCGTATGCCTCAACAGCGACATTCCCATAATCAGCCTCATCAATTAGGCCCTGGCGAATCCCACGGAACAGGCCATACGTAAACATGGCATGGGCACTGCTCTCGATATAGTTCCCCTCTTCACCAGGATAAGGCTCACTCATGACGAGCCACCAGCCTCCATCATTCTCGTACGCCTTCTTCAATCCCTCTGCCAGGGTGACAAAGTACCCCAAGAGACGAGCATGCGCGTCGTTGTCCTCGGGAAAGTACCCCAGTGCCTCGGCTAGGGAGATGAAATACCATCCCACAGACCTTGACCAGACCAGCGGCGACGCTCCCGTCACGGGGTCAGCCCACACGGCTTCCTTGCTATCGTCGTATCCGTGCACGAGCAACTCGGACGTGCTGTTGCGACAGTGCTCCTCGATGAGATCATACTGCAGGGCAATGTCGTCCCAGGCCGTCGTGTTATCGGGCTCGAATGCGCTTGTCCATTTCGCGTAGAAGCTGTCGGCCATGAAGATTCCGTCTAGCCACATCTGGTTCGGGTAGTCTGGGGCGCGATGCCAGAAGCCGCCCGAAGGGTTACGCGGGTGTCGGTCCAGCTGGGAGCGAATCGTATCGGCGGCAGTCTTGTACTTGATTTCGTCGGTGCGCTCGTACCACCATAGCAGGTTGTTGCCGATGCGATACTCGTCGAGGGAGTAAAAGTCGTATTCCCAGTCACGGATGGTGCCGTCGTCGTTGACCACGCCTTCGTCAATCTGGCTCTGGTACCATGATACCACACTTGCGTTGGACGACAGCCCGATCGAGGCCTCCACGCCAGTGTACAGTGTTGCCTCAGAGTATCCAAAGCCGAAGTCCACGCCTCTTCTGATCCATGAGTCTGTCAATTGGTCCAGGAGAGTTGTCATGTTGGCGGCGGCTGCGAGCACGCTGGTCGCACAGGCAATGAGAGATGATAGATAGGGTGCTTTCGTGAGCCTTGTTTAAAATCGTTATCATGGACGACAACAAGAAGACAGCTGGAGAAACAAGAAACAAGAAACAATAGAAGAACAGGGGAGACAAGAGGGAAAACGGATTGAAGTGCAGGATATGTTCTTGTTTCATATTTTATAATCCAGGGGCCTTGTAGCCTGTAGGGCACCAGGGGGAGGGGAGAGGGGGGTTGGCTCGCGATGCTCCCACTCGGGCCACTCCCTGCCTGGTTTCCTTCGGATCAATGAATTCAGCAGGGGGCAAGCCATTTTACCCGATTGGCGGATTTTTTACTTCTCTGTCACTCCGACACTCACTCCATGGGACTCTATGGGAAGGAGTCCATAGAATCAACATTAGCCAATGTCATCATCATTCTCTATAGGGATCCTTGAAAAATATGACCTGCACCGTAACATCGTCGCGCACATAACGACTGCGGGGACTCATCTCCGTCATGACTCCGCGAAACAGATTCCTCCTCGTCCCACCAAAAGCATTCTTGATCAGGCATACGGCGGCATTATCCATATCCTCGATGGCGAAGTACTCGGGCGTAGCTCGCCAGCTTCCAAACCCCTCACGCGCCACCATCATCTTCATCGACCCTTCCTGGCTCTCCACCCTCTCCGGTTGACCTGCCTTCTTGGCCGCCAGCCAGCGCGAGACGCACGACACGGCATCCTCGTTGGAAATGTGGTCCCACAGTCCGTCGGTAGCCATGATGACAAAGTCATCGGTCGATATCTGGCGCGTAGTAACCTCGGGCTCTGCCGTCATGTAAGGCGGCGTCTTGTATCTAGGCCGCGGACCAGTGTCGAAGAAGTTATCCTCAAGGTGGAGGAGGAAATCGAGCGGGTACTTCCATCTGTGGTCACCAAAAGACCGCGTGATGGCCATACCGAGAAGTCGGCCCGTGCGGGGGTCTAACATGTCCTCCTCGCCTGGGTGGGCGGCGTTTAGGCGGGCCACTTCCAGCGAATTGAAGCCGTTTTGGTCCACGCTCAGAGCCTCGGCGGAAAACGCACCCGTTCGCGATGACCATGACCCGAGAACGGCGCGCGAGTCGCCAGCCACAGCGGTACGCAGAATGGATGTGCTAGGGTCGTACATTGACAGCAGGGCGCATGACCCAGCTACGGCGGGGGCCAGGGCTGACAGGGCTTCAGCGTCACCTGGATTGTGCGTCTCTACCACTGCCTTTGCGTGGTTCATGATTTTGTCGTCTAGTTCCTTGAAGGCTGCCTTGACGGTGTCGTCGATGGCGGACCCGTCCTTGGCATCCAGCTTGGCGAGTGCAGACGAGACGTGAGGGATGAGAGCTTGACTGAGCACTGTAGACGTGGCCCATCCTCTATCTATGCGTCAGTTCCGCAGTCACTGAGCCATTTGAGATGCCAGACTCACGCGTGCCCATCGTAGACCCCAGCATACACCATGTCCTCCTTCCCAGGTCCCTTGCCCAGCGCGGTCGCCCAGTTGTCCTCAACGGGGTTATTGCTCGACACGCGAGCCACATCAACACGTCCCGTGGTGCCATCCTTCGAAGACTCGAACGAGAATGCGTGAACGCTTTGCCGGATCTTCTTGTTCGCAGCCTCAAGATCTAGCACTTTCACAGGTGACGAGATATCTACAGCAGGATCCACCGCGACGACAGGTAGGTCGCTCAGCTGGCGACGATTCTCGTCCAGTTTCCTCCCCGGTGCGAGCCCGGCAATGTACAGAGCGACAAATGATGCCACGCAGCCGGTTGTGCCCCAGAAAAATCCTCCAGTGAACGAGGATGATCGACGGGGGGGTCCATTCGAGTATGCGCGGCCACCGACGCCAGAGCAGATCCGAGAAGCTCCCCAGCCAAGGGACCGCCGCGCGGCTAGGATTGAGCGGTTCATAGCAGATATGCACGTGTGATTCGCATGCAGAGGTTTCACTGACCGTTGAGGGTTGATATGATGTTTAACAGGATATGGGTTGATTATTGGTAGATGGCGGTGAAGAAGATGAAAGAGGGAAACCGTGGGAGGTGTAAGGGAAAGGGCGTGAGACAGGACAGACCAGCGAAATCGAGATAACCTACACACAGGATTTCGAGATTACATTCAATGGCAAGCACATGGATTCGCAATAGAATACAGCCTATATTTCAATGAACGGCGGTATTCTCTTGTTTGTACAAGGGGGAGAACAATATGAGGAATAAATGCATCATACAGCCTATTTCCTCCCGATCTCTTTCTCCTCTTCTTCCCACTCACCCGCATCCTCCATCGCCTCATTGACACCATGCTCAGCATCGCCAGCGAGTCCCTCACTATCAATGTCACTATAGTCGATCATGTCCTCATCCTCATCATCGACCTCTTCACCGCCACCGCCGCCAGTAGCCTTCTTATGGGCCTCCTTGGCAGCCTTTTTGCGCTCAACGTTGGCCTTTTGCTCGCGCTTCCTGGCATCCTTCTCCTGCCTGCGCTTCTCCCACCGCTTCTCGAGGTCCTTGATTTCGTCCTTTGTCTTGTTCACGTACTCATGCCACATGACCTTGCCTCCGCACATGCCCTCCTCCACCTTTGTCAGGCGCAGGCGCATCCGGGGGCCTAGCTCGACGAGCTTGACGGCACGTCGCTCGACATTGTCCTCTTCGCCATCTGCGGCGTCTTCGACCTCGCGGGCGGCGGCCTGACGAGCCCGCGCGGACTGGACCTTGCGCGGCGCCGAGTCCATGACCTCGACCTCGGCGTCCGTGTCCAGCTCGCTGCCACTCGTCGCATCCGTCATGTATCCGCCGTTCTCGCCCGTCATGTAGTCGGCGATGTCTTCAAGCTTTCCCAAGTTGGGTAGCTTGCTCTTGCGGCTTGTCTTGGTCGACATGAACTTTTCAGCTGCGCTGATACGCCGCAGCTGCTTGGATACACCTGTAGATCGCGTCGTGATGGCGTAGTGTCGAAAATTGAGGATGAAGGAGCCGTCGTCCTCTTTGGACTCCTCACGGTTTAGAAGGAGCACTCGGCGTATCGACTTGAGTGGTGTTGCTTGCGGGTTAATGGGCGGAAAGAGCGACTGGAAGACGGTCGTGGCCAGGGATTCTAGATGCTTGGGTATCTTGGACGTGGCAGTCGAGTCGGGTCGGCTAAAGTTGTTCATGACGAGCTGGAGAAGAAGAAAGTTAGCTTGGCATGGGCGGTGCAAGCAGTGAGTGGGCGTGTGGATGAGTGCCATACCAGTGGTGCCGTGAGAAACTCCTTGCCTCCACCGAGAGGATGCCTCTGAGCCCTTTGGACATCCCTGCAAAGCGAATACTTTTCCACCCGGAAGTTCATGGTCGGTCCCCTGGGCGCCAATGCGACACGCAGGTTGGTATTTCCGCTGTCGGATCGCGAGAAGAGCAACAGGTGTGTAACACCCAGAGGTCCACACATGACGACGTAGTCCTTGAGCCTGTTGCCCCTCCTCTCCTTAAGACGACTGGCCGTGCCGGGCTCCATGACCTTGCGCACATCCGTAGCTAGCTGGCTCACGCTGGTTCCGACTTCGCCAGCGCCGATGCGAATCACCATGCTCTTGGGGTTGCGGGCCGTGGAATGGCCCGCGCCATTGTTATCGGGGTTGTTGGCGCCGACATGCGTCTTCTTTCTGGTGTGTTTGCGGGCCATTCTTCTATTTGTGTTCCAGAAATCAACTGGAAAATCGAATATGGGAAGAAGGGGGAAACAGAAGGGGCGAAAAAAGGAGGGAAAAAAAGAAAATCGTATTTTCAAAGATGAGACGGATCGAGTATCTTAGAGGGACTGAAAGAAAAAAGTTTCGGTGGATACTGTGCCGATAAGCCCACCCGATAAGCAAAAAGTGCATTAGCCCGTCTTCTTTTTCTCTCGCGCCGTGTTTTCCAAGTATATTGTGGCTATTATATATTATATCCTATTTTACCTATAATGTAATGTAACCTGAATACTACTATATGGCCTCACATAGAGACCCTTAAGAGCGTACGGATTATAAGCTCCAGAATTAGTGATTTCTTTCAGACATTAGGTCTAATAAGCTGTTAAATGGAAGGGAATTTCTTGGGGAAAAAAAAAAAGGCAAGACTGGGTACATGTGGGGAAGGAGCGACGGTACACTTATCAGTAGAAGGGGACCCCACCAAAAATTTCTACAGACGAGCTTCATCTACTCGTACTGGTCTTCATCGGTCCAACTCATCCGTTCCTTGCCTTTTCCGCTCCAGAAACCGTCACAATGGACGCCTCCAAGGACAGAAAGTCTGCGCACAGAGATAAGCGGACAAAGATCAAGCAAAAGAAGAGCGACAATGTTCCCGTCGAGAGGGTCGAGCCTCCCATCGTCGCCGCAGCCGCCGCCGCCCGAGAGTCGAGCGAGGATGACGAGTCGGCCACCGTTGATGTCCCGTCAAATAACGGAGAGGCGTCTGGGACGACGACGCCGCCCAAGACGTTTGCTGAGCTGGTGGGTTACTGGCATTTCCCTTCACCCTCACTGTAGTGCAGGCACTGACACTCATGCAGGGAATTGTAGAATCACTCTGCGAAGCCTGCGAGTCCCTCAACTACAAGCACCCGACGCCGATCCAAGAAAAGTCAATACCAGTCGCCCTCGAGGGCCGCGACATTATCGGTCTGGCCGAGACTGGATCCGGAAAGACGGCTGCGTTTGCGCTGCCCATGCTGCAGGCCCTGCTGGACAAGCCCCAGCCGCTGTTCGGACTTGTGCTGGCGCCCACGCGCGAGCTGGCCACGCAGATTGGCCAGGCATTCGAGGCGCTGGGCGCGCTCATCTCCCTGCGCTGCGCCGTCATCGTCGGAGGTCTGGACATGGTGCCCCAGGCCATCGCGCTGAGCAAGAAGCCCCACGTCATCGTAGCCACGCCCGGCCGTCTGGTGGATCACTTGGAGAAGACCAAGGGCTTCTCGCTCCGCACGCTCAAGTACCTGGTCATGGACGAGGCTGACCGTCTTCTGGACATGGACTTTGGACCCTCCATTGACAGGCTGCTCAAGTTTGTGCCGCGCGAGCGCCGTACCTACCTCTTCTCAGCCACTATGAGCTCCAAGGTCGAGAGCCTGCAGCGCGCTAGTCTGCGCGACCCCGTGCGTGTCAGCATCAGCTCGAGCAAGTACCAGACCGTGTCGACGCTGCTGCAGCACTACCTCTTCATCCCGTACATGCACAAGGACACCTTCCTGGTGTACCTGGTCAACGAGTTTGCGGGCCAGTCCATGATGATCTTCACACGTACCGTCTTCGAGGCCCAGCGCGTCGCTATCCTCCTGCGTGCCCTCGGCTTCGGCGCCATCCCCCTGCACGGCCAGCTGAACCAGACCGCCCGTCTGGGTGCCCTCAACAAGTTCCGCTCCGGCGCCCGCAACATCATGGTAGCCACCGACGTCGCCGCCCGTGGTCTCGACATCCCCAAGGTCGACGTCGTCCTCAACCACGACCTTCCCCAAGACTCAAAGACGTACATCCACCGCGTCGGCCGTACCGCCCGTGCCGGGAAATCGGGTATTGCCATCACTATTACCAACCAGTACGACCTGGAGATCTATCAGCGTATCGAGGCTGCCCTCGGCAAGAAGCTCCCGGAGTACCCTACCGTCAAGGAGGAGGTCATGGCTTTCCGTCCCCGCGTCGAAGAGGCCCAGAGGCATGCCAAGATTGAGATGCGCTCGGTGGCCGAGCGTCAGGGCAGGAAGAATGGCGGTGCCACTATGCGTGCTAGGGCTAATCGGGGTAGGAGAGATAACATGGATGCTGAGGAGGGTTGATCTTTTTATTTGATTTCCTTTTTCTTTTTTGAATCGTTATTGCTTTGTCTTGTTTGGTGTCAATGGTCCATCCAGCTATGTTTGATCAAAAGATTCATTCTTTTTTACTCTCTTAGATTGTCAGAAATAGGGGCGTTTTTATTGCGTCAATGGTATACCTTGTGTTTTTCTTTCGTCAAGTATATCCCGACGTGCAGCAGTAAATACCAGTAAGCATTCCATCTCTTCTAAGTACTAATCAGTAGACAAAAGTATTATACAATCGTTGTAATACAGGCCTTTTCATGAATCATAGACAACTTTGCCCTTGTTCTACTCATCATCCCTTTCCATAGTAGACTCATCCTCCTCAGGATGCACACGCACGGTCGACCCATCAGCCGTTTCGTCTGCGTCTGCCATCTCCGTGTCCTCCTGGCCTTCATTCTCCTCATCATCTTCTTCCTCATCATCGGCCACGTTGCCATGCGTCACATCGGCTTCTACCTCTTCTTCCTCATCCTCTTCTTCACGGAGCCCTTCATCCTGCCCATGGCCTCTTCCCTCCTCGTCGGCCTCTTGACCTTCGTGGGCCTCTAGCTTTGTCTCTTCTTCAGCCTCTTCGTCTTCTTCCCCCTCGCTTTCGCTGCCTGCATCCTCCCCACTCGTCTGTTGGTCGTCAGCGTCGCCTCTTCGGAGGTTTGGGAACATGAGGCCAGGTGGCATCTCCCCATCCGAGGCGTCGGGTGCATCGCTGAGATCGCTCTCATCATCACCATCATTCTCGTCGTCGCTACCCAGATGAACAGTCGTCGTGTCGGCTGCAGCATCGACATTACCCGGGGGAGTAGGCGTCCCCTTTGCTTCCGTCTCCCCTGCCTCCCGACGCACCTGGGCATCCGGGCCATCTTCCTCTTCGCCATCAGATCCAGATTCTGCTCCTGCTGCACCACCTGCATTGTCCTCGCTCATGGCGGCGACGGGAGTCTGGCTGCCACGCTTGCTAGACGTGCGCGTCTTAGCCGCCGGTCCGGCCTTGGGTTGCTCCATCGACCGCATGACGGCCTGCTCTGCCTTGCGCAGCACATCAGGTCTCCTGATACCGGTGCGTCGAGCGCGCGTACCGCCCGCTTCGGGCTTCTCTGACTCTTGCGGTGTGGGTGTCGCGCGTCGGCTACTGTCATTGGCGTCCTGGGTATCTATCGGGTTGAGCAAGCTCTGCAGCGCATTGTTGGCCGGCTTGCGCTCTTCCTGCTCGGCTGCTGCTGCTGTTGCTGCTGCCTCGGCAGCCGCTGCTTCCTCGGCTTCCTTGGCCTTGTGTCTCTCCTCAATGACCTTGGCTGGCTCGGTTCCGGGGAGGCTATCGCCAATGTCGAGGTAGATCTTGGAGTAGCAGTCATTGATGAGGTCGTCGATGGGACCTGCCCTGGTCAGGCCGCCGTTCAGTTTCTTCAGCTCGATCACATCCCTCATACAGCTGAACACGGCCGTGTGGGGACCCTCGGGCACCGCCCAGTCCGTGATTCGGCCTGAGACAATATCAAACTCCTCTGCTGACATGGACTTGAACACCTCCTCGGTGGCCTCAGGAATCTCGTAGATCCTCCGCAGAAGCTTGACAAACTCGTGACAACACCACTGCCACAAGTCGAGGAAGTGATAGAAGTCGGCTCCCTTTTTGCGGATCCGTTTAAGAAGCTGCTCCATGTTGAATCTGTCTGAAAGAATACCAAGCAGTCGCACAACAAAACGCGTATATCGTTCCGTATACACATGGTGTCGGCCTGGCCGTTCCGCGTCGCATTTCCACACGTTCATCACCATCGTCTTGGTGAGCATGCTGTCGCCCAGGATGTCAAAGGCATCCCTGGCAGACTCCCAGACCTCTTCAGAAGGCTTTTGTCCTTGTTTTTCATCGCCGTCGTCATTGCTATCACCTTCCTCGCCAACACCATCGCTGCTAGTCTTGTTATTGTTCGTGGTGGCGTTGTCGTCGTCCTTGAACAGGATGGTAGCATGACGCATAATGATACGGTGTTGCCAGTTGGACTTATCCTTGTCCGCCAAGTTTTCCAGGCTAGCAATTATGTACTCATCCCAGTCTTCGGGTTTGTCAAACGAGGCAAACTCGTCGTCCTCCTTGATAGACACGCCAAATGGCTGCTCCGAGAGTGTCTTGGCGGCCTCCTTGGCCTGCAGGTCGCCGCGCATCACCATCTTGTGCACAATGGAGACAATCTTGTAGTGGGGTTCGAGGATGGGCTCGCTCCTGCGGGACTTACGCGCATTGTACGCTACTTCGACAGACTTCTTGAGCACCTCGAGCAAGGTGCTGGCCGTGATGTGCGAGTCCCGGTCGGTCGCGTCCATCTGGTCCGCATCTGCCGTGAACATCTTCCAGTAACATTTGGCCAGCATGTAGGAGTTCTTCCAGTTGTTGGGCTGGCGCTTTGCGGCCATCTTGAACAGCCTGGCTGCGTACTTCCACACCTTGTACTGCGGCAGCTCATCGTGCACGATGCGCTTGAAAGTTCCCTGTCCTGTGGCCTCGATGAAGAAGCGCTCCTGCTCCGAGTGTTGGAACGGCTCCATGGCAAACGGCTGTCTGCTAGAAGAGTACATGCGCATACCGAAGCGCTGATACAGGTCGTGCAGTGGGTCGCCATCATACTCCTCAATGTCCACAATGTGCGAGTGCGACAGGGCCAACGTGTAACAGTGGATGGCGCCACGCTGGAATCTGAGGAGCTCGGCACGGTCCTTGTTGATCCTCTCGGCCGTCCACAGCACAGCCTCATCCAACTCGTAGTCAAAGCACTCGGCCAGGCGGAACCAGGCATCCCAGCGATCTGGGGTAAATTGCAACTGCAGGCGGAGCAACGTGGCGCCGATGCGCAGATCATCGGTAGCGCCGGGCGTCTGGCGACGGTTGAGATCGACACCCTTGAACTTGGTCAGAGCAATCATACCGAGGAGAAAGAACCAGCCGTGATTAGCCAGGACGGCATCTGAGCGAGGAGGCACGTTGACGGCATCCAAATAGACGCCGCCCGTGAGAGCCCGGTAAAGCCTTAGCGGGTGGATGGGCTTCTTGAGGTACTCGGTGAAGTTGCGCAGGTTGTGGATCATCTGCGCGTTCGACTTGAGCTGGCCAATGGCTTGCTGCATGTGGTCGATGGTCGTCTTGAGCTCCGATTTGAGCAGGTCCTTAACTGACATGCGCTTGGCAAGCACCATGACGCGCTCTACGAGCTGGATCGCCTTGGACTTTTGAAGCGTCTCATGTGGACAGCCGTGCTCCTGGACGCCGAACGCACCGACGCCGAGCTTGAGCCCGTACAGGTCGTAGAGCACCTGCTCGAGATAGTCCTCCCAATGGTCAAGGTCCTTCATCCTGAGCAGCTCCCTACGCATGAGGTTGAGGAAGATTTTGTTGGAGACCTTGCAGAATTTGCGAAGTCCGATTACCCGGTGGACGGCTGAGAGATAGTTGGCCTTTTCGTTATCCGGCGAGATGAACGAGCCGTGTTGCTCAATAGCCGCGTCCATGAGAGTGTAATGAAGAGTCCAGGCTCGCACCTGCATCTCGCGGAGCTTGTTGCTCATGGCCTGAAATGTGCTGTTGTTAGGTGAGGCAGGCGAAGCGCTGATGCCCACGCGAACCTCGTCCTCACAGAGAGATGCCACATGAAGCAGGCAATTTACCTTGGCCAGGGCCGCAGCAGTGGACCTGAAGTGGTCCCCGTCAATGATATCAAAAGCGGTGGGTTCGTTGATGGCCATGGAGAGTGCCTGTACTAGTTGCTCGTCTAGAGACCTAAGAGTCCTGAGCAAGAGAAGCTTTCGCGAGTCATCGGGGGTCTTTGTATACGCCTCTCCGTCGAGGTCAGCAACAATCATCTCGATGCTCCTGAGGTGGCACGAGAACTTCTTGGTCTTGTAATCAATGGCTTCGTAGGCGATGCCCAGCTGCGACCACAGAAAGAGCCTCAGCTCCGTGCTGCTATTGAGGAGGAATTTCCACAGATCACGTAGTCCTTGACCAGCACATTCTGACAAGGGCTCGCCGTCTTCTGTTGTCTCCTTGGTGGCCTTTTCGCCGTCGGCATCCACAGATGAGCGGGGGCTATCTTCGGCCATGACGCGGACAGATGAAGGATTAAGGACTGGCTCCAGCGTCTCGATGACATGAACAGGATTCTCCATCTCATCCTGGAATAGCCCGATGAAGAAGTCCATTGTGGTGAGCCTAGAAATCTCCCTATCGGCAGCCTCTGCAGATACAATAGGCATGACGTTGCTGTTGGGGAGCGTTATGGGCTCGGTCTTCTCGGTCGACATGAAATCCCTGAGTGACGTCCACATCAAGAGCATGTGCTCCCTGACAGGATCTTCAGCATGGGATGCTGCTACGACTGACGCCCACATAAAGCGCACGCAGATGGGGTCACTGGCCGGCCTATCTAGGAGGCTGACGTATGTCGATGTGACGTTAAGCCAGCGTGACAGACGGTCCTTTGTCTCGATTCGGGTAGCATAGCCTGCGACGCTGGCCGGATCGATGATGTCGTCATATATGTCCATGCACAATTCAAATAGCATAGGGACCAACGTGCTCAGGTCCTCCAACCGTTCTGGCGATGCCTGTGAGTATTCAATTTCATCAGTGACCCGTTGCAGCAGACCGCAATGGAATCGACTGAGCATCTGGATGACGGTCGCCTTCATCTCGTCGGGCCACTTGACTTTGGTATATGACTTGCTGACGGCCCGGATCCACTCAAACGCAGCGTCTCCGCCTGTCATCCAAGAGGTGTTTGCATTGATACGATCGACAAAGGCCCTGAGCCCCTTGGCCTCGTTGAATGGCGTTCCTTTGGCTTGGTCCTGCGAGCCCGACTTCGCATGTTCCAGGAAAGACGATAGGCCCAGTGAAGGCTTCTCTTCCTTGCTGGTCAAGACTCGCGCCGTCTCCTGGGAGAAGGTGGACACCACAGCGCGCAAGTCTTTGGACGCTAATGGCGTGAGCCCAGACATGCGGTCTTCCGATGTTGACGACTCTTGAAGCTCTGTCAGACGTTGGATTGTCTCTTTGTCCTCGACACCCAGGTTCTCCAATATGTTCCTCGTCGCCTGGAACAGGTTGTGGTCGGCTTCTTGAAACGGCTGAAGTTGGGAGGCAATCGAGGCACCGGGGGCTACAGACTCGGAGGCATCAACAGTCTCTCGCCTGCGAACTCGCTTGCTACGCTTTTCGCGCACCGATTCTTCGTCTACTGCCTCAGGGATTCCTGCTGTTGATTGAGACCTCTTGCGTGTCGTCGGAGCTGAGCTTCCCCGGTCATTCTGTGCTTTGTCTTCCGTCTTGTCCACCTTTTGCTTCCCAGAATCGGTCCCATTCTCTTTTTTACCGTCTCCTTCTTTGGTACCGTTCTTGTCCTTTGACGGTCCGGTGGCTTCTTTCTCTTGTGTAGCAGACGTCCCTTTGTCTGCATCACCAGTTTCGCCATTCTGCGGCGTCATTTCCCGATCGGGGGAGGGTGGGTCCGGCTCGGCACCGCATTCTATAACGGAGGCTGTCAAGTCGTCAATGTGCTTCATGAGCTCTTCTCCGAGATCCGCCCAAGAGCATACAGGGTCGGCATCGTTTTCTTCTTCTTCATTTTCTAGCAGTTTCTGATCTCTGGGTGGGCTCGAGGGTGGCGGGGTCAAGCTTTGAGTAGGGTCTGGAAGAAATGGTATAGGATCCATGAGACGCTTCATGAGCTCGGGGATATTCTTTTCCACCCAGGGCAACATGGCAGGATGCGACAGGGCTATCTTATCGTCAAGAAGCTCGAGCTGACTCTTCAGTTGGCCACCAGCAAGACCCTCTGCTAGGGACGGGGGCTCGACTTCGGTAGTAGCCGGGTCGTCGTCGAGTTCGATTGCGGCCTCGAGACAGAATCGCTTGAGTCGCGCGCTGTTCATGGACGCGGCGAACCGGCCTGCCCTGCGCCATACCTCCGGGTCGGATGGATCCTGGTCGAGTGCCTTGGCCCAGTAGTCTAAAACCTTGTCGCCACCTTCATCGCCGTAGATTCGTCGGCGCTTCTTCCAGTTGGGGTCCGAGTATCGCAGGTCCTTCAGCTTATCGAGAAAGAACTCTCCGTAGTTCTTGTATCCTAGGTACAGGGCCAGAGACAGGGTTGTGGCCACGCCGTCGGCACCGCCGGCGTCAATGTCCAGGCCCGCGGGGAAGGCCTCGAGTCCTTGGGAATCGACCTCCCCATTTGCTTGCCTTTCTGCACGCTCGTAATCGGTCCTCGCTTCGCGGTATTTGAAGATTTCCGACTCAAATAGTTCGTCGTAGGCTGCGGCAGCAGCTTCGCGGGAGGGCTGGCCTTGGGCATGGAGCTTCAAAGCTGTTTGGAAACGCTTGAGAGCCTCGTCGACCTGATATGAGAAAAAGTCAGATATATATTGCTGAATTATTCAGAAATGAAGGAGCGATGGGGTCGACAGACATGAACCTCCTTTGTCGTGTCAATCTGCTCATCGATATTCTCCTCGGGTTCGAGGTTGATGGCCTGGAAGGCCGGCTGTGCGCGCAACGTAATAGTTAGCATGATAAATGATGTTCAACATGAAGGGCAGCCGTCGACTTACCATGATGACGACAAGTGCGTCCAAGATGTAGGGGCCGTCATTCAAGTTAGTACCATGGATGTATTGCTGTTGCCATCCGCGTCTTGTCTGTCGTAGGAGCGAGCAATGATGTGGGATATCGCGTCAGTGAAACGCGATGCGACTGCTTCGATTTTGCCAACCCTACACCTCATTCATCTGTAGTCTTGTGGCTTGGTTGGTGCCTGTGGCTTGATCAAAGAGGCAACCAAGCAAACAGACAAACAAACAAGCAAACTAGACAATCGTGTAATGATCAGCCTAGAGGTACGGAGTACTCCGTATATGTAGTTAATACCAGGTGAAGAGGGTGGCACGTGTTCTACATGTACGGCGCAGCGATAATGCTCAGGGGAACAGGTGCGATACGCCAGAAACGCCACAGGCGTAAGCCACACCTTACACTATTGACCCCAATTGAACACAAAGGGACAGCTTCATCTCCACCGCTTGCGATACTCTCGCACTATTTGGCAGCCAAGCAAGCTTCTCACGGCCTAGGTCTTGCTCGTTTCATTGACTTGGCCTTGTTTTCCCTTCCCTTCCACAGCTGAGAATATCATCATCTCAGTCTTGGTTTAAGTCGGGTTAGACAAGCCCCCTGCTGCGTACCTCACGACAGGCCTCCCGTCGCAAGGGAGCTTTTATCGCAGTCATGGTAGCGCCTGCCGTCCCTGAGTGAGTCCCCTCCCCCTCCTCTGCCCTTGAGGTGTTTCTCGCCACCTACTGACACCATCTCGCCATTTTCTTTCGATACGCAAAGGCTCACAGAGGAGATCCTCCATGAGTCACTCGATGCGAGAACCGAGTCGCTCGTTGCCCTGCGCGAGCTGGGTCCTCCCGATCTCGTCCACCTAGTTAAGCAGGCGACGCGCAATCAGGGAAAGCAGGTACGAAGCCAGCGTCGCGCAATGTTTGACGGCTTAAAAATGTTACTAAAATTTCCTTCCGAAACTTGTTAGACCGGGATTTACCACCATGTCACCGGCGTCGATGCCTCTTCCTCGGCTAGTCTCGCCGCCTACATCAACACTCTGACGTATAAGGAGCACGGTCAGAACACAAGCACCAAGATTGTCGAGGGGGTCTACTGGTATGGGATTCGCGCATCGTCGCCTGGTGGTGTCTGGGATTTCTTGGCTAACTAATATGTGCTTCCAGCTGCTACAATGCTTTCTCGAGGCTCGATATGCGCATACATGTTTCGATCCCCGGCACCGTCGAGAGTTACTGCATCGACGAGCGCGGCGATAGGAAGAAGGCAACCGATGATCTGTGGCTTGAGACATATCTCTGCAGCGTTCTGCGCGCGTACTCGTACGCCGACGATGGCAGTGGCGACACGATTCGCAAGATTATTGGCGTTCGACGCTTCAACCCTGTCACGAGCACCGAGACCGAACACCGCTTCCTGAATGCTGCCGAGCAGCTCTTCTTTAGGGGTGGGAATCTTTGATATAATTTCCTCGTTTGTTTTGTTCACCTGATCTAACGTTCGTATGACTTGCAGGATGGCAATTGGGCTCCGACTCTGTGGTGCAGCTGCCCACCAACGTGTCCAACCACCTGACTTCTGGTCTCCTCAAGTATCTCGAGACGACGGGCCGATACGCGTCCGGAATCAACCTGTTTGAGAAGCTGCGCACTCAGAGTGTCGAGGTGTCCTCGCTGCTGGCCAAGGTGCTCTTCATGGGCAACGAGGAGGTGTCCGGAGTCAGAACGCTGCACCAGTCGCTGCAGGACACACCTATGGACTACGTCATGCTCGATACACAGGCTGAGTTCCTGCTCCAAAAGGCCCGCAAGGCGGCCAACCCCGAGCAGAGGGAGGAGAGGTTAAAGATGGCACTCCGGTGCGCCGACCGTAGCACGATTGCGGCTCCCAGCGAGTTTGGGACGTGGGCCAGGCTGGCACAGGTCTACGTGGCCATGGAGGACTGGGGCAACGCGCTGACGATCCTCAACTCGTGCCCCATGTTCACATACCAGGACAAGGATGCTCCTGTTATGCCTGAGCCGAGAGAGGTCCACCTGCCGACGCTGCCCGAAACGCGTCTCGACGAGATAGACAGCGAGCCAGAGTCACGGTACGCGGAGCAGGTTGACCCCAGTCTCCTAGGACTACGTGCAGCCTCATACAAGGGTACCTTTAAGCTGGCCTACAGCATCCTGACCGAAATGACGGCTAAGATTGGATGGGATCAGCTGCTCAAGATCCGCAGCAATGTCTTTGTCATGGAGGACGAGTACCGCACAGAGAAGCAGGAGGCCACTGCCTCGGGGCCGAAGCGGAGCCCGAGCGTCGACGGACTCCGTGGCACCCCAGATGTGACAATCAATGGAGACCATGAGGAGGAGGACGATGAGGATGATGATGACGAGGACGATGAGGTCAAGGACGCCGAGGCCAAGACGGCCAAGACCAACGGTGAAAAGAGCAAGTTGGAGAAACCTACGAGCACCGTCAACCCTGAAGAAATCAAGGAGGAGGGAGAGAATGTGAGGATTGCCAAGCAGCAACCCATACAACATCTACGGACGAAAGCTGACGATGAGACGATGCAGGGCACCGTCAACGACGAGCACCTTTCCAAGCTCAACACAAAGCGGCTGTGCGAGCGCTGGCTGGACAGTCTCTTCATGGTCCTGTATGAGGACCTGCGTGTGTACACCATCTGGCGGACGCAGATGGCACAGTACCGCGCGCAGCAGATGCAGTACCGCAAGTCGGCCGAGGAGTGGGAGATTCTGGGCTCCCTAGCCGAGCGTCTGCAGCACACGGACGAGGCCATGGAAGCGTACCGGGCGTGTCTGGCCCTTCGCTTCAGCCCCAAGGCCCTGGCCGGCATCCTTCGCATGTACCGCAAGAGTAACAGCACGCGCGAGACGGTGCAGGCTATCATCCGCCTCGTAGCCTGGCAGTACCGCTGGTACAGCGAGTTCAGCCCCGAGCTGCTGCACACCATCCGCTCCCTCATCGAGGACGAGGGTGCCGTCAAGGTCAGGAGCATCATCCAGGCCACCAGCCTGCCTCAGAACGTGCTCGACCTGACGCACCACTATGCCGCCCTGTGTGCTACTTTCCGCAGCAGCGGGACCGACGGTTAGAGCTAGCCAGTCCACCGTCCAAAAAGGACATGGTGTTGTTTTTATCTTCTTCTTGGAGGCGCTGGTTTCTTAAAATCTCTTCCGGTCGGCTTCTTTTTCTTTTTCTGTTTTTTATTCGTCTTTATCTTTATCGGCGGGAAATAAGGGGAGGTTAAAGAGATGTGGGCCATACTCTTGTGATTCGAGCAACAGGGCTGTGTGCAGCAGATTGTCCGGGATGAGCAATTCAAAGACATGATAAAGGACTTGAGACTTGTTCCCTGTGCTGGGATATGTAAATCTGAGACGTCAAATATTCTTGGTTCAATGAATCCTCTCCGAGTGGGACGAGCGAGACTGTAAGGCCCTATCGTGATATCGAGGCTGCTCTCGACTCCCCCCGCCCCCCGGCCTGATCAGGGTCTCCTATCTTGGCCCACACAAAGCTGCTTCTTAACCGCCAGTCAACACCCTGCCCGCTAGTTCTGTGTATGCAACTACGGGTTTCATATTAGATGCATCTCCTTATAACTGTCCTATAATCTAGGACTACTCATTAGGTGGTCACGAAGAAGAAAACCAGAGGGTCATGGTACCTCTCCTTCTCTCTCTCTCTCTCTCTCTCTCTCTCTCTCTTCTTGTGATGATAGGGGGGAATAATGAGAAGTAACAAAGCGTCCAGGGTATCTCAACGAGTATCGCTTATATGTATTTGTAAGTTTTTGAGTCTACCCTCCTGGATATTCGCCGATCGACACGACGAGCAAGACGAGGAAGACCGCATGCGAGGAATCGAAGCGTACGGTGGAGGGTTTGGACAGTGGAAAGGTGTCTGGATATCGTTGAATAACAGGAGGCGTTTATGTGAATACACGCTGCAAACATTTCTAACATACCTTCGAGGTAGGTTAGGTGTTCTATAGTGTTGAGATTCTTGTTCTGTTTATTATCGTGGTATCGGACTCGACGGCATCATTATCGAGTCCGGCTTACCTAAGCTATAGTGTGATTTACTACGACAGTCCTTGTCAAAACACAACACAAGGATAGCTCTGCTTTTATGCCAACAAGAGGGCAAAAAAGTAAGACGGTAAATATAATCTTTTATGATCTAGCTAGGAGGGAAGAAACCGACGTTTCTATAGCCAGGTTTGACCTAAGTGCCTAAGGCAGAACGGAACGGTGCCAACAGCCGGGCTTTGTTGTGAGAAATCGCATCTTACACGATCTAACAGCCCATAGAGTTGACATCTTTCCTTCAATCTTTCGAGATGTTCTAGAATTGGGCAAAGTCGAAGTTTGGCATCATTTCCGGTCCCTTCTTGGAGATTCCCTCAGATGTGTTGGTAGCCCGAGGCTACATGTCATGGGATGCAGGTACAGACCGCACAGCACATGTATTCCCCTTTGCTTTTCCAGGCCATTGGTTGTAGGATATACATGCTATTTGGCGCCTGGGATTTCCTCGAGTTGGTTTACATTGATAAATGAAGTATGGCAAACCACCGGAGCACCATATCTTTGATATTCCTCGTGCACACCGAGGCCATTACAACCACGATGACCCCCCAACATCGACCTCATCCCACCTCGCCGCTACCGGACTCTCCGTACTTCCCTGTGCAGCCTGCCACATCAATCTCTTGGATTCCCCCAGCTCCCCGGTCACAGAGTGCCATACACCGCGGTTATGCCAGATAACAAGATCATCAGGCTCATAACGATGAACATAGACGTACTCGGGGCTCATGGCCTTCTTCATAAGGCTGTGGATCTTGGCACGGGCCTCGACGAAATCCTCAATCTTGGTTTCCTTGCCGGTCTTGGGATCAGTGGTGACGAGTTGGTATATGCAACATCCTAGGGCGATCATGTGCGGCCTATTAGGCAGTCCGGGGTTGCGCAACACTAGCTTTGTTCGACGTCTCGGTGAATAACGGTTCCCTGTGGTGGGGCTTCGGTGGGATCAGGAACGTACCGGATAACGGTGGACTTTATCCCATGTCCACGGTTCGAGGTAATCAAACGGTGTCTCCTTCCCCTGGCTGACGATCGTGAGACCATCCGAGGTGGCCTTGCAGTCGGCAATCCAGTTGTATGCTCGTGGTGCGTACTGTACCGCCGTATTCATCGCCCATTCTTTTTCCTCCGGTGTGAGGAGGCTGAATGCCCTTGCGCCGGATACAACTGCACCATGTCAGGTGTGCTGTTTCTCATAGTGACACGCGAGTATTGCTGTGTGACTCACAAGCTGTTCCGCCTGCAGCCACAGTCTTCTTCTTCCCATTCTCAAAGATGAGTGTCTGGTCGGGTAGATGACTGGGGGTCTCCCTGCAGCTGATGATTGTGACTTTTCCGGGGTTGTGCTCATAGAGGGGCGCATCGATGTGCCATCTGTAGAAGCGCGTTTGGCCTTGCTGCACCTCCTCCGGGGTCAAGGGATCGGCATGGAACTCCGCCTGGCTCTATGAACAAGCCAAGAGATTCAGTAATGGGTGCGACGGACAAGTGTAGATATTGACAAGGACTACATACCACATGACGCAGTCGAAGCTCCTTCATACCCCTGTACCCGTCGTGAACCCCATTACCAATGACGACTACGTCGGGGGCCTCAAGCAGACGAGCAGCCTTGTTCCTGCTCAGGATATTGGACTCCTCCTTGACAGCAGTTCTCCCCGCGCTATGGCTGTCTGTGGCGTCATTGTCGAAGATGCGACACAGCTTTGTTAGGATGGTGCCGTTGTCTACGCCGGCTTTGCGGATGACGAGAACACTGTGTTGGTATAGGCCGTCTCGTAGCGCTGAGCAGTCGTCAGCGGAGAGGTTTGAAAGGTCCACGCCGTTCAGTCTGACTTCGGCACCGAGGAGGGTGCCATTCCGCTCAGAGGAGGGGAACGAGACAACCTCGATGGAGGATGTAGAGTGAGGCATGCCTGTCGCGGCGGTTTGTTCTTTTACCTGCGGTACATGCATGGAGACTTTGTGTGTATTTCTTATTATTTTCAGGGCGTCGTACTTCGTCCTCAACACATCACCAATGACTATCGACATTTTCTGTCAAAGATAACGCCTCAGCCGATATGGCATATCCGCCGAGATAAGGTCGTACCATTAAACATGTATGTATTGACCATTAAGGAAAGGCCAAAAGATGATAGAGAGATGAGATACGCACTAGCAAGGCGACACTCTCAAGCAATCAGTTTCAGAGAGATATCTCTGAACTGACAGTCCTTGGTTGCCAATTATATGAAAGGAGTAAAAAAGTGGTCATACATTTATAAGTTCCTTTATCAAGTCTTGATCCATGTACCTAGCTCTACATATATAAGTACATCGCTGTGAACAGCACAGGCAACTCGTTCTCATGATAGTGACGAATGTCCTTTTTCCAGGGCTGCTAGAGGATTCCTTATTAGGAAAATAATTTACCCATTGTCTGTTCTGTGCTCTTGGCGTACGTATATATGGTCAAGATATTTGTAGGGGTGGAGGCTGGTTGCGGATAAGACGTGAAGAGCTGCTATTGTGTATCGACAATATTTTTTCTCCGTTCTTACTCTATTAGATGCCTAGAGATATTGTCTAGGATTTCATGATGCCATGTTAACTGGATTGAATTTGTTGTCAATCTCTACATATGCCTATGATAAGATCACATGTTTGCATGCCTCCGGTGGTGAGAGCCCCGCGCGGGGCTAAAACGTGGCTAGTGGCGGTTGCATCACTTGGAGCTAGAAATTTTGTTTTAGAGATGGCTGCTTATCCGCCCAAGACCATCGTCACCAACAACATCCCACCATCAACCACCAAGGAAGACAGGACGGACTCTTTCTCTTGTTTACCTCAGAGACCATCAAACGAAAGCAATATACTGCTTTCGACCGAACGCACATAGAAACACACGCGCACACATACACACACCATGGCGTCGTCAACGGCTGGCGCTACAGCGCCTCCCCTAGATCCATCGACAGCACCGCCAGCGATCGTGTGCATCGGCATGGCAGGCTCGGGCAAGACGACGTTCATGCGGCGCATCAACTCGTACCTCCACTCGCAGCAGAAGCCCCCCTACGTCATCAATCTGGACCCGGCGGTCCTCACGGTACCCTTCGACTCCAACATTGACATCCGCGACTCGGTCAACTACGAGGAGGTGATGAGGCAGTACAACCTAGGACCCAACGGCGGGATCCTGACGTCCCTGAACCTGTTCGCGACAAAGGTGGACCAGATCGTCGGGCTCTTGGAAAAGCGTGCGCGCCCCGATCCGGAGCAGCCGGACCGCCAGGTCATTGAGAATATCCTGGTGGACACGCCAGGCCAGATCGAGGTGTTTGTCTGGTCGGCGTCGGGCACGATCCTGCTCGAGTCCCTGGCGTCGAGCTTCCCCACGGTGATTGCGTACATCATCGACACGCCGCGCACGACATCGACGTCGACATTCATGTCCAACATGCTGTACGCCTGCTCGATCCTGTACAAGACGAAGCTTCCGATGATTCTCGTCTTCAACAAGACGGACGTGCAGGATGCCGAGTTCGCAAAGGAGTGGATGACGGACTTTGAGGCCTTCCAGGACGCCCTCCGCCGCGACGAGGAGGCCGACCAGACAGGCGAGGGCATGGGTTCCACAGGTCACGGCGGAAGCGGTTACATGGGTAGCCTTCTCAACTCGATGAGCCTGATGCTCGAGGAGTTCTACGCGCACCTCAGCGTCGTCGGCGTCAGCTCGCGCGTCGGCACGGGGATGGACGAGTTCTTTGCAGCCGTGGCCGAGAAGAAGAAGGAGTTCAACGAGGACTACCTGCCCGAGCTGGAGAGGCGACGCAACGAGAGGGATGCGGCGCGCAAGAAGTCACGCGACAAGGAGCTCGATAAGATGATGCAAGGCATGTCCGTCGGTGGCGCTCAAGCTGCCAACAGGAAGGACGGCGACGATGATGACGGGATTGACGTGGCTAGCGATGACTACGACTCGGAAGACGATGCTGCTGCCGACGGTGATGGCAACGGTCTGCAGTCGCGGTACCAGGATGCCATGGGCGACGACGGCGACAATGTCATGGCTGACGCTAGTTTCGCCAAGTACTTGCACAAGCAGAAATAAGAGGCGAGACGTACACTAGTAGCATATAAAGCATTACAGGCGTTATATTCGGGAGACATATGGGCGCAGAATAGCTTTGATTTTGGTAGAAAAGGGAAACAGAGAAAGAAGACAGAAAAAAAAAAAGGTAAAGTGGACTGCCATCTGTACGCTCCCGTCTTGATGGATTGAAATAAATGTCATGATTTCATACTCATCTCCATTCCTCTGTGCTCAAGTAATAAGTCTCCAGTCTGTATTATACGTCTGCGATACTTGCTTCATGTTTCATCCCCAGCGTCATGATGATTCCTCTTTGTATCTGATTTTTTTTCCTCCCCCCTCGTCCATGAACGCCCAAGAGAGAGAGAGGGTGCGCGTGGGAAATCACCTGGCCTCAAATTGAACCATGCTATATTGATATCTGTCAGCTCTACGACTTTTTCCCCCGCTGGTATGACCAACGGAACAGAACATACCGCTTCGTCCTCTCCTTGTAGAGCACACGACCAGCGCAGTGGGGGCAGGCCACGAGAGCATCCTTGCCCAGAGAAACCTGACCGCCGCAGTCACCGCACAGGTACGTCATAATGGCACGGCTCTCGAGGTTGGTGTGCGTGGAGCCGCGGGCGACGCTGGCGGCCGTGCCGGTCGTAGGGACCTGATATCCTTCGCGAGACATGATGATGATCTCTCTCGTATCTGAAGTTCCTCAGTTCCGTATTCCGTGACGTGCGGTCTCGGTGTATCGATGCACTGGCGATGTGGACGTGGGATTTGTAATGTTTCCTTGGATACAGGTTGGAGTCTTGGTCATGGCGATCAAACGAGGCGGTTCCTTTTTTTTCTATCACGGCAGAATTCTACGTCAGGGAAAGGCGGTGAATGATATGACATCTGTCTAACCTACCCTGTACTTGTCGCTTTGTGGCGCCCAGGATTGTATGACTAAGCAGACAGAGGCTGCTGCGACTCTCGCATCGGTAATCTGTAGATAGCCTCATAGATAAATTTCCTTCCTTTTCGAGGATCCAGCAACCAGACATACACACGCATCGACCTAGGACGTACTAGTAGGTAGAGACCACTATATTCATGTCTACGGGTCATCGTGTGCTGTGGTCAGCAGGAAGCACATCGAAGGTTAAGCAGCTATTCAGATCATATTTCGCCTGGGAAGAGATTGATGATTCTTTCTACTATGTGATTGGTTACTTCACCTTTGAATATGCTAGCGAAGGTCATATGCTGGCAAGGCATAGAATGACGTCATGTTTCGAGCTGGCTCCAACTCGGTGTGTAAGAACCCGCTTGCTTCAGCGTGGGACTGATGATACAGATCTGTACCTTGGTATACGTACAACCACAGCCCTTTTTAAATCGGCGATACTTTCCAAATCCCATATGCTGTGATCCCATGCGGCGATCCCTTGAGGCGATCCCTAGAAGCATAATTTGCATACAACACGTGTATCCACCATGCAGCAACCCCCTCGCAGCGGCTAACATAACGTATCCGTAGCCAGTCGTCTGGTTACAAGGCGGGTGCAAGCGGGGAACAAGCGGACCGCTACGGTCTAATACCTGCATACATGTCCCTAGATGGGCGCCATGCCAGGACAATGCGCGATACCCCGTTCCTTAGGTAGAGGAGGAGAATCTCCGAAGACTAGTGATTTGTTTTCTCTCGTGGTGGGTGTAAGCTGGGGCGAGTGTAAGCTGTACAGCGCATTACATGACTCCTTCCATGTGAAATCGTCGGCCGACGGCATGTGTCCGATGAGGCCGGACCGCCACATCTGATGGGGATTTCTCATCAGCCACCGCTTATTCATTTTTTCTACAGCTAATCTGTATATGTATTGTGGAGAAGAGTGAGAAGAGAAACAGGGAAAGAAAAAGGCAGAGAAAGGGGGTTGAAAGATATGAATATGAGTTCTGTGTCCCAAGTTTGTCTGATGTTACCCCGCAGTCTGCCCGAAACTCGCAGTTTCTATGCGACATGCAACATGGTAGATCAGGCGTGTGTACGTATCAAATAGTGACTAATTCATCCTACGAGTGCTATATTCCATACAAGTATGGTTATCCTAATTCCTCCCAAGATTTTCCGGGGGGGGTTTAATAAAACAAATTTCAAGCGGGTGACGCGGGTCGAGGGATGAAAGGTGATATTAGTAATAACGAGCAGATGGCGTCTTCAGATCCCATCAGAGAAGGAGGAAGATCTAAGAGGTGGGAATTCCTACTAGTAGCTAACTGTCGGTTGGGATGGCAATCTTGCCAAGCTTATCCAAGTCGACCGTAGTCATAGGCATAGGTAGTCTCGCTTGAGGATTCTTGTGAAGAGATATCTGGTGTCCGCCATCCTTCTCCACCAGGGCCTTGCTAGACTCGCGGACTCTATAGTTCCAATCTGCAAAGTACTATCAGTGCCTTTCACGAACTTTAGGCGATGAATGTGTTACCAGGCGACATCGAGGGTGAGCTTAGCTACTTCAGGAAGGTATTAGGGGATAGGTTGGGTAACGAGGGCTAAAAGTCATTGCCGGATGGACAAATGAGTAAATGTGAAGTTTCATTTGATGAAGAGAAGAACTGCCTCTTTGGGGTTGTTCTGCCCCTCGTCGGCACTGGACAAATATTTATCCGTCAGGCTTTTTCTCGTAGTCACGTGCCAGTACACAGAAAGGGACGAGATATCATATATTATAGTATCACACAGAAAGGGGCAAGATATCATAGAGTACAGTATCTCACTCCTATATGGTAGTACTCTATAGTATTAGACTATACACTATACACGTGCTCGTGAATGGTTACGGTTACTTCATTGAAGGATCTCGGTGACGGAAGAGAAGGAGGGGGGGGGGGGGGGGGGTGAAAACTAGATGTTCCACTGGATTGGAATTGTTTCTCCTGTTAAGCCTCTTATGGAGTATTACTCGTATCATTGAGAGTTTTCTATTCCGTCGTCTCCTCTACAGAAGGAGAGTTGCAGCATGCAACTACTTGTTCACTTCTTCACAACTTTCCGAGCGCGAATAGGACTGATCACCGGCAGGGTTTCTACCTATTGAAAGTAGAATAGCCATCAAAAAGAATGAAAGTAGGAAAACATATATGAACAGTAATAGTAATAGTAGGTAACTCAAGAGTAATCGTCGTCAATACTTACCCTGACTACGAACTCCGTACTTACTATTCAATATCTGTCTGCCCCTCCTTCTCCTATCCCGCCGCCCAGAAGCGCTGCAGAATGTCGCTTACGGCGATACAAGGCTCAAACGCCGGCCCTTGATCGTCCGGCCGCACCCACACCGTTTCGGTGACCACGCCCCCCTGATGAAACGTGGGATTGTTGTGTCATTTCTCTCTCTCCCTCTCTCTCCCTCTCTCTGTCTTGTCTCTCCGACTCTTCTCTCTTACGTAGAACAGTGGAATTGTTACTATACGGGTACGGAGTGTAATCATTGAGCTACACGACTACTAAGAGGACAGAGACAAAGCTACTTGCATGCACACACCCCCCCGGGATATGTGTCGTTTCGGGCACCGGCATTCATGTCTGTGCAAAAACCACACGGACAATTTTTCGTACGTGTTTATTTTTTTCTTCTTCTCCTCTCTAGCGACTCCCTTGCACCTGACGAGAACCAGTCAGGACCAAGGGATGATGCGATGATCAGAACAGCAGTAGTCCAAGGAAGAGGAGGAGAAAAGACGAATGAGAGTGGGATGCGCCCGTCTCTGTAACGTGGCCGTGATATGGAGACAATATACATACATATATATATATATATATACCTAAGTGCTTCCCTCCTAGAAAAAAATACGAGAAGAAGAAAAAAAAAAGACAGAGGTTGTCTTGACTTGTCCACAACGGCGTACATGCGTGTGTGAGAGAGTGTGTATACCATATCACCATCTGCAATATTATATCGCATTCGTGCATTCATCGCTGAGCAAAGCCTGCTTCCTCTTCCTTACGCATGTGCGTGCGAACCTCGGTCGTCCGACACACGGTCATACAGCCACACAGTCACACACACACACCTCTTCGGCCACCAACCCCGGTTTCCAGATCCATATCCCGGAGAAGGGAACTCAAAGGGGTAATAGGAGCACCTTTTGTTTAATTGAATCGCACAATACCCTACTCGTCAAAGCTCGGCACACATCATATTTTACCTTGTATCCTTTTTTTAATATACCATGTCTACCCGACCTCCGCCGACGTTACTTCCCCCGGACGCGGGTCAACACGACAAGCGTATGTTTTCCACTCACCTTTCTTTGTCTTCTTCTCCTTCTCCTTCTTCTTCTTCTTTTCCCTCCCCTCGCTCTGCCCCCTTTCTTCTTCTTTTCTCCCATGAACCGTTGAGAAGAGCGTCCTGACATCCAAGGACAGCTCGCAAATCAGCAAGAAGATACAACACCAGATCCTCGTCCCGTAGACGGACAGCCCGTCCCGATCCCACGTCTCGTCCATCACCAGGTAGCACCGGCAGGCCCGCCACCAAAACAAGGCCACTCCTGCCTCCCATCGCCACCATGGCCGGTCAGGGCCAGCAGATCTCGACCCCCCCCCCCTCCAGCAACAGCGTCACAGACGAAGGCAGCGTGTCCTCGCCTGGATCCACCGCCGCTGGGGGTGGTGGTGGGTCTACTACCAGCGCCACGAGCAACGGCACCACCACCACCACCACCTCATCCTCCTCCTCCAACTTTCCTCTTTCGCGAAACGATGCCTGTCATTTTGCTTCCTCTCATGAGCTCCAGCTAGTCGATAACCTGGTGACTCTCCTCACCAAGAATCGTGGTCGCGCTCCATCCAGTGCCAATGGCACCAGCAATAACAGCAACAGCAGCAACAGCAATAGATCTTGAGTTTGGAAGGGGAGAATTCTATTCGCTTTGCTTCTCTGCTTCAACTCTGCCATGATATTCTACGATGAAAATGATGATACACAACAAAAGTACTGGGAACAATGGCTCAACATTCATGATGCCGGGGGCCGGGGGGGTGGCGGGGAGGGGGGAAGACATATATTGGTCTGGTCTGCGCATGAGCGTTGCTTTAGGGATATCTTTATCTTATAGAGTAGGAAAATCATTTTGGTTCATTACATTATTATTTTGTGGGACAATCGAAACGGAACTTTCCTTCCAACACAGTGCTCAACGTCATAGGAACAGGTTCAGGAAACTGAACAAGACTTTATCATGTGGAGGTGGACACACCACCAATCCACCGAGGACCTCATGCCATTTCTCCTCCCCTCCGTAATATTGATTACTCCGTACTTATACATCAGGAGACTACTTGAAGCGGGAAATAGATAGAAGAAAAACATGAACCGGTCCTCACCCCGTTGGCCACTTCTCCCCCGCGCTAATTTGTGTAACTTGCACTTGACATGCGGCTCATGCAGCCAGCTTCGACCAAGCGTGCGGCGGATCGGCCATAAAACCAGGCCTGTCCGATTTCCTGGGTCCAGGGGGGGGTGTGTGGCAAGGGTCCCCTTCTCTCAGAGGCCCTTTCTTAAACCTCGGCACAAATCAGCGTTGAGGGAGTGAATACCCCTCGGGTAATGAATAGGTCGGTCCTATGTTCTTTTCTACGGAGAATGCTCTTTTTCTTCTCTTTTTTTTTTTCTGTCGCTATTCCCTCCTCGGTGAATGCATGGTCTTCGGTGGATGTGGATGTGATGGCGATGCGATGTCGTACGTTATATAGAGTACATATGAGCAAGACAAGATAAGAGTCAAGATCTTGAAACACTGTAACATTGACCTGAACTGGTGGCATCCCGGGGGGAGGGAGGGGAACAGGATCTGCGGTTGTGTGGGGTTCAAGCGGAGGGAGCAGAATCCATGGCTCAAGTGCATTCATCTCTATTTCGTAAATTTTCTTTTTTTTCTCTTCTGCCCAAGACTGACTACCATTTTCACCCCGAATCAGGCTGCGACACTCTCTCGGCATACTCCTTCATCCTCGCATTCCTGTCCCGGATGTAGCCGGCCAGGTTATCCGACACCTCAGCGCCCGGGGTGAGTCTGCTATCGACGGGCGAGCCCAGCTGCTCCCACACGGGGACGACGCCGGCCCAAGCCTTGGGCTCCACGTCCGGGCCGTCGGCCTCCTCGTTCCTGGGCTGTATCCCCGGCGGTCCCGTCCTAGACTTGACCGACATGCTGTCTATGCGCACGCGCACCACGTACACGAGGCTCACCTGGAAGGAGGCCACCGGGTTGACCTCCTCCCAGCGGTTGGCGACGATGTGGTTGGTCACGTCGCGCATCACCCGGCGCTTGACGGCCTTGTCTAGGACGGCCGAGCAGGTTCCGTGGATGGTGGCGGAGCGGTAGTTGAGTGAGTGACCGTTCGGTGCAGACGATAGGACCAGGCCGTCCACTTTTGAGGTTGAGAGCGTCCGATAGCGTTAGCAAGACACCCATTTTCCCGTCTTGGGTAGCCTGGTTGAGGGGCGGGCAGGCATGCATCGGCTTACCTTTTGTGGCGGTTATGCACACCCTGACAGGATCACTTGGCTGCCGGTCCTCTCGACTTGATTCCCGTACTAGCTCGACAATCCGAGTTCTCGGATGACCGTGGAGATGGATGACGCATTCCCCTGACCCTCCATCCTCCTCGCTCACCAGGGCAATCATGGGCATGCATGCTGGCAGACCATTGTCCACGTACGATACGTGGGCGATGAAGCTGTCGTCGAAGACGGCCTTGACTGACTCAATGTCGTACGTACCCTGATTGATATTCCTCCTGAGGTAAGCCGGTTCCATCATGTAGTCTGGTCTCATGCAATGTAAATCTTTCTCTCTCTCTCTCTCTCTCTCTCTCTCTCTCTCTCTCTCTGTGTGTGTGTGTGTGTGTGCGTGTATGTGTGCGTGCGTGTCTCACTCTCTTATGGCGTATATGTCCACTACTACCAGGCATGGAAAAATTAGAGTCGTAAAGTAAAAGCTCAAGGCCCAACTTGACAACTTGAATGCCCGAGAGAAACGTCCAGTCGTAACTTGGCACGATAAAGCGGGGGAAGTGGAGAGGCGCCGCCTTTTCGTCCACACCGCGCTCGTCTATTCATCATCAACCATAAGCCGCTGCCAACTGGGCCCAACGTGTGAAGGCGTCTTAGTTTTGTCGTCCAAATCGACATTTCCTCGCCTTATTCTCCTCATCGGGTTGAGAAACTCGAAAATGTAGACGCATACACTGAGGAGAACACATGAGATGTAATACTTCGGGTTATAAGGAAAACACTCTAGCATCACAATGCAACCCTTCCGACCTGCTTTTTTCTCTTTTGTGCATGACATCCCTGGTCTCATCATGATAATTCATCCTAGCCTTGAGAAATGCCCGTACTGACCTTTGATCGATGTCCTCAATCTCGACTACCATCAGATTCGGCCCTGACACGTCATGTCGCAGATGATTGCAAAGACATACATGTCGATGAAAGCGCATATCCTCTGTACTCTTAATAATAACCTAGGATCTAATAACCCTTGTTGGTGTTAAACCCGAATATGGTGGGTCCCTTCCATCCCCAGAACCTCGGGAAGAACGACCCCAACCTTCCAGTCTCATCAATTTGATCCTTTGTCATCACCCACCGCTTTTCCATGTATGAATACGAGAACGCGTCCATCACCGTCTCCCCAAAAGAAGAAGAAAAGCAGCAATGAGCTACCCAGAACCCACATGTCCGTTCTGCTTGATAGCTGCATCCCATGCGCCCTTCACGCCCGGCTGCCCACCGTCCAACATACCACCTCCCACGACGACGACGCCGTCCTCCTTCGTCGTTCTGTCCACCCCGTCGCTCATTTCCTTCCTGGACATCATGCCCCTGAGTAGAGGACACCTCCTTCTCTGCCCGCGCGCCCACCGCACCCGCCTGACCGACACCACGCCCGCCGAGTCGCGCAGGCTGGGCGCGGCCGCGCGCCTGCTATCCGCCGCGCTGAAGCGTGCAACCGGCGTGGCCGACTGGAACGTGCTGCAGAACAACGGCGCCGCCGCAGCCCAGGTCGTGCCCCATGTCCACTACCATCTCATCCCTAGGCCGGATATACGTGCCCGTGGCAGGATGAGCGAGAGCTTCACCATGTTTGGGAGGGGTACCCGCCAGGAGCTGGATGATGATGAGGCCGAGGTCCTGGCTGCCAGCATACGACGTCATGTTGCTGCTATCGTGGCCGAGGAGGGAGCCGAGTTGGTTGACGACCTCGAAATGGGGCCGTCACCAACTGATGAGAAGTTGTGATGCTGGGAAGGACGAGGGGTAGGTGTCACCCTGGCGTTCTAAGCGTTGCTACTTGTCAAATGATACCACATACACAAGGATTGCCTTTATATATGGATATATCAAGGGTTGCCCCCTAGGCTCGATCGGCTTTTTTTTTCTTCATTTTTTTTATTTCTATTTCTATTTTTTTTTTCACTTCTATTAAAAACGACAGGGTGACTCTACAGTCCTAATTTACTCGTCGTCACCGAAAAATACCTGCACCGGAAGCCATTTGTCACCGCACACCTTGAAGCGCTCGGGGATGGAATCGATCTGAGCGACCTCGTCATCCGTCAAGTCCCATCCGTCGAGGGCAAAGTTAGCCTCGATGCGCGACGGCGTCACACTCTTGGGGATGACACTCCAGCCCTTCTTGAGACCCCAGATGAGGAGGACCTGCTGGGGTGTCTTGCCCTTGGCCTCAGCAATCTTGAGGAGCTTTTCATTCTTATAGAGAGGGGAGTCGGTGGATCCCAGGCACGAGTATCCCGTCGCGTGGATGCCCTTCTCCTTGAGGTGGGCGACTAGCTTGGGAGAGGGGTTGCAGGGGTGGAGCTCAATCTGGTTGACGGCGGGGGTGATCTGTTTTTTTTTCCGTCTTCATGTCAGTCTTCTGTGCAGGTATGTATGATACGGGAGGCGGTGGAGAGGTGGTAGGTGGCATACCTTGGTGTCAGGGCTGGCCAGCAGCTTATCAATGTTGCCAATGCTAAAGTTGGAGACACCAATGTTGCGCACTTTGCCGGTGCCGACGAGCTTCTGCATCTCGCGCCAGGTGTCGCGGAAGTCCCAGTCGGGGTAGTGCTTCTTGAGGTCGGTGGGGTCAGTCGAGCTAGGCCAGTGCATGAGGTATAGGTCGACGTAGTCGGTCTGGAGGTCCTTCAGGCTGGAGGCGATACCCTCCTCGACGCGCTTGTGCCACGGGTTGTCGAGCTTGGTGGTGAGCCAGATCTCGGAGCGGGGTACGCCCGACTGCTTGATGCCGTCGCCCACGGCCTTCTCGTTGCCATAGGCCAAGGCCGTGTCGATGTGACGGTAACCGGCGAGGAGGGCGGCCTTGACGGCGGCCGTGACCTCTTCGGGCTTAGACTGCCATGTTCCCAGACCGACGGCGGGGATCTTGTCGCCCGTGTTGAGGGTGTACTTGAGGCTGGTGATGCGATGGGGTAAGTTAGTATGTGTGGTGTGGTGTGGTGTGGTGTGGTGTGATGTTTTGATATGGGCGGGACGCTGTTGTTACTGCCGCTACTACTCACCTGGTGTAGTTGGTCATTGTAAAGTTCGTCTCGGTTCTTCGAGAAAGGCTGTTTCTATGGATGGTCTCTGTATATGAGAGGAAGAAGAGGAAGAAGAGTGTTGCTGAGAAGAAAAGAGAAGTGCGAGGATAGTTTTTCTCCCAATCTCGACAATTGCCCCTCGTCTTATAGCTGTGACGCGACTGAGGGAAGGTCCAACCTGGTTCCTTCCCCACGTATCTCGTCCACCAATTGGCAATTTCCGTGGGACGAGCAAAGCGGGCAGGGCGGGGCTTTTTAGGCTAATTACCTCTACACGACGAAAAGAGAGGGGACGAGAAGGGAGGGGAGGTTTTCTGTGGATAATCCCACCTGCCATTCTACCTGTACAAGTACTAGACGACATGTAGTCTTAGATGGTCGTACGAGTATTAGTTGGTACCGGTCATGTTTACAACGATTGGAGAATCCTGAGAGATGCATAGAGAATCGATTGCTTACATCCTGACTTCTTACTCGTAGGCTTTGTTGAGCCGCATGAGGATGTTTACACTCGTGTTCTTGTTCTGGCAATGACCGGCAGGATGTGCGAGTCTTGATATAGAGAGTGCTACTGGTGCCTACCAAGTAGTAGGTATTACAGGTTACAAGGCATTGGGAGAAGCAAAGATGTGCTCCGTTGGATATTAGATATGTGTACAGAAACTCTATATATACAGCATACCACCGATGTTCCGAGAACCCTCCTGCAAGAATCATCTGCAGCATGGGCAAGCATGTGCTCGCACATACATAGAGTACTCGTATGACATGCTACGGGTGGATACGCCCCAATTAATGAGGGGGGGGGTCCAAGTTCTGGTATGACGACGAGCTAGCAGTTACCGATCATTCTGGAATTGTCATACTTACCAAAACAGCAAGATGACGGGGGAAAAAAGAAGGAGGAAGAAGAAAAAGACGCAGCTTGGGTAAAAGCATGTGAAGCATGTATGCCCGAGGCCAACCGTCATCGAGGGGAAGCATGCAATACCGGGTGGGAGGGCTTTGCAGCTCTTCCCTCCTGCACGCGCACATATCTTGACACATTGGCAGATATCACATTTCCTTTCGATTCATTCATCTACTCAGTCCATGATATATCCATGAAAGACAGACCAGCATACAAGTCACATTGCCGAAAGAACCCGCAGCCGTGACAAACAAAGTCGTCGACCTAGACCTCGGCGGTAGCAGGCTCCCTTTCAGTCTCACCATCAGCCTCAGCTTCGGCAGGCTTCTCAGCAGCAGGAGCCTTGACGTCCTTGTCCTTGACGTCCTTGGTCTCTTCGGCGGAAGCATCCTCGTCCTTGTCACCATCGGCCTCAGCGTCCTTCTCGGCCGTGGCATCGCCGTTAGTGGCATCCTCGGGCGCATCGGCGGTTTTGCGCTTCTTGGCGGGAGGTGCGTCTTCTGATTAGACACGGCAAGAGTCAGAGAGATGGTTTCAGGACGTTCGATGCATGTGTGCTGGGCGGGAAGAGAGAGAATAAACTTACCCTTGGCTCCGTTGGCGCCATCCTTCTTGCCATCGGCGCCCTCTTCCTCGTCCTCATCGTCTTCATCGTCATCTTGCGCCTCTGCGTCTTCCTCTGCGTCTTCCTCGTCTTCCTCGGAGACTTCCTCCTCATCTCCGGTTGAGACGTACCTGAAATTGAATGATGGTCAGCCACATGCTGTACAGTTGCGCAATTGACTTTTCGGTTGCGCGTCGCAAAGAAACGAGGAGGCGCATTGCGGCGCAAGACTCGGCAACTCCCCAGTCGAAGGGGGAAACATGACGCAACTTTGAATATCAAAAACTTACTCCTCTTCCTCTTCGGCGTCAGAATCCTCAGGAAGGGAAACGAGCTCCTCCTCTTCCTCCTCTTCCTCCTCTTGCTTTCTCTTGCGGGTAACCATGGTGTCGTGTGTGTGTGTGTGTGGTCGCAATTGACGAGATTCAACCTCGGATAATAAAAAACGAGGACGGAGATTGGGTAAGAAGGGAAAAGGGACCCCAACTTCTGATGACAATGAAAAGGAATGGGCGTGTGTGTGTGGGAAGAGAGAAAAAAGGGCCTAATACCAGGTGAAAAAGAAAGAGGGAAACGGGAGAGGGAGGGAGGAAGAGAGGGGAGGGGAGCTGCGAGCTACGGAGTGGTTGGAGGGTCGGAGCTAGAGCTACTATTACTACGAGGCTGCAAACAAGTTGGTACATGATGTTTCATTGTTGACTGACGTAATAACCATGTACCTTTTTTTCCTCTTGTTCTACGATGTGGCGCGACCAGAAAACATACAATGAAGCGTGCCACAGGCCAAGAGATGGGGGAAGGGGGGGGGGGGGAAGGAGGCAGTGGCAGTGAAAGGGAGCGGGGAGGAGAAGAGGAGTGCGAAGACGACGGGAAAGAGAGAAGCTTCAATCCCAACAACGCGGGCGTCATGCCCGTACAAAGTACCTGCAGCTGACAGGGTACATGGCACGATGGAGCAAGTGTCTGCGTGAAAGGTTGTATTGTCCTAGGAGGGTGTACTGACTCGCTCTCAAGCTCAAGCGGGATGTTGGTCGAACCTGCGGAAAGCAAGCAAGATGGGACAGGGAGGGGAGTCAAGCTATCAGACACGCCATCTCACGGCTGACCAATCATCAGCACCGGTCACAGGGAGTCAATATATCATGGACCCAGAGCCTAGAAAGGTTTCCAGCACGGGATGCGGAGTACGTAGACCGGAGATCGAATGAGGGCACTGTGCTGCGGACCGTCTGTCGTCATCGGAGCTGAGTCACGTGATAGAATCAGGATGGAGAAAAGAGGTATGCCGGGCCGTCCGTCTTATATATGTACGTTACCCTGAGGGGATAGGAAAAGGATCAGTGAGTTATATCACCAGTGGGTCTTGTAGCAGCTTCTATCCATTCTGTATTTTGTTGGGGACTGTAGACGTCTGTGATGGTAGGGAGAATGAACCAACTGGTCTGGCTGCCATCAAGCTGACCGTGGCCACGACGCCTTACTTACCCTATAGATGATCGGCTTCGACTCGTGCCCAAGCAGCTTAAACGCAAGGGAGAAAGAGCCGCCTTTATAACCATAATGTCGTGCAGAATGCATTATTCCACCTCGCACTACACGAGGAGTGCATGCTCGGATTGTGAGTTGTACCAAGGCTTCCTCGGAAGAGGCCCAAGCACAGGAACGTTCTGTCCTGACATGGACCATCAGTCAGAAGCTGACGTGAGACAGGACGGGTGGTTTAGCACGGGATGAAGGGACACATGTTGAGTTGTTCTATTCTTGACTCTTATTTTTGTAGACATTCATTAGAGCATATTCCCGCCGTAGTATCTGATCATTAATGTGGACACAAAGGGGGATTGAAAGAGGAGAATTTGGCCGGGGGGGGGGGGGGGGGGGGGGGGGGGGGGGGGGGGGGGGGGGGGGGGGGGGGTTGGTTAATTAATAGGGGAAAGCAATTGTTGTTATCCATCCAGCAAAAAATAGTGTAAGAGAGAAATCTAGAGAAAAAGGGATGAGAAAAAAGAGAGAGCCATCTCCGGTACAGGGAATCGAACCCTGGGCTCCGCGGAATGTTTTCCCTCAGATTGTGAGAGCGCGAAATGTTAGCCACTACACCATACCGGATGTGAGAAGGCTGTGATTGGCCAATTGTTGGAAGAGGGGCTGGTGAGGAGCATTATATCCCAGGCGCACGCCTATTCTGTACTGTAGATGGGGGACTATGGAGGGACAATGAAGAGGACAATAGATATTGAAACTGGAGGATTGAGAACCGAGAGGGTTCATTGCGCGGTCTATTAACGCAGACACACACAAACATGCGCACACAAACACATACACACACCTCTGCATAAGGCTGGCTGGCTGGCTCTAGGTCTAGCTGCAGCCTGCATGTGCTTGATGCAAGGTAGCTGCAGATGGGAGGGCTGATTAGACCGAGAGCAACACAGGCTGGCTGGGTATCGGCAATAAGCGAGAGGCCATATTAGCAGCCCGTAGCTTGTAGGTCTAGGAGAAGGAAGGTGCATGTTGCATGTAAGAGGCATCTGGACTAAGTAGACTCTAGTTCGATATCACGAGGGCAGATTATAGGATGGTTGGTATTGCATACTCACAAGTACGAGTATTTTATCAAGATATTCAGGACTCCATTTCAACTGACAACTTCACATCAGTGCAACCTTTTAGCCGTACTCCGCACCATCGGCGACAGCATTGGACTCATCTTCAATTCATTCCACCTTCCTTCCATGAGCCACCCCACCCCTATACTACAGGCTACAGGCTAAAACCGGCGTGGAGTCTTGGCTACCATCCCTACAAGGTTCCTTGTGAGACGTCTGACATTTCGGGGGGACCGACCGGGATGACCTTCCTGAGCATCTTTTCACATCGCATGCTCTTGTCGGTGGCGGCCCAGCGCACCGAGACATTGGACTTATTACAGAGGGGAGGCCAGCTGATTACTCGTACGCTGTGAACAATGACAAGGGCCAGGTCAGCTACGTCACAAGGCGTCTCGGGTAGGGAGAGATTATCTTCTCCCCCATTGGTCTACTATCCACCCCCTTTTGTTGTCAACTCTTTATGCTCGTATCTGTCTGCGGAGAGTAGCAAGGGGTGAATATAAACAAAAGCAAAGAAATGGTGAGAATTTTTTTTTCCTCTTTCAAATTTCATTTCCACGGTAATAAACGAAAGTTATAAGCTTGTTGCTTATTCCGCAGAGATTCTGAAATGTTTGAGGCACACAAAGGGGTTGTAAAGTGAGGAAAAGTGATGATGATATTAATAGCTATTTCACTTACAAAGGTAGAAAGCCAGATGTGTATTATTATGTGTGTGCAACGGTCTGCGTGTGTTATGTGACCTGCTAGGTAGGTCAAACATAAAAGAGAAGGCTGATCACTTGCTTGAGCAATTTCAACGGCCGCGCGTCTGACGAAAGAGCAACTCTATGGAGTATCGATACACGAGTAGACAAGAGAGGAAGAAGCTAGGTTTCCACCCAAGAAAAAGAACAAAAAGAACAGCTAGAAGAAGAGGGGACGGAGGAGAAAGAAGAGAAAAAGAAAGAGAAAGAGAAAGAAAGACGCTCCTTACGAATGATTACCATGGTGAAAAAGCCCCGCGGAAATTGAGCAGACAGGGTTGTTACCTTAGCAGTTGACGACGGGCCGGATGGAGTGCCTTGCCATGCCATGCGTGCGTACCCTTTACAGGGGGATGGGAGATGATGGAGCCACAGATTCGGAAGGGCCTTGTTTTTACCTTTCTTGGATCTCTCCTTGAATATTTCTCAAGTCCTTTTTCATATACGAGTATACATGTATCGTAAAGGTGGAATTGGGATCTTTTGAAAATGCAATGCAAGAGCAGCATAGAATATAAAAGAGAGGGGAGAAGACCATGCAAGGAGAAGGAGAGGATATGCATCCCCCGTGCAACCCGTCTTGGTCTGTCTCTGAGATGATATCCGCCGTCTCACATGGTGGCAAGACGTGTGATTGATACGATAATGTCTGCTCGGGAGGAGACAAAACGACAAGAGGAAGAAGAAGCAGAAGAAGAAACGAGAATGATTCTATCTGTACATTCGTTTTTTTGGGGAAATTCTCAATTCTAGGAGGGGGGGAAGAGGGGTCAAAGAGGTCAAAGGGTTATTATGTGCTGTACATGTACTCCACCTTTGCCCACCTCGTATGCTTCATATGTATTCACGAGCGGGAAAAGGAAGATAGGATGAGTGCATATACGACGTGGACAGCTGGAATACGGTTGTATCACGGATCATGGACCATGGGATGATGGTAATACTCATTCCCTATCACTCAGACCTAATTCATCCCATGTTGGCGAGTTACGGACAAATGCTTCGACGTGATACATACGGCGTACATGTATCAGTGTCCAGCGCGGAGGCGTGGTCAGTGACGTTTTGTGGAATGAGCTGGTGACGGCTGAAACGGCGGAGGAAAGGCAGTGGCATAGAAGTGTCTCGGTATGACGCGAGAGTTGCGAAAGTATGTCATCACTATTCAAGTGGTCGTTGGATGAGGTATGTGAAGGGGATTGTGCGGTGAGTAATACCGGTGATGTTAGTAGTACGGAGTAGGAGCAGTATTGCTACTACATATACCGAGTATGGAGTACGGTACGGCATACAGATTGCAGACTTGGCAGATGTGATGATGACAGTCGAAGGAGCTGTACGGACATGGGCTATTTGATTGGTATGCGCATATTGTACAGATTACTCATACAATGGAATGATTCATGAATAGCCAATATCGTGCAGCTCTCCACACAACTCCGTATTACCCGCACATCTGACCTTTATTAGTAATGATTCTATATGTAATACATGCTCGTATATACAGATGCAATGGAAATCTCAGTTATGCGGTATTAATGGATAGTCTGATAAATCCTAATTCTCAACCCTCACTGCCCAATCCTCCCTCGCTCTTTCCTTTTTTTCTTTCTTGTATGGGCCTTTGGGCTGAAGGAGGGCCTTGAGTCGCTCTTTCCCGACTGGAAGAGATATACCTGTCTGTACATACTCGTACATGGGAGGAGAGAGCAATGGCAAAGTATAAAACACCAAAATTCTTTGGCAAAATTCTGGTTATAAGTTCGGCCCCTGCTCATCCAGCCATACCGTAATAATGGATCTATCAATATACTTCTCATGTACTTGCAGATGCTGCTACTACATCATAGTAATCCGTACCTATTATTACTTTGTAAAAATACTCATTCATGTAGGGTTGCAGTACCTTGCATGTACTCGTACTCCGAGTCTGACTATCATGGGTCATAATACCTGTACCCGTACGCTGCTCCCCTGCCTGTCCCGTGCGTTTGGTTACCGGCAGCCACGGGTACGGTCCCTCGTCCCCCGTTGATTTGATCGATTCCGCAACTTCTTTACATGGTATGATGTACTATATAATGCATTTTATTGTGACCCGTACTGGTAGAGTCTCTTGACTCTTTGGGAGCGCCTCCCCCCAGTGCTCTGTACGTACGAGTAGCGGTACTAACAGGTATTATTACTATATACAGGTACTCCTGGACGCCCCTCAACCCCCGTCATTCTTGTGCCTGGTGCCTGAACTTGCCCAATGCCTATTGCCCGCCAAGTGATACCTTTTGCAATGTATCATGTCACTCCGTAGTTTTGCACTGAAGCTAATCACAATAGTCGCCATATGTACTCGTGCTCAGCAGTGTATTTTCTTTTTTCTTTCTTTTTTTCTTTCTTTTTTTCTCTCTCTCTTCTTTGGACTTCGAGTCTGTGACAGGCGCTGACACTTGCAAAGGCCCAACCAAAGGCTCCAAGGCCCATTTCGGTTGCGACACACGCTCTTGTCACGTTCTCAACGCTTCAGCGCCCCACGAAATAATATACCGACATACCTCGGAAGGAGTAGTCTGACTTTGGTCCTCTTTCATTTCCAACGCTGGTTTCTTTTCCACGCATCACAGCAATATACGTTCATTTTCTCTGTCTCTATCTCTGTTTCCTATTTACTCCTTCATTTCCATCCTCTCTGTGGACGAACGCACACACACATTCTTTCTCTCGCTTTGCAGCAAATCAACTCGATATCCTCTCCCAGACGACGACTTTACGACTCTACGAAAAAAAAAAAGGAAGAAAAATCACCTCCGCCGTCTCGCCCCCTTTCCCCCCTCACTTCATAGGAGGCCGACGCTGTCAACGTCGATCCAAACAATAAATACCCGAACTCGACCTATGCAAACATTGAGAGGGCAAACCTGCATCTTCCCGACACCCAAGCTCCTCCTTTCGGCACATACTCAGACTAGCTCCGAAGCCTTTTTGTGTCACCTTTCCCGCTCCCTTGAACGGCTGTGCACATGATCATCAAGGGCCACCCGCCCAACGACGACTCAGGCCCGACAAACTTGCTAGACAAAAACAAGACGCTCCCTTGACAGCTGGGAATCCAATTTATCAAGGAAAAAAAAACCCCCCGTCCTTCCTTCAAATACCGAAACACTTCAGAACATTTGGCAAGCACCCGCCAACACTCTCATCCATATCGACTGTCTCTTCCGTTTGTGCCCCAGGGAGATGGAACACGGCTTCGACATCCGGACTCGACCTCTCTATATTCGACAAACTGCGCGCCTTGATTCTGTCCTAGCCCGAATTTGATAGAAACAACATCCACCGGGCCCAGCACGTCGACGCTGGGCTCGTGGAATCAATCTGGAATGATGCCTATAGCCGTTCCCAACGACTGGGCTGTCGACGAGAGCAAAAGTCGGAGCCCCATGGCCTCGCCGAGTCTTCGTCAGCCCGACGATGGCTCCTTCTATGAACCCTATCAGCCTCCACAACAGTCATATCAGTACGAGCAGCCACCCCCCTCGCCTTCGACTGCCGGTAGGCCTCCTCGCCAACCTTTCCCCCCCCGATCCGCCTCCAACGCTCCGCCATACGCTCCCATGCCATCGGCCGCCCTGCCGCCATCCCCCGCCACATATGACGGCTCGCCCCGGCCCTTCCCCCACGGTCACCCTCCTCCGCCTCCCTCCCTCAAGATGGGACGTCGGCCTCCGGACCTCGCCTACATCCCGCCCGCTGCTGGGTCTTATTCTCGCTGGGACACTCTCCCCCGCAACGGCCCCTTCTCCCCAGCCGTCAGCACACCGTCCTCGCCCATGTTCGGCCCCAACGGCCCCCCCCCACCCCCAGGTCCCCTCGGCGGTCCTCCGCCTCCTCGGCTACGTTCCCGTCCAACGACACCCGCCCTCGACACCACGGCATTTCCCGAATTCCCTGGCGAACCTGCGAGGCCCATGACAGGAATGTCATCGTCGTCCGAAGTGCGTACTTTCCAGGGTCGGGATGGTGCAGTCGGTGCCGGCGCTGGCGTAGTCGGCAACTTTTCCCTCCCACGGAAGCTGAGCCTCAAGCAGCCCATCTTCGGAGATATGTCTGGCTCACCAGGCCTACCGCCTCTGCCTCCGCCTCTCACCCCGTCCGAGGAGATTCACATGGACATGTCCTCCCCGGCGGGCCGCCTGCCTAGCCCGAGCCCCTGGCAGCGCCCCAGACGGCCGTCAATCATGTCAAACGTGTCGTCGTCCACATGGGCCCCCGGATTTTCGCCGACGACGTCAGAATTTCCCGACTCTCGTAACGGCCCGCCACGCGTGAGGAATGTCGGGCGGCCTCCGCTGTCCGCCACCCGGCCTCATTTTGGCTACGGTAATAGGGTGGATAGCGCGCGTTCCGCACCTACCATTGGTGGTGGGGCCACCACCCCCTGGGCTAGCGGAGATGAGCTGAGATCCAGTTTCAGATCTCAGCTAACTGCCAGCTCTGCACCAGGCACAGCCTACACCGAACGTAGCAGCGTCCTCACCAAGGAGAGCTCTGCCACTTCTCTCGATGCCCACCAAGATGGCGACGTCGAGGAGCCCAGTTTAGAGGATGTCATGGGAATGTATGAGAATGGCTTTGACGACGACGGGGAAAACCATTATGAAGACGACCAACACAACCAGACTCACAGCCACAGCCACAACGCCAACAATAGCCACAGCAGCAACAACAGTCCCGACAATCTCAACAACAACATCAATATTGACAGGAGCGTCAACAATAATGACAACGACAACAACAACAACAACAACGACGACGTAACCGATAGCAATATCCAAAACCACGACCAACGACTCGATAACAGTTCATCCGACCGAGACGCCGACGACGAGGCAGACTATTATTCCCGCCCCCCAACGGCTGCCTCGGAACAGTATCCGCCTACCTCATCGTACGACGGGCCAACGACTGAACCTATAATGGAGTCCGCCGACGTTACAGCTGTACCACAACCGTCCCCTGCTCGTCCGGCGTCGCCGCCGCTTCCGACATCGAGGCTCGACGCCGAGATTCGACAATCCAAAATGATCTTCACCAGCCCGGCATTTGTCGCTTCCGTGCCTCACCTGGCGGCCTCTTCCATGAAGCCTGTCGGCGGAAACATCAATGGCGACGACGAATTCGACGAAGACGAAACCGAGAGACGTGATTCGTCGATGCGGTCCGACACGTCGGGCACCACGGCCACCACGGCCACCCACCAGTACCACCCGTATGGTGTCGACCGAGGACCCAACGGCTCGCCGCAGGCCTTCTCGCCATCGGACGCCGTCGGCTACGACATGCCGCCGATGACGCACGCCGACTCGGTTCAGGATCACGACGACACCAGGGGCCCGTCGCCCCAACCCTCCTTCGTGCCATCCACCCGTAGCTACTCCCAGCCGAGCCCTCCGCCGCCAGGCCCCGACCTGCCCGTCGAGGTGGAGGAGCCCGGTTCACGAGACCGCTACGGGTTCAAGAAGGAATCGCAATACATCTCGCGTAAGCAGTACGACGATTGGGACAAGGGCTACACGGAGTACCTGGACCGCCGGAAGAAGAAGTGGACGGCCTTCCTCAAGGAGAACTCGCTCATGACGGACGAGCCCAACCGCTTCCCGTCGCCGTCGGCCAAGACCAAGAAATTTGTTCGCAAGGGCATCCCACCCGACTGGCGAGGCGCCGCCTGGTTCTACTATGCCGGCGGACCGGCCATCATGGCCAAGCACGGCGGGCTGTACGCTAAGATGCTGCAGAAGAAGGCCAAGCGGATCGACGTCGAGGCCATCGAGAGGGACCTCCACCGCACATTCCCCGACAACGTCAACTTCCGGCCGCCAGGCTCGACATCCATCAACGCGGGCGACCACAAGATCATCGACTCGGCCGACACGGTTCAGCCTAAGCCCGAGGAGCCGCCTATCATCTCTTCGTTGCGGCGGGTGCTCTTCGCCTTCTCCATCTACAACCAGAACATTGGGTACTGCCAGAGTCTCAACTTCATCGCCGGCATGCTGCTCCTGTTCGTCGATAATGAGGAGCAGTGCTTCTGGCTGCTCAACGTCGTCACGCATATCTACCTCCCCGGGACTCACGAGCTCAGTCTCGAGGGCTCCAGGGTGGACCTGAGCGTGCTGATGACGGAGATTCGCGACACGATGCCAGCGGTGTGGGACAGAATAGGTGGGGAGCTGGAGGCCCAGCCCAACGGGGGCGCAGCGCGGCCGTCGACGGGCCGGTCCCTGCGACGACCGAAGCTGGGGCGACGCAAGGACCAGACGACGTTGACGACGGAGAGGCTGCCCCCCATCACCATGTGCATGACGGCGTGGTTCATGAGCTGTTTCATCGGCACGCTGCCGATCGAGACGACGCTGCGTGTCTGGGACGTCTTCTTCTACGAAGGATCCAAGACGCTGTTCCGCATCGCGCTGGCCATCTTCAAGAGCGGCGAGTCCGAGATCCTGTCGGTGTCTGATCCTATGGAGATGTTTGGCGTGGTGCAGTCGATGCCTCGCAAGATGCTGGATGCCAACGCGCTGTTGGATACATGCTTCCGCCGACGCAACGGCTTCGGCCACCTCAGCCAGGGGGCCATCGATGAGCGTCGACAGGCTCGACGCGAGGAGGCTCAACAGCAGAAATTGGGGCAGGGGCAGGGAGCCAGCAGTGGTGGCGGTGAGGGTAAGGGCTTGTTTGGCCGTAAGAAGTAGGATCTTGTACGACCTGCAGAGTAGTGCGTGTGGTTTTGTTGATCTACTTGTGCCGTCTGCTCAATTTTCCTCGACAATAACGTTAAAGGCGGCTCTCACATTTGTCTCTTGACCACATCTGCAAGAGGCTCCAGAAGGTCTCATGTCTTGTTCACATACCGAACAGGGTAGAATACAACAAGACACAGTACAGGCAAACGAATTCCGGCGTTTTGGCAGCAAGAATAGGAGGTTGCAGGAACAGAGACCTGCCCGATGGATCTTGTATTTTCTTTTCTTCTCTCTCCTTTACACTTTTGTATGTTTCTGGCATATTGCATTAGCATGGCGATGTTTTGTCTTCCTTATTTTATTTTCTCTACGCATCATCGCCCTTCATCTGACAAATGTGTCACTTTTTCTTCCCCTTTTCATCTCACACCTTTTTCTTTTTCTTACACTAGACAGTCGACACACGACACCCGTCTTATTCTATCTTGGTTCTTACTTTTCCCTTTTCTTTTATTTCTCTTTCCCTCTCGAGACCTTTCATCTTCCCTTTTCGTCTCGGGGAGGGTTTAATGATGGTTACGGCTGCACTCACAATGATCTGCCCACGGCTGTTTTCATTTCCCCCCCAACTCTTTTGCTGTCCGTCTTCTTTTCTTGCTGCCTAGTTATCTTTGCCCTTTTCTTCTTCTCTACTCTCTAGAGGTGGGTAGGATAGAATAAAATGAATAGACATGTCACTTGACTTGTGTGCTTGACTACGGGTGTAGTTGTAACTCGACATTACTGTGTGTACGAGCAGGATGTAATACTATTTAGCTGTAAAATATCAAACATTGGCTCTGAAACTAGTCAGACTTGGTCCGATTCTTTCTTTTCCTCTTCGAAATTTCACAGTGACGAACATGAAATTGCACAACTATTTATAGAGGATTTATAAAGCACTCCTTCTTCTTCTACCATAGGCTGGGGCACAGGAAAGGCAATGTATAGCAACAGGATGGTAACAAATAAGAGGTAATAGGGAAAGATAGAAAAGATGTGGGGGGGAGAAGAATATAGTTGTCAAAAGAATAACGAATCTTCAAGAAAGCTATGCGGGCGGAAATTCTGGCTCCTTGGAAGCATATTTTTCAACGTAAGTAGCAACATTGGCCTCCCACCCTTCCCTATCAGCCCTGTACTCGTGAGCGATGCGCTCCTCTAGGGGGTCGTCGGGCTGAGGTTCGACGAGGAGGTTGCGGATGCTGTCGAGCACGGCGGCAATCTTTGTGCTGGGCTTCCAGTTCTCTGGTTTCAGTATGGCCAGGCAGACGTTTCCCAGGCTGTCGTTGGTCACGTTGGGGTGGTAGATGCGCGTGACGAACTTGACGATGGGCGGCTTGAAAGGGTAGTCAACAGGGAGGGAGAGGACGATGCCGAAGATGCCCGGGTGGAAGGGCGTCGTCGTCGGCGGTCGGAGCGTCAGGTGCCATGTGTGTAGGGTCTCGGACGGGGCTAGGGAGATGGTGTAGCCTTCCGGTGGAGAGGTGGAGAGCTCGGAGAATTCCTGTTTTTTTTTGGGGGGTTTTTTTTTGGTCATGAGAGAGTTTTGTTATGTGATCATCAGATGAAGGAAGAGGGTAAGGTGGGAAAAAGGAAAGAAGAAATTGACAAGGGAAGGGGGGGGGGGGGGCGAGGGGAGAGGTTACCTTGGCGATGCGTTTGGTAGACATTTTTCTTCTTATCTTCTTCTTTCTCTGACTTGGTCGTGATGAAGAAGAATCTCTGCCGGTGAAGATGGCAGCTTTTTTTCTCCTGGATGACGGTGCAACTTGGTGACAAATGACAGCTTGGTGATGATGCAGCTTGGTGATGATGCACTTGGTGATATGATGGTTGTTGTGACGTTGGAACGTCCAAGGTGGTGGGGCTGCGGGGTCTTATTCTTAGTGCGGCAGATTCACGCTTGTTAGGCCTGGGGCCCTAAAAGGGGGGAGTTTCTTTTGGGGGGGGGGGGGGGGGGTGGGTTTGATATGAGCGCTGTGAGCGCTGTAATGTGTGGTAATATGTGGTATTATTATAGTGGGTAGTCGAAAAGGTTGTAAAGTCTGGGTCAGTNACAGCTTGGTGATGATGCAGCTTGGTGATGATGCACTTGGTGATATGATGGTTGTTGTGACGTTGGAACGTCCAAGGTGGTGGGGCTGCGGGGTCGTAATCTTAGTTCGGCAGATTAAAGCTTGTTAGGCCTGGGGCCCTAAAGGGGGGGAGTTTCTTTTGGGGGGGGGGGGCGCGTTTGGGTTTGATATGAGCGCTGTGAGCGCTGTAATGTGTGGTAATATGTGGTATTATTATAGTGGGTAGTCGAAAAGGTTGTAAAGTCTGGGTCAGTGTTGTTGGTGAGAGTACAGTCGATGAATAGTCATTAATGAGGGCATCTACTATCTATTAGATATCTCCGTCAGAATACTCGTAGTTGCTAGAGATTTCTATCTGGAGACCGTGTATATATCATCACAGTGTACGTGTGCTTGGATGTGCTTGGATGTGCTTTGATGGTGTTGTTTTGTCTGCCGAGGCACATTGTCCTGGCCTTGTACCTCTCCGATAATGATGCCCAACTACGGAGTAATGCCAGTATTGCATGCAATACTCCGTACTACCAGTGATTCCACCCTTGTCCGTCACTGTCCAAGGTAATACCATCCGGGCCTGGGGCTTATTGCTGGTAGACTTCTTCTTGAACAATTCTCACCCCAACTCCCACTTGTTCGTGTAGCGGCAAGAAGGTTGTAGCCAAGACTGCTGCTACAGTGCCTACCCCTGCGACCCGTTCGAGCGTCTCCACTGCGTCCCCCGGCCGCGACGGCTCCCAAGTTAACGGGGAAAAGGGACTCGGCTCGTCAAAGTTGACATCGTGGACAATGAGGAAGAGGACAAATATGAGGGCGATGACGAGGAATAATCACCGACTCCAAAGCGTCCTAGATAATCCGTTGTCCCCGGGAACGACCATGATGACGATCCGTTCGCTAGGGGTTCGTCTAAGATCCTAGCAACTCGGCAGCGTCGCCCTGTCGCTTCGAGTTCCGCGTCTTCGGCCGCAAATACGACGCCAGCGCGTCGGACCTAGACGGCTGCTGCTCGTCGGGCGAAGGTGGACAAGAGAATAGAGTCATGGTCGTCGGGTTCCTTGCCGCCACCGCTTGGAAATCCTCGCGGTGTGTTCCTCTGGATCTTGGTTGGCTGGCTGGATAGTGAGAAGAAGAAGAGGAACAGACAAGATCAATACATATTACACCTTTTTCGTACCACATCGAGTGCCTCGTGCCCTTGATCCAAACACTATCGTGAACCCAGTCGCGGAGAGACGCTACAAGTTGACCCTCAAGCGAGATTGAAGCTGCTGGCCTCCGCATATCTTCTTCATAATCCACCCATTTCGTGCGGTACTGCCTTCTTTTTCCATTGAATCTGTGTGTCATGTTCTTCTTGAATTCTGGTGGGCTGTCAGACAATGAGTCTGCTTGGGGTAGGGGAGAGGGGGGGGGGGGGGGGGGGGGGGGGGTAGTGAGATAAGTGACAAGGTCTGCGTATAGAGGCGTGGCAGAAGCGTTATAGTGATGGATGCACCAGTGGCAAGTGCATGAGCATTGATCGTTGCCCTCTTCCTTGATGGAATCGGGGTCAGTGACTACTTATGTGCCACTTTCGGGTCTCTTTCGCTCCACTTCTGTACATTTTCCCAAATGGGTCCCTGACAAGGAGAAGATCTTTAACGGGACTGATCTCAGATCCGTCCTGGCAAGGCCAATTGTGAAGGCCTTTTTTTTTAGCGTCCCTCGAGGCTGGTTTGTATACTTCGTGATGGCCATATAGAGAAGAGAGAAACTGGATGGTTGGGGGGAGGGGTGAAAGGGCAGTATATTGCAGAGAAAAGATACAGAGACATTAGTCATGTTTGCCGGATTATAGTGACAAGAGATCAGATAGGCTTGGCCGGTGCGCGGGAGCTAGGTTGCAGAATCAGGGAAATGAACAAGTTCAAAAGACAGCAGTGGTCTACTGTGAAGCTGAGACTTGGGAAGCTGCTGAAGTCTGTGAGGCAGTGGTATGTGAAGCTGGGCTTTGTATTGATGTCAGAGAAAGAGGGAGAGAAATCTAAAGAAAACACGGAAGAGTGCTCTCTCTTTATACTGCCCCCCCCCCCCCCCCCCCTTTCCAAAAAAAAAAAAAAAGAAGTCTTTCTCATGTCTCTCTCCAGGTTTCTGCCTCATTTTTGGCCTTAATCTCTACAGCTGCGTGATCGCTGTCGGTCACCTGCGAACAGTCGCAAGAACAGTCGCAAGATAGAAGGAGCGGCTGCTGTTGTTATTCGGGTCATCGGTGACTTGCCTCGTTCAGTTGATGCGTACTGCGATGCCACTGCAACTTGTTGGTGTTCACTGCAGCATCAACCCCTGTCCCACCCACTTCACCCGGACACACCCACAGCTGGCCGACGCGGGGCAGATTCCTTGACCGCCCCGGCAGAAAAAAAAAAGTTGCGAGAGACATGCCAAGGTCGATTTATTCGTGCTTTCCGATATTGGTCCCTCCTACGTATCACCGAGTCAAACCATATTCAATACAACAAGATATTCGGAAAATTGCCCATGATGGAAGCGCAGATGCCATTCATCAGAAATCTCGCATCGAGTGGTACGTTTTCCCTCCCTATCTTTCCCCCCCCCCGCAACCCATCCTCCTCTGATCAGGCATTGACAAGCAGCTCTCACACAGATCGCAAACTACGCACCACATCACTCGACTCCTTGAAACTGTTCCTCTCATCGCGCACATGCCTCACCCAGACCGACGCCCTGAAGCTGTGGAAGGGTCTCTACTACGCCATGTGGATGACGGACCGACCCATCCCCCAGCAGCGTCTGGCCGCGGACCTCGGCCGGCTCGCCGACGACGCGCCCATCCGCTCGCCCGCCGACAAGGCCACCTGGTTCTCAGCCTTCTGGGACGTCCTGGGCCAGCAGTGGTCGTCGATTGACAAGCACCGTCTGGACAAGTTCCTCATGCTCGTCCGTCGCGTTCTGGCCGCCAACCTGCGCCTCGCGTCGCAGGAGGAGGACGTCGCTGCCGTGCTGACGAGCTGGCCCTTGGACAAGGAGGGTGACCTGCGTGCCGTGCCGCTCGGCCTGAGGCTGCACGTGCTCGATATCCTGGTCGACGAGCTGGAGCGCGAGGCGTGCCTCGAGAATGACGAGTTCGTCCAGAAGATTGGCCAGGTGCTCCAGAGTCTCTACGGGTGTCCCATCAAGCAGGTCAGGGAACGCTCGCGCGAGACGTACAGCGACGAGAGGTTACCCTGGGCCGAGAAGAAGGCGGACGAGGACAGGCAGGACGTGGATGGTGACGATGACGACGACGAGTGGGGTGGCTTCGACGACTAGATGCAGCGCACGGCCGGGAACGACTACCATACCCAAACTCCGACCCAGAACAGGTCCGTCTGTACCGGCGCCACCGGTTCAAGTTCACAGACGGGCATCTATGCTTCTACGACTCAAATCTCCCACGGTTCCGCACCCATCAGCATAGCAGTGACGGAACCCAAGATACACACGACTACACTCACACTTTACCTACCCGGGAGGACGACACGGTCGCCTGTGGTCCGAGCCCATCATCATGATCTGATGATTATAAATGTCCATCTATGAGGGAATACCGAAAGGGCGGAGACCGAGGCCGTGGAAGGCACATCTACCTACATGTGTCACACTACGTTGAACACGTCATATCATAATGTAAAAAGCATCACATCCGCGGCCGCATACAAGGGGAGAAAAAAGAAGAAGAAAAAGAGCTCTAGAAATTTGAGAAAACGCACTTTGTCTGATGAATGTATCGTGCCATGTAAATATAGTGATGATGATAGAAGCATGATGTTCCTTTATTTTCCCCCAAAATTTCAACCCAAGACTCTGATTTTATTTTAAATACAACCCTAGTTCAATTTCCTCGCTCGCAAAATAGAAAGAAAGAAAGAAAAGAAAGGAAATTGAGAAAAGAAGATAAAAAGAAAAAAGAAGAGAGGTATTTTCCGATCGCCAACCTCCTCCCCCCCTCACCACTCGAGCTCACCCTTGGGGAAGAACTCGTTGATGAGGTCCATGTAGTAGGGCTTGAGCTCTTCGACCTCGGGGACACCATCGCTCTTGCTGTAGAGGTCGTAAGGGTTGAAGGCTTGAACGGCCCTGAGCATGTCGTAGTCCTTCTCGACCATGAGGTGGCGGTAGGCTCCCTCGCGGTGCCAGGGGTAGAAGGAGTGGTAGCGGATCATGGCGAGCGACTCGGCGGGCAGGGTGCTCTGGTCCTTGACGACGTGGTATAGGTACTCGTCGTGGCCCCAGCTGAGCATGACGTTGTCGAGGCCGCAGTGGGGCGCGTAGACGCCGTACTCGGACGAGTAGACGGGGTCGTGGCTGTCGGGGTTGCCGGCAAAGGTGTCGGGGTAGATGATGCGGCGGTCGAAGGCGCAGCCGACGGGAAAGGTGTCGCCCACCACGTCCCACTGGCCCTGGGTCTCCAGCTCGGGGAAGAAGAGCATGAGCTTGCCGAGGTCGTGGATCAGTCCGGTGACCTGCATCCAGCGCGGCTTCCCGTCGCGACGGATGGCCTCGGCGCTCTGCAGGAGGTGCTGGATCTGCGAGAGGCTCGTGTCCGGGTCCGACTCGTCCACCAGCGTGTCCAGCTTCTCCATGGCCTGCCAGATGGTCATGCGCGGCCGCACGCGCGACGCGCTGTAGAACCGGCTCCGGGCCAACAGGTTGTACGCCACCGTCTGCTTCTGGTGCTGTTCCCGGTAGAAGTTGCGGACCCGGTCGCACGCATCCTCGTACTGCCGGAACGTGTCCTTATCCTTCTGCACGTCAAACTTGGACTTGCTGTCGTACTTGATCACGTTGACGTCGTCGATGGCGTCCGAGATGCTCTCTAGAAACTGCCCGTCCGCCACGTCTGCTAGTGCTGTGGGTGCCATTCTGCGTCGTGTGTCGTGTGTATGTGTGCTGTATAGGCAAGTATCGATATTGAACTTTAGAGGATGTAGATTTCGGAGTGAATAGGTATCAGGGAGAATATGGATTTTGAAGCGTATAGATTTCCAATTTGGGTTTTTTTTCTTTTTTTTTTCCAAAAAAAAAAATAGAAAGAGTCAAAAAAGAAGGGGTTCTGCTGTATGTGGAAGAATGAAGAGAGAAGTTGACCAGAGGCCTGGACAACCTCGACCCTTTAAGTATACGACAGACCACCAGCCATTACAATCTCTGCCCCTTGAGGTAAGACCCTTTCCATCTTCAAAACGGTATCCTCGCCCGGGGGGAGGAAAGAAGGAAAACAGCCTTGTGTGGGGTGATCCGTTGATGCGTAAAAGGACTGGATCTGGTGGATTGATCTACGCAGCATCGTGTGTCCCAAAGAAGCAACAGGCGCCGGGATTACCATTTTGAGATTCAGGTACGTACCGACGCGCGAGTACTCAGGGTACTCAGGCCAATCATCTATCCCGCTATACATTTCCTCTTTTGGTGATACCATTTGGGAAGGCACCAGAGAAATCTTTTTCTTCCTTTTTTTCTTCATCTTCTTCATCCGAAGAGAGTATCTCTCCGCGTTGATCATGCATCATGTCGTCGACCATCCTACTCCATACAACCGCCATTCTTTACACTTGACTTGGTTTTGCCGAGTGTATCATGCCTGATTTCAACTCACTCCGATCCGGGGTCCCTTTCCCTCCTCCTCTCCCATCCTCTCTCTGGTAATTACCCCGCTGGGCTGGGATTCTCTCGGATGCGGGGTTCATTAGTTTATATACCCCTCCCTTGGCCCAACTCGGTGATATATCGACAATACGACAGGTTACGTCTGATACTCTACGCAAGTGTCTTGGCTCTCATACCGCATCAGCAGGTGATGACTACTGCTTCCCAATTCCCTGGATACCAAGATAGGGAGGGGGCCATCAACAGATTGCCTCCCCTACCTCTTCTCCCGCCCGGACGTTCAACTGTGTGCCGGGAGCAGGGTATGCCAGACATCGCGCATCAACCTATGTCGTGGCAGGTGCCTACGGCATGAACCGGGAAAGGGGATGTAAGGAGAGCCTCACAGCATGCCATACGCTCAATAGGGGCCTGACAAGCAAGCGAAGAGACTGGTGATCCGAGAGGGAAGACCGACGACCCCCCTGTATCCCTCCAACTACGTCGTATACCCGAATTGCACCCGCCAGACGCGAGCTCGGGGACCGTCGTCTTCATAAGTCATACCGTATCTCGTCATATGGCAAGGACTGCTACTGGGCCCGATCTCAACCAAGACAGCGCTTCTCTACCCGACAGCATCCTGCACATGCCAACGTGCAGAGGGACACTGACAGCAACTCTCGAGATGAAGAGCGACCTGGTGGTTTCATCCCGGGACGCCCGGCCCCGCTCGTTTCCTGAGCGACTACGTACGGCCTGCCTTCCTGCTCTCTCGACTTGTGTAGTCCTCATCACGATAAAAATAGAAACAGCGGTGACTCTCCCCGGTCTCGTATTGTGCAGGCTAGAGACTAGAGGATCACTCTATGATGCATCGTTACGGAGGGGGGACGACTAGGGCCGTGGTACTTGTTGATCTAGAAGAAAGAGAGAAGAAGCCCGAGTGCATACGAACAGCAGTCGTCCCGGGGGGGGGGGGTAGTACAACGGAAGCTCCAACGCTGTCCGGCAGAAGTAAAGTCCTAGAGTACCACATGAAAATGGCAGGACAACGGCATCACGCCATCATTCGTCTCGTCTGGGAATCGACCGAGCCCCTCGACTACCGCTGGACCAGCACACCCCCTACACAGCGGTGTCTAGGCAGCGGAGTCTACACAGCGGGAGGGGAGGTTTGCCTGCAGTCTAAAAGGCCCGGTGACGACTTCGATAGAGAGAGAGCTGCTGACGCTGATTCAAATTCTCCTGTCACGAAGGCGACCCGTTTTTCAGATAGCACGCCGTCTGTGCGGGGTTCCAGATAGTGACGACGTCGATGCCAAGAGCGCTATGAAGTTGGACGTCTCGATGGACGTCTCGATGGACGTCTCGATACTCGGCAATCTGGACATATGACAGCACGTCAGTCACAGGTTCCCGTCAGCATCACCGACTCCAAGTTCTTAATGCCGGCCCAAGCCGCAGCAGGTCGCACCGGGAGTTATACGACACGGCGCTAGTCATTTGTTCTTGACTTGTTCTACGGCTGCCATCCCGGTTCCAGTCAACGGGTTGTCCAAGCTGTGGTGTGCCTGAGCCATTAGCGAGGCAGGCATATCATGACTTAGCACAAGGATATCATGACAGGATATTACATGTTCTTGTAGTCTGCCAATGCAGATCTGGAGATCTACATGGTGGATGTATACCCCTGGGGGGGGGGGGGGGGGGACACCACGGGAGACAGTGCCGGCATGATGCCATTGAACTAATACGGCAGCCCCAGGTACACAACTCTGTGTACAGATTTCGCTTAGTGCCTACCCCAACAGAGTATGCGGCCTCTCTGTATGCAGTCTCGGAGCAACACCTCTCCATGTAGGTTTTAAAACGGCAATACGAAATAGGCATCCATGCTGGTCTTGCCTACGCAGACTCAAAGAGCCACACTTCCCTTCAGACAGGTACGGCACCGGGGAGGACGTAAGGTGACGAGATACAACATGGCTGGCCACTCTCCGTGCCGGGACACCACACATGGTACCATACACAGACACGACTCGGATGACGCACGGCCGGGAACTATCAACTAAGGTGCCAATTGGACATGAAAATGCCACGGCCCACAGCCAAACTCTCCCTCCTCGCTACACTCGTGTGGTGCAAGAGACTGGCGGTACTAGATGCTCTACCCGTAGAAGACGAAAGGAACAAGGAGTCGAGCATCCAGAATCCAGAGCAACACGCTATACCTCCCCCCCCATGTTCGAGTCGACACCATCCACAACACAACGGCACTGTTGCTACGCCTGAGTACTTTGCATCCGTGGATTCGTATTGTGCCATCGACTGGCCTGGTAGAAGTTGCCGATGACGTGACCACCAGGAAAGGAGAGGAGAGATTAGGTCATGTCCAGGGTCGAGAATGGGATGGAAGATATCATGCCAAAGTATATATGCTCTCGACGCAGGATAAAACCTCGTAATGGTAACATATCGGAGAAGTGGGCGACCTTCCCCATGCCTGTTTGGAGAATACCCCTTGGTTATGATGAAGAAGGCTCGAGAAGGGTCCGAGAGGCCACGAGAGTTGGCGTTGTCACAAGCAAGAGCTCCGCACATGTGTCTGTACGGGAGAGAAGAAGGGTACAGAGGGAGAGGGGGGAGGTGGCATAAACTGTAAACGAGCACCTTGATGCCTGGTACCTTACGGTACCAGGCATGTGATATCTTTTCCGCCTCCGGGTGACATCGGAGCGGGAATGCTAAGGAGAGCAAGAGCAAGCCATGTACCTTGACCGAAGGGATCGTACCCAGTAATCATAATGGGAGACATGCTCGACAAGACGTGCGACAGGAAAGTCAATGGGCTCTAGGGACAGCAACCCTCCGACCGAGTCCCGCCGCCTCACTTCTGACTGACTCCATCAATGGTCGTGAAGCTTATGCTCGACGTACCTCTCACGGCTCTCAACTGAGCTAGCTAGAGTACGATACGAGAGAGGCTCTCGGTGGCTCCCAGACTCCAGGTTATTTCCCAATGCGGAATGCAGCGGGGAGGGATGGGGTCCCTCGACGATGGTACGCTGATGGCTGCATGCTAGTCCTGGGTCCAGACTGGCGCCATCGAAGCGGGAAGAGAGGGAGAGGGAGAGGAGAGAGCTCAGTACGAGTAGAGCCGACTGGTCAGTTTACGAAGGAGGACGAGGAAAACAAGGACGAGGACAAGAGTCTAACCGGCGACCAGTGATGGCCTGAGAGGGACTGTGAAGAGTCTAGGTGGAAAATTGTATATTTCCGTGAAAGAAAAAGAAAAAAAACAGGGTATGAAGCATCATCATCTGACTCATTCACACTCAACACTCAAGCCGTGGCCATTCGGAATATTCCAAGCAACAAACCTCTCGGGAAGATGGGGACTACGTCAGGATGGCATCTGAGGTCAGACAATATTTGAAAAGGTGGTATACTGCGTGACAGAATACGGTTTCCATAAACGGTCACGAGATATGAGATAACCCTGGAGGAACAGCGGGACCGAGAGAGAAAACATGAGGCGAATGATGCTGATGAGATCAATGTAGGACTTGAGCCGCATGTGTTCACGAGTAAAGATACCAGCATGTCAATTTTCGCGGGACCGAGATGATATGCCAGGGGCAACTCTCTCACTCGGCTTGTGACGGTAGAAAAGGGGGGAGGGCAGGGGGGACTTGATTATACATGGCTGCATGGTGCTGCGCAAGGACTAAACATTTACTGCAAGGCCTCCCAGAAACCCCAGTCCTGCAAAGTAAAAGGAACCCAGAAACGCAGACAGTTCCAGAGGTACTGGCTGGTTGATAGCAGAGTTGCAGTCAGAGAACAAGGAAAAAGGGCACGCACTAGAGAAACAAGCAGCTCAACGGCTATCGCAGTAGCGTCTGCCCAATCTCGGCTGAGGCGTGTCGTCCCGTTGCAACAGGCGGGCGGCAATGGAAAGATCGGCAGAGCGCATGACGGACATGGTTCAAGGCTAGAGCAGTGCCAATTCCGCTACTGCATTGTATACAGAAGAAGCGTAAAGTGAATCGAGGCACAATTGTCTTGGCAGCTCAGATCAGAAGCCAAAAGGGGACAGGCAGTTGCATACAGATGGACAGATACACACCCACATACACCCACACCCGCACCTACACACACCCACCCACACACACGCAGAGAGAGAGAGAGAGAGAGAAAGGGGGGGGGGAGACTAGATGTATTTTTTTGTGTGGCAGGTTGGTAGCCAAGGCACTTAATTACTACTTTCCCCACTCCCATCATCTACAACCGGGTTAGTCTTGATATGGTCCCATGGGACGAACAGGAACATGTCTGTCGTAGTACTGGATAGAATAGAGAACCTCCAGCTGTCCACAGCGTGACACGGTGAGTTTCCCCTCCTAACGACCTATGGTGAGGGATAACAGTGTGATACATGTAGAGTATGGAGGAATGAAGGAACTCCTCGTAGGACCCCGTCCCTTTGGCTTGTGTGAGGTGCCAACCGATGTGGCGGTACAGATACATATCGTGGATCTACCGAGAGTAAAGAGAAGAGAAAGGCTTGGCTACATAAGCTGTCATGCATGCGACTCCAGGTCTGCGCGGATTCCTGGAAGCTTCCAATCTTCTAAGAATAGATATTTCGTCGGCGAGATTCCAAGTCAAGAAGGTCGGGAGGAGAGAGAAGCTGGAGAGGGTCGGGTGCAGCCACTTCATATATGGCGTCGACCTCAGTAACCCCTCGTGATCTGTTTTGGGACCGGTAAGAAAACTTTGACACTGGCAGGACAATAGAAAGAGAGTGAGAAAAGGAGATATTGGGGCAAAAAAGAGAAAGAAAGCAATTTCGTTGATTGTCAGAGAGAGAGTAAAGACAGCAGTAGACGCCACCAAAGGTCCATACCCTCCTCCCCCC